ATCAACATTTAGATACAATTCGTACTTTTATTTTCCTTTCATTGACAGTTACATTTAATTTGTACAATTCTTATATTTATATAGTTCATTTAATATGCGACCAGCAAGCTGTCCAACAGCGTTGAATAGGACATAGCAAAAAAATAGAAAGAAAAAGAAGTTTATTCATTCAATTCGTGCGTAACAGCGTGTTTGATGTGCATGTGCGCCTAATCGATGTTGCGCATGTGCGGAATAGCTCTCACTGCCAGCTGGCTGCTACAGAACGTTGTTAGGACTCAGTAAGTGACTATTTTTTCACGGTTGGCAGGGATTGATATACGCTTGTTCCTTTCCCCAGCCAATAACTCCCCAAAAAAAAAAAAAAAAAAAAACGTTTTAGAGGAGACGGTCTTCCGCAGACAGCCACGCGCTGCTGACATGCAGGCCTACGTCGCGTGCATCTTACCTAGCACGCGAGCCTCGTTTCCAAACGTTTACGTAACCGCTTTTTACAATAGGGCAGAGGAAAGGGTAAGACCTAGATTCTTCGACTATGTAACTGTATACTCGAAATAAATCATCTCATTGTGGTCACTTTTGAGTGAAAACGCGAATAAGCAACAACAGTTGCAAAATGATAACATTTCGAACTATCGCCTGAATTATTCCTATTGCGCCAACAAGTTTTCCGTTCGTACCAACGTTGTCATTTTTTACTGACTTTTGTCGTCCAACTGTTAGTTTTTGACAACATGATGCTTCAGGTAGTAACAATAATGATAATAATACTGTACTTAAACAGTTACAGATGAAATAAGTTAGAAACAACATTAAACAGAAACACACAACTATATAAAATCTCATAAATTTGTAGTATTCTTTAACCAAAGGTATAGTCTGTAAAAAGGTAAAAGAAAAGGGTCTGGAAAGGCATTTCAATAAAATGCCATTACATACAGCCCCATACATCCGTTGTAATCAACAGCTCTCTGCGTTTAAACATTAACCAACATAATATTCAACATAAATCTTAGATTTAATGCAGCAACATCGGCACAACACCCCGCATTTTTTCTCATTCAGTGCTATAATAAACATATTGTGCAGTCTACACGTGATATGTACTTTAAAAGTGATCAAATATCAGGCTGAATGACAACAATGTAAGCAAATGTTGTCAAATCTTTATAACATTTTCTACAAGTACGTGTTCCTGCCTCACTTGGCTTTTACTCTAAGTGGATGTGTTAAAAAACACTTTGTGTAATAGGTTTGACATCTAAGTTGTATGAGAATAATTTTGGTTTAGTTTACAGCCTGAGTCAGTAAGTGTATTTTGCATGTGGGTTCCATTTAATTGATCTAACATCAGAGTGTGGGCAACTGCCAGAGCATGCCACCAGGGGGATGAACCAGCTCAAAGAGTCGTAGAAAAATGGATGATTTTATTATTCTTTTTTTTTGTTTATCAGTATTTGAAAGTAATCATAATGATTGGATTATTTTATGAAAAGACAGAAATTAGGCTCGCCAAACCAGTTCGTCTTGATCCAAACAAAGTCAGGTGGGCTTTATTGCAAATTAGATCGACGATCCTCTTGCTCAAACCTTAAATTGAAGGGACAGATAAAACAGTTGTAAAGATCTTCTAAATTAGATTTTTCGGAGATAGCAGACAAGTATATTTCCCGAAACTGTTGAAGTGATTTCCATTTATTGATTAATTAAAATCAACTCTGAAAATACTGTGCACCTGTAATTTTTTTTGTGTGTTTATGTTGTTCATGCATTTAGCAGATGCTTTTATCCAAAGCGACTTACAAAGTAGAGGGACACTGAGAGTTGAACTGGGGACCTCTTCTGTAAACTTTACAGATTAAGACAGAAAAGCGTATCTCTTGCCTCTGGACTTGTGAAAGAAATGGTACCTAATTGTGTATAGATTTGAAATGTCAAATACACTTGGGAGCACCGGCCTCGAGACTGTGTTTAGGGAGTTGTTTTTAGACGATGTGGCCTAACTTCACACAAAATCAGAATGTTCTAGCAATTCGACAGCCCCATTAATGAAACCCTAAAATCACCCGCATTTCAGAAAAAACGTTGCACAGTGATGGCACAAATCTGGATGTCTGTTGAAGGGAACAATTCACAGAAGGACAAAAAAAAACTAGCAGCTAACTTTTATTTATTCATTTTTTACACCTTAAACAGGGAGGTCGAGGCAGGCTGCGAGGGGGAGTTGGTTGGGAGATCAGCCTCCGTCAGAGGCCCATGCCCAGAATAACCTTCCAGGCTGGTGACCCTTATTATATTAGCAAGCGGACCAGAGAGGAGTGGCTGGCCAAGTGGAAGATGGAGGTGAGTACCCAGTCCCAGCCTCCAGAGACAGCAGCGCGTTGACTAAGGCTGCGAGGGTTAGATATAGGGCTCCTCTTTCATTCATGGCCAAGTGTATTTGATGGGTCATTTAATATCTCATGAGGGTACCATTTATTTCAGCAGTTTTTCAGGGCCGCAGGCTGAGTCAGCTTCTGTGTTTCATGGCTTTGTTCTCGTCTTTTTATGAGAGGAGGAGAATCACACACATCTGTGTTGATCACATCTGTGTTTGATGTCTTGACATGATTCATGTTTCCTGAATAAAGATATAAAATGTACATTTGCACTCTTTCACACTGGTTTCAAGGTCTTACATGTTAAGTGAATGGACAGTTTTTGCTTTTTTGGTTGTTTGATTTGCTTTGTGTTGTTTATGTCATTTTTATATAGGTAATATTGAAAAAAAGTTTATTTTAGTAGGCAGTTAAAGTCCCTAGCTATGATGGAATCAGGTCCTTGCATTTATTGCACACACACTAGTGCGTCTTTTTATTCAGTGTGTAGTTTGGACGAAAAAGTTAAACAGATATAACTCTTTTTTGGAAAAAAAGACACAGCTGTTAATCTCTCAAAGAACAAAATACTTCAGTGAGAGTTTTCACATTGTATATTTGAGGATTTTTAAAGCTATCTGCCGTGGTCGAAACCCTTGAATCCATCCGCTTCCCTCAGCTTAATGGTTCTTCCAACATTGGGACATTAAATAGAAGAAAAATTAGGTCCAACAGGTGCTGCAGAAACACTAATCCACTATCTTTTCCCAGTTTCAAGCTGATGGATTGTTGTCAGGTGGGGCAGATGTGTGTATCTCTGTACACTGAGAATAACACGACCATGTATGTAGAGTTTCTAGAAGCACATGGCAGATAATTGGCCTGATTGGTTTGGGTCAGTGGCACAGAAACAGGTTATATTAGCATTAATGTCGAACTGAAATGTGACTCCCAGATCTCGACCCTCTGACCCTCGTTCCCCATGTCAAGAGGACAAAAAGGCATTATTCCTTTTAGAAATGTTCCCAGAAACTAAAGCTCCCTCAGATGACTTCCCCCCAAAGCCAATAGTTGATATATGGGAGTATAATTTAAAAAGATTAAGATTCAGATGCCTGATTCAAATTAGTATTTTAAAGTTAAAGCCTGATATGTATTAATAGACCTGGTAATGAATTCTTCACCTTGAAAAAGGCTTTCATTTGATAGCTCTTTAGCAGCTGTAATAAGGGCTGTTTTACAAGAATTTAAGTCTAATACAAATCCTCTACAAAGACAAGAAAGATGACACACGATTAAAGCATTCATACAAAATAACGTTCAGACCTCCATCGAATATATGTGTTGACATCTTGGGAAAACAACTGCTGATGAGAATCAGATGAATGTTTTGAAAATGTTGTGAAAGCTCCAAAACAGCCACTGAAAAATGTTGTCTTCACAATGCATAATTACTAATGACGAACGTGACAGTAATATGATGCAGTGCAACTGCATCTGTTACATAATTGGGAGTCTTGATAGTACCAACATGGGGTTTTCCTTTTTCTTTCCCTTTCATGCCTACCCCCACTCCTCTGTGGAGAAATTCAGGGAGAGGCCATAAAAGTGTCTCCCGGGAGGAAATATTGCCAAATTAGCAGGACATCCCGGGTTCCTTCAAGTGAAATGCCATAAAATATGGGCCAGTGAGTGGTTAACGGTTTCAAAATAGAGAAATAGAGGTGAAGACCCTCAAAATAGTAGAATGTGCACCTTGGATTTAAAGAGATCTAAAGACAGTATATTGCATATTTGAACCATGCTGTTTTTTTCTCCTTTAATCTAGTTTAGTGAAAGTTTTTATTTCAGATTTCAGTAAGTACGGATTTCTTTCAGATCCAGAGTCCTCCTCTTGCCATCGTCTTGCACTTTCTCCAGGATCTCTCTTATTTTTCGTGTGCCATGCGTTACAGTGGACTTCTCTCTCTCTCTCTCTCTCTCTCTCTCTTTCTCTCTCTCTTTCGCTCTGTTTCGCTACCCATTCTTCTCCTGACCCCTCCCCCAGCTATGGAAACAAACTCTGTGCGATGGATATGAGGGTGAAGATGAGGTTTGCAGCAAAGTTCCAGCTCTGCTTGCAAGACAGCCTCTTGGCCCGTTGCCAACATTTTCCAAGTCTTCTAGCCAACCAGAATTCCTGTAGGCAATCACCTGACCCTGAATTCCCAGACAAAGAAATGTTCATGCTTTCTTTTTTAAAGCGATCTCTTCTACCCTGAGAGTGGGGGTGAAAAAAACTCAAGCCCCCACACTGGATTATGAGGGTAGCACGCTGGCGTGAATGGGTATGTGCGCTGCATTGTTTGTTTGATAACACAAGGGGATAGCGTGCATGTCTGATTAGCCCGGTAACAGCGAGGGGAATATGCTGACTTCAGGTATTTCTCCGAGAGTTGTTGTGGACCATCTGTGCTGCACGGTGAAAGGGAAGCCGTCTCTTTAAAAAAAAAAAAAAAAAAAAAAAAAAAACGGAAAGTGAGCAGGCTTTAGCTATGTTTTGGAAAAAGTTGCTGGCATGAAAAAAAGTTTCTCCCGTGGGGTGAATTTGCGCTGAAACTATTTCCTGTTTCAGAGCAGCACCCAGAGAAGCCAGAGGAGTATCATTTTTTTTCCCAGGTGAAATATATTTAACTTAAATATGTTGCAGTTTGTTTTGTTTTTTGTCAGAGCCAGCGTGATTTCACCTTACATAACATTTGCCTGGGAAAAGTGTGAAGTTGTGGTGCAGGCCTCAAAGCCCATTTTGTCTCACCTTAGTGCTCTTTGTACCGTCTTACACAAGACATAGACTTAATGTGAGAATAGTCATTTGATTATTACAGATTTTACTTGGCTGTGCCACAGCTTCCCCTGTGAGCTCTTTTTTGACAACTCCACTGGTGGATTAATTGGGAATTCTCTTGATGTATTCTTGGCTGAGTTGTAATATTCCTAATTATCTCTTAAAAGGATGCAATACAATGAGAACCAGATGGCGTCTTTTGGTGTGAACCCCCAAGGCCGCTTGTGAAATACTTAGCTTTTGTAGGAACTGAGCTAAAAATCAGATCAGTTAATGCAGCAGCTATTATCGGTGCCCAGGAAAACTTGCTCATTGTGCATTTTTGGTCATATTCTCAGCTTCGAAAACATACCATTGTTAGGCTCAGTGGACTTTTCAGCTGATGCATATACACCTGTTGTGATTTTTTTCTATTTCCTGCTTAGCAGATAAGCTTAGGCTTTTCAACTGAACACACAAAGGTCGAACTTGTTGTCAAGTTGTGTAAGGAAATCATGCTTTATTTCATCTTGCTTTCTTCAGGATCCTTTGTTTTTCTACAAAGGCACTTTTTCTGCAACTTCTAACACTCGAGGTCAATGAATTTGTTGGACGTTTATTGTGTTTCGTTACTGAGGGTTTGCAGCACATATGCAAACTGCACGTGAGTCTTTACCGCTTTGAGACTTTTTTTTAAAGAAAGCCTTCCTTGTAAAGTTAACAGCCATATTAAAGGCGGTTGTTGTTTCATAAATTACTGTAGCCGTGCAGTAAATGGGACTATTTTATTAACAAGCACAGCCCAGACTTGATGGTGAAGTATTATCTGCACACCCTGGAGACCAATATGTGCTCATTTTTTTTCTTCCTTCCAGTGCACTCTGTCACCCCTTGAGCCCTCAGGGTATCATGCTGCACAGCCTCTAAGTCAGATTATCCTCTATTGTGCAACCAACATGTCTGTACATTCTGCCAGAGGCCTGTTCGGCTTCTGTTTTAACTCTGTTTACAAGTCCATGTAAACAGAAAGCTTCAGTAGTAGTCATATTTAACATGCTTTTTCAAAAATCTGGAGGTGTCTGTAGCATGTTTGCTTCGTTGTGTTTGCACACCCAAAGTATGCATGTGTGCTATAGTTGGTGTATGTGTTCAGCCTGGGTGTAACAGTGGATATAAACTGACGGTGTTTCTGACCTGTTAGTGATAGGCAGGCGTGTGGAAATGATAAAGACTGCATTGTATCTCTTCTACCTCCTTTTCTATTTTCCCCTTTAGACTCAGAGGGCTTGTCTTGCTAGTAGACACACACACACACACACTGTGAGGCCCCCAAAAGGGGGCATTTACCACTGAGAAGAAGTCCAGATACAAATGTCGCATAGCCACTGTACTTTCCCTTCTGCCTCAACTGGCATTTCCACCATCAATTTCTCATCGGTTTTGAGGACAAGGAACCTTGGAGACAGCCTGACCCTAAACACACTATAATAAGCACAGAAAGAGGAGCTGAGCTGCTTCATTGGCATTTGCAGAATTCTCAGTATACTTACCACTTTGTCATGAGATTTGAAGAAGTTGTTTTTGAACCTCAAACTTCATGAATCTTTTTTTTTTTCAGGGTTGCCGCCGGTCAAACCGCTTTTGACCATCTGCGTCAATAACTACTCTCCCCACTTGCCAATGATGATCGCAGATTGTTCCACCATATTCATATTACAGTTTAAATGACATTTGTTAGTTTTTGCAGTTTACCATCTGGAACCACACATAAAGGCTGGCTGTCGAACACAAACTCCAGTGTGCTTGTGTCAGAGCCAAGAAGCCTGATACATATGGCCGGGGGCTTTGAACCATCTATCCAGCACTACAGTAGAGATATTTATAAACCACTGCAGAGTCTCTTGATTGAGGAGCACATGTTTCTACTCTTCTGCACTGAAACCCCTCCCCATGCAGTCAAGGCACCCCCTTCCCCTTAAAGGCACTATTGTTTACAAGTCACCCAGGGAAAGAGGACGAAGAGTCTCTCCCCTTTTTTCGACTTTTTTGTCCTCCTCCCACATACCCACTGCAGCTCTGGACATTAACAGTATGTGTGAGATCTGAGAACCTTAGGAAGCTTTGAGAAAAATAAGCACAGCTGTGGAGCACTGACGTCATGCGGACCCTATAGTATGACCAACACGTGTTTACATACGGGACGGCATGCATTTTTAGAGTAAGAGAGAAACGTTATCATGCTCGTGTAAGGTCTGCCCAGTGTTGTTTGAGTGAGAGAGACATCAGAATGAGTGCAGCTGTTGGGGATTTGCTGCGGGAGGCTTAAGTCGCGGCTGCATCTCGTCCTCTCTGATGGACCTAGCGGTTCAGTGTCAGGTACCACGAACCCACTGAACTCTGCTCTGCGGCCCTGGGCACTACAGAGATACCGTGCACTCGGCTGTTGATGAACATGGCTTCCTGGCTGCGGCTCTGCATTTATTTAGCTGTCAGAAGATGCATCTCATATGTTGAGATGACGTATAATGATTTTCTGGAAGGCTTTGTGCACAAATATTTTCCCTTGTCAATAGTTTTGACACCGTCGAACGATATTCGCATCATGTCTGGATGTTTTAGGTCACATTTGATGCAGAAAAAGGCATGTTTTCAGCCAGATATTTTCTTCCTGTCACTGGGTTTCTTTCAGGCAGAGAAAAGGGCCAAACTGATGTCAGCGATGAACGCGATGAAGGATCACGAGGAGAGTGAAACAGAGACCCAGAAAGAGGAGGTCTCAATAATCAAGCACCCGCAGCCTTCAAAGCCACACCAACCGCCTCAGCCCCAGTTGCACTCTCAGTCTCAGTCCCAGCCTCAGTATCAGCAGCAATCCCAGCTGTCGCTGCCACAGCAACATAAGCAGCCCCCTCAGCAGCAGCAGCAGCAGCCCACTGACCCGGCCTCCCCCACTGTGGCCACCACCCCTGAGCCCGTCGCCATCGGAGGAGGAGAGAAAACCTCCCCCAAGCCAGCAGACACTGAGCCTGAGTATGAGGTAAGATTGGTGTGACCATTACTCACGTTGGTTGTAAGCCAGAGATTTCTTTTAATCGTTTTGGAGAAAAATTTCGGCTCTCAGCCGGGATTTGTAATCCTTGCTGTTTCAAGTTGCTTTATTTTTCCGAAATTTGCACAAGCTCTCCGGCTCGACTTTGGTGGGGTTGAAGTGATGGCTGAAATGTCAGGGAGTGTTTTTTCTGCAGCATCGGGCTGTTGGCTCTCCGGCTGGTACAGTTTAATGTGGTAGGGGATGATATTTTACAACTCCATTCCCCATATGTTTATCTCTTTGGAAAAAATAGTCTGTTTAAGAGCTATCGCTACGGGTGACACAAAGGATGATCGATGCACGTTGTGTACATAAGTTGTAGAACTGATAAGCATTGTGGTCCTGCTTTTTTCAGCAGGACTATTCCTAAACCACAACTGTATGTACTGTAGCGGCACAGCTCTGAAATTAGATAATAATACTAATAACTAATTGGAACATTTTGAAACAGAAATGAAAAGAGGGGGAGGAAGAGATATGTTAGAGGCTGAAAGATTAAACACATCACATATGGTTTTGATATCTTATTTATAATAAAACATGGAGTTGGATTTACTTATAAATCATTTGGAAGTATTTTCTGATAAAAAATTAATGTAGTTCTATCATACCATGTTATACGATACTTCTAAAGCACTGATAACATTTGCTAAACTTTGTTGAGGCCTCATTTTATTCCTACAACTGGGGGTTAAACTGAAATGGGGTCTTGCGTGGCTCAGCCGACTGACATATAATCCACCATGTTGAGTGGAGTCACTCATCACTACAAGACCCATCACAGGTCCTGCCCGCTCCACAACAAGCCGTAACATGCCCAGCGTGAAAGTTTTCCTTCAGCAGTAGTTTTCCCTTTTCATATCTTACACATCTCTACTGACACTGAGAAACATACCACACATCCCGTTGTCATAAAAACACAAAGGTAACACGAAGGTTGATAACTCACAACCTGAGCCCACGTGGTGTATTTTAGCATTTAACATCTGTTGATGTGATTGGCTATCAGAAAGTTGTTGCTTTGATTGTTTTATGCATAGCTGCAGATCTCCAATAAGAAAGTGTGTAAAGGCGCGCTCATCTGTCATGACAGCCTTAAAATTGACCGTCTTAATGCTTTGAAATGCAAGTGGGCTGCGTTTTGGTTGCCTTGGTGTAATCTAAGCAGCTGATACTTTTTTTACTCATCCTGGTACTCAGGACACACTGGTTTTCACAAGAATTTTTAACTCTGCCCAGAAGTTGATACATAATAGATAATTTATCCTTTTTTTTCTTTTTCTTTCTGCTGAAGGATGGTCGTGGGTTTGGCATCGGTGAGCTGGTTTGGGGGAAGCTGCGAGGGTTCTCGTGGTGGCCAGGCCGCATTGTATCCTGGCTGATGACAGGCCGGAGCAGAGCTGCCGAGGGAACCAGATGGGTTATGTGGTTTGGAGATGGAAAATTCTCAGTGGTGAGTATTTAGAGCCAACATGAATGTTTCAGCCAGGTAATTTTTCTTGTGCTATTTCATAGACACAGACTGCAACTCCCTCACAGTCACATACTTCATAACAAACTTTTTTCTTGGTTTACCAGTCGCTCTTTTGACTGTTGACTTTTGACATCCAGACCCGTTATTTGCCGTGCACATTTGTGAAGTGAAAAATATTTGTTATTCTTTACAGGTCTGTGTTGAGAAACTCATGCCTTTAAGTTCTTTTACTAATGCCTTTCACCAACCAACTTACAACAAGCAGCCCATGTACAAGAAAGCCATCTTTGAAGTGCTACAGGTTAGTCCTAAAGCAGTGGGGTGGTCAATCCTATCTTTACAACCACCTCTGTAAATGATCTTTGTTGCTTGTGCAAACATAGCAAAAATGATAGATATAGTTGTTGTTTTTATTGAAAGAAAATCTTTGTTATTATAGAAACGTCAAAAGAAGATTTATATGGGACATTTGAAGGGATTGGGCAGCTTTGAAATATATTTTCCTACATGTCATACGATAGGGGAGAAGTTCAGTTGAATGTTTTTGATGGGCTTGCAGGTGGCTAGCAGCCGGGCAGGAAAAGCTTTCATGGCCTGCCCTGAAAGTGATGAGACAGAAACGTCCAAATCAGTGGAAATGTTGAACAAGCAGATGATTGATTGGGCCATGTTAGGATTTCAGCCCACCGGAGCCAAAGGCTTAGAGCCACCAGAGGGTAAGAACAAGTCAACTTTCTGTGGCAGCTGGAAAAGTTCAAGTCACCCGATGCACATTTCTTTAATTAATTGTTATGATCAAACAATTCGGGGTCATTTCTGTTATGATAATTGTCTGATGTACTGTGCACTCCAGAGGAGCGTAACCCATACAAAAAGGTGTACCCAGAGATTTGGGTTGAGCCAGAGGCAGCGGCATATACACCTCCTCCAGCCAAAAAACCTCGCAAAAGCACAGCAGAGAAACCCAAGGTTAAGGACATCATCGATGAGAGGACACGAGGTAAGGCGCTCTGTTTATGAGCTTATACATGCATCAAATTCAGTCCTTTGAGAAGATGTCAGGGGGTATTATATAAACATACGGGATCTGAGAAGCAATGTTTTATACAACAATGATCAGGCAAGCAAAAAGGCCGATTGCTAAAAAAAAAAGAAGCTTGTGGTTATTTCCAAATGTGCTCTATCGATATTATAGGTTTGCCGGGTCTCTGTCCCCTACATGTGATGTAAATAAAGATTTAGTTTTGGTACTTTTATACAGTCGTCAGCTGTCTAAATGCCGCAATATAACAAACTGGATTTACCGTAGTCCATGTGGAGCACAAAAGCTTCCCGGAGGCACTGCAAATCTTACAGCAAAACTAAAGTGAGGTAGAGTTCGAACTTTTCCAGCGTTTACAGCTGGCTGTTAATCTTCCAATCTGCACTTTTTCAGAGCGACTTGTTTATGAAGTCAGACAGAAGTGCCGCAGCCTTGAGGGTAAGTGCCGTGTCCTCTGAAAGCTGCTGAAACCTCTGCCTCTGTGTGTCCATAGAATGATTAAAGTAAAGAAGGACAAATACCATTTCTGTGATTTATGTGGCCTTTCGGTGGCCCTTTTGTGTTTTCTCTGAACACACTAGTAAAGATAATTAGACCTACCAGAACTGCATCACAGCTGTCCAAATCATTTAATCTGGTGTGAGTTCACAATACGCACACCTCTTTGACCCCTTCCTGTTAAATCCTGACTCATGCCTCTCTCCCCGCAGACATCTGCATCTCTTGCGGAAGCCTCAATGTTAGCCTCGAGCACCCTCTTTTTGCTGGGGGAATGTGCCAGGGCTGTAAGGTACGCCATAGCAGTAGCCGCGTAGCATCTTTTGTGTCATTAGACACCCACAGCCAGCATAATAAACCTTATACCCGATCTGAGCCTGTGACACTTTGCTTTGTAACATGTCCCACTGCCTGCCTTTGACTTCCTCCGTGCAGAATTGTTTCCTAGAATGCGCATATCAGTATGATGACGATGGTTATCAGTCGTACTGTACTATCTGCTGCGGGGGACGTGAGGTTCTCATGTGCGGAAACAACAACTGTTGCCGGTGAGGATTTGAAGGGTTGTGGGTTTTTTTTTTGTCTTTGTCTTTATGGGGCTTCTGTCCATAACCAGTCTGCTGTACTGTTGTGAACATGCATTACTGCTGGGGGTTTATTTCACTCTCAGATGCCTGTAATCGACAGACTGTCTCACCAGCTGGCTCTTTTATGTTGTGGCTGAACAAAGGATAAGCACAGAGGCTGAGAGAATAACAGTATAGAAAATAAATAAATGCCTTGATCCTCTCAAAACCATCTCCGAGTGAAAGCTTGATCTCCTCTGGCACTATCAAAAACAAATAGATGGTAGTTATATTGATTATAAAAAAGGGTCACTCATTGTAGCAAGTAGAGCCTCTCACCAAAGAGGACAGAACAGAAACCTAGGAAGCGCAAACTCATCTCTTTTCTGAATCTGTGAACCTAAAACAGGAAACAAGCGTTATTTACGAAACAAACTCACTTTGAGTTTTTGTTTCAAAACTTAAAGATTAATTTGTATGATATAACTGTATAGTATCACTTTTGATGATTGTACACTCATTTTGCACTCAGTGAGGATATTCAGCGCTGTTGCACATGTTTTATTTTTATTTTCTGAGTCTCCTTTGCTTCTAGAAGTTCTCAGAAAATGGATGTATAAAAGCATGAGCCAAACAATTCACATGTTTTCCGTCAGCTTTAAAAAATGTTCAGTTAGGGAGTGCCAAGTAAACCCCCTCGGCACAAATATACTCTGTTGACATAAGCACGGACAGCAGCATTATATCATGACATTAAATGAAAAGCCTTATTGTGGGACACAAATTTAATAACGCCAATATCAGCCACCATCACAGATGTCAAGTTTGAGAAGCAGCTAGTGATAAGAGTTATGCATCGTGTGGCTGCCTTATGTTAGCTAAACAGACCTACTTGCAAGAACAAAGAGTCCTAAAAATACCCCACATAGTAAGAGCATGACAACAAAGTTGTCTAAGAATACTAGTGAGAACAGGTTGAGTATTGTTAGATGCATGGTGGACCAATCTGCAGGAGCCGCTTTGCTCTCTCTTTTCGATGGTGGCGCTTGATATTTGGATGACATTTTGATGAGGACTCACTGCCTCTCAAACTGCCATGTTTGCAGATGGGAAAGGGATTTTCTGAGTTTCTGACCTCCGGACCAAATTAGGTTGGAGAAAGGTTTCAGTCATCCGTGCTTACCTTAATTGAATGGGCTTATCTTAAAATATTCTGTTTGCTTTTTTGCATTTTTGTTTTTTCCTATCAGTTAATCTCATCATAACAGAAGGTTGAAAAGAGGTTTGTCCAATTCTTCCTGCCTTATAGCTTTACTTCCTTTATTCATCCCAGCATCTAGCCAAAATGATTACATAGTTACTAAGTGGATTAATATGGACTGATGTATAAAAAAGAACATATGTTAAATACAACTATTAACTATGAATTAGTTATTACAATAAATGAAAATAGATGAGTGCTGTGAGAACTTACTACAGAAGGACAGTGTGAATTAGATCATAGACAACTGATTTTGTTCCACAAAAAAATAAATAAAACAGAAACTACAAATGTGACAACAATCAAGCAACCCCCTTTTTTTCTCCATAGCCTACCGCTATCCACATTCCCAGAAATGTGGGGGCTTTCTAAAATAAATAGATTTACTGCCAGACCAAACATTTCTTAAGAAAACTGAGAGATTTATCCCCTGACAGAAACATTTGTGGGAATTTTGGTAGAGCTTGTTTTAGCCACTCAAACTTTGTGTGTGTGTGTGTGTGTGTGTGTCTTTGTTTTTTTTTCCCCCACGGATTTTTGGCCTAAAAGTTAGCAAAACACTCGTATACGCCCTCACTATACTTATTTCCCCCTTCTTTTCATTCTTCTTCATGTTTGGGGTGTCAGATAGCTTTTTCATGTGTGTGTTTCAGCGGGGTTGATTTACAGTATGGGACATGTTATAACCTATTGAGCTGGTTTAAATACCTCTTTCACAGCGCTTGTAGTAATGCACTTCCTCGCCTTGTGTTCAGGTGCTTCTGTGTGGAGTGTGTGGACCTCCTCGTGGGTCAAGGAGCAGCTCACGCTGCCATTAAAGAGGACCCGTGGAACTGCTTCATGTGCTCTCAGAGTGGCATGTTCGGTCTGTTGGAGCGCCGTGGCGACTGGCCCTGCCGTTTACAGCACTTCTTTGCAAATAACCACGACCAAGATTTTGTAAGCAGATCCACCCTAGGGCCAAAGCTGACGGCAGATGGCTGGCGGAGGCCTCGCTTAATTCCCTCTCACCCCGTCGTTTCAGGATCCACCAAAGCTTTACCCCCCTGTCATGGTGGAGAAGAGGAAGGCCATTCGCGTTCTGTCACTGTTTGATGGCATAGCAACAGGTCAGTCACAGAGCTCCTTCCTTTTCTCTGAATCTGAAAGATTGGTTGTCAGTTCATTAAATACCAGCATGAGTTTCAAATTTGTCAGTGTTCTCTTTGAAGTGCTTTAAAAGACAATATCAGTCTGTATTGTTTGGGAGACTGGTGTAGATTGAGTGGATTCATTGGTTGGATTAAACAATGTCAAGCTTCATTTCAGTCTAAGTGGACCCTTTTGGGACCATTTAGTTGGTGTTGGAAAAACCCTCGACTTGTCCTTAGTGTCTTTGCTTTTCCTCCGACCCGGTTCAGGGCTGCTGGTGTTGAAAGAACTTGGCATCCAAGTGGATCGCTATGTAGCTTCAGAAGTGTGCGAAGACTCCATCACAGTGGGCATCGTCCGGCATCAGGGACGCATCATATACGTTGGTGATGTTAGGAACGTCACACGCAAACATGTGAGTATTTTTGTGCTCTGCTTTTGGTCGTACCTTTCTTGGTTTCAGTGGTGGAACTCTTTAAAATGCAAAAATGTTTTATTTTAAACGGGGGAAAATAACTCACGATAGATGATTAAATGAAGGGAGTTTAAGCTTGCTGGTGGTCGGCTTTAATAATAGATGTTATTACTAACTAAGTACAGTCCTAAACAGCAGTTGGTGTTCTCTGAGGATGAACCAAAAGAAATCTGGCAGTGTACCTTCCTAAATATGAACATCTCTTTGAATGTGACTCTGGCTCTTATACCTGTGCAGATTCAGGAGTGGGGTCCTTTTGACCTCGTTATTGGTGGAAGCCCCTGCAATGACCTCTCAATAGTCAACCCTGCTCGGAAGGGTCTTTATGGTAAGGTTATCATACACCATTTACCTAATGCTTCGTATGATCGTAGAAGGTTTTGTGAATTTTGTTTATTTTTTGACCAAAAGAGGGAACTGGCCGCCTTTTCTTTGAGTTTTACCGCCTGCTCCACGAGGCCCGGCCGAAGGAAGGAGACGACCGACCTTTCTTCTGGCTCTTTGAAAACGTTGTTGCCATGGGTGTCAGTGACAAGAGGGACATATCTCGCTTTTTGGAGGTGAGTTTGTTTTTTTGACCGCCTGAAGTCAGGTCTTCATTTTTCTGTCTTTCTTGCTTAATGTGCAAGAAAAAAACTCCCCCCGTTAACACTGATTGTCAACTGGATGTTGTCGGAAAAATGTCCTGACTGTGGCTCTGCTCTCATAAAACTTTGATTTCATAGTTGGAGCGTCACATGACACCATTAGATGACGTAAAGAAAATGCTTGTACAGTTAATTCTCTAAACTTACATGCACAGTGGCATTCCAGGGCTCACACGTTTGATCCGATGACTGGCGTCCTCTGCCATGAACGCGCTGAGAATGCCGGTATTGTTAAATGGCCACATCAAGCAGGAGCTGTAGTTAAAGTCAAATGTGCATTAAACTCTGCTGGCTGTGATGTGACCGCAGTCACATGAGGATTTATGGATCATGAATGCCCCCTTGTGGTAATGAAACAGTATGTTTACCCCCCTGTAGTCAGAGCCTTTTTTTCTTGACGGAACTCTTTAATATACAGAGTTTAATTTTATTTATAAACTCACCGATTCTGTATTCTGCTCTCCATACTGTACTCTGCCACATGATAAACTGAATAACATTAAGGTTTGGGAGGGAATGTAACAGTTTAATTTGACTCGAGAGTGATTTGAAATCCAGTCACATGAGTCGTCTCAGCCAATCGTCTCTCCTCGGCTCTTCTTGCAGTGTAACCCGGTGATGATCGACGCCAAGGAGGTGTCGGCTGCCCACCGCGCCCGCTACTTTTGGGGTAACCTTCCTGGCATGAACAGGTGAGTAAAGCGACGTCAGTGGTTCCCAGAGTTGCGTGTGAACCAAACGGCTTTACGTATTCAACACAGCAAAAAGGCTACTTTGAACATATGTTAATCCCTAAAAATAAAATAAAAACTCAGGAAACGTTCAACTTTTAAAGTAATAGTACCGCCTCCTAGGGGTCTCAACTAAGTTCGGTTCTAGCCGCAGAGTTACTGAAGCTGGGATACTATTTGAAATAACAGATGAAGTGTTCATTCACTCAGAAATGTAACTCTAAATGTGAACGTCTGCTCACATTCTCCTGCAGGCCTTTGAGTGCCATGTTCACGGACAGGCTGGACCTCCAGGAGTGTTTGGAACATGGAAGAACAGCTAAGGTGCATTTGTAATAATTAGCTAATTGACAAATGGAAATGACATTAAATAAACAAACAACAAAATGTTTTGCTCTAATCTGTAAAAGAGTTGACAAACAAAGAAAGAGGACGTCCGGTTTTCTTCCTTGCCCCGATGTTTCAGTTATTCCTGTTTCTTTCTTCTGGCAGTTTGGCAAAGTGAGGACCATCACCACCAGGTCTAATTCCATCAAGCAGGGTAAGGACCAACACTTCCCCGTGTTCATGAACGAGAAAGAAGACATACTCTGGTGCACTGAGATGGAGAGGTATGTAGGCACAAAGACTCATGTCTCTCTGAGCAGAATTTGAAGATGTTTTCTCTGTGTTTTCCACTGCTTTGCTCACGGTGTGTCCCTCTGGTTGTGTTTGTGTCCGGTGGGTGCTTCCGTCAGGGTCTTTGGCTTTCCTGTCCACTATACGGACGTGTCCAACATGAGCCGACTGGCCAGGCAGAGGCTCCTGGGAAGATCATGGAGTGTCCCAGTTATCCGCCACCTGTTTGCACCACTTAAAGATTACTTTGCCTGTGTTTGAGCACTGGGAAACATTGCTCAGAACCGTTTTAGGAACTACAACGTAGAGCCTTGATCCTCAAATTATACTTCAGTATGATTTGCAAGAGAAACATTATATACTTCACCTTATTTCTTGTATTTTAATTGTAATTCTTATACTATTTAAATCTTTTTTTTTTGTCATTTTACCTTTTAGCAGTGTTATCAAGTATTATTGATTTGTTTGTGCAAACTATACTTGAGACTATGCTCTCTTCTCAAGACACTGAGATCTAGAGAGAAACACGTTGTAAAAGAGAGGATAATGCGGGGGGTAAACATCAGAAAGACGGGCCGTTTTTTTTTTTGGTGTGTGTGTGTGTCTTTTAAAAAAAAGAGTTTCTGGGGCGTGAGTGTGTTGTAAGTGGAGGCTGAAAGATGGCCGCCGGCAGCTCAGCCATGCTTCCAGCTACTGAGCCTCACAGAGATGTGAAGAAGAGGAAGGTGATTTTTTTTTTTTTATGTCAGGAGAGCCGTGTCTCTGAGAATCCAAAACTCCAGATCACATATACCTCTTTGTTTACAGTTTCTATACACAACTGAAGGTAATAATAAAGGTACTACTGTAATATGGTTACAATACCATGGTGCTCCAAGATGATGAGAAACATCATTGCCCATGTGGCACAACAACTTTAGACAATACAGAGCTCTTTTGACTTGTTGCTGGAAATACGTTTGATGTTTTTACATTTGATGAAAAAAAAAAAGAAAAATCAGTCCTGTGGCCGTTTTCTCTACTTTAGAGGAATCGTGAGGGTCACAGACATTACACTGCTACAAAGAGCCTGTGCTCCTCTACAGCTTTTTATACCCTTTCTACTGGTGCTCATTTAGTCCTCTCAGCCTTGCGACACTCAGGCTCCCAGCCTCAATCTGCACAAACAGAGAGTGAAGCTAGCCACATGGGAGATGATGCTCTCAATCATTCAAAAAAACAAAAAAAAACAAGAAAAAAAATAAACAAACAAACAGGAAAAAAAATAACTTCAAGAGCAAAGTCTGTGGTGAGCTACTTTTTTCTAGTTTCATCCTGACTAATATTACTGTACAACTGTTAGTGAACGGGGTTGCAGGAAGGGGGGGGGAGGGGGGGGGAGACAAGGCCGGGGAACAGTGCTCCCCAGCATCCACCTCTGTAAGCTGAAAAACTGTCAGGTGCAAATCCTCAACAACATGGTGCGGCTTCACAAAGTTCTTCTACCTTTTTATAGCAATTTTGTGCTGTTTTCTCAACATTAGAAAGCACTTTTATATGTATACTTTCCTTTTTTTTATTATCTTGGATTTATGATTTTTTTCAATGTTGCTTTTTTTGTGATTTGTTCCTGGTTCAGTTTTATGATGTGAATTGATCTACCCTTGTGTAATACTTCTTTTGTATACAGTAAGGCTGTGCCAATGAAAGTGCAAGTATGACTTTTGATATGTGAACCCCACGTTATTGGACTGTGTACATACAGTAGGTGGATTTACCTTTGTAATCTCAAATCTTCTCTCCTTTCCTCTGTCATCTGTGTTGTTTAAAGCGACAGCGCAGTCAAGTCGCCACCACATTTCAAAGAATGTCTATTTCCTGTAAGATTGTAAGATGTAAGGCAGAGTCTAAGAGCCGTGTTGTCTGCTTTGTGTGATTTGTTGTCCCTCGTGAAGGACAACGTGGGCCTCTGCTGTTTCCTTGGTAAATCGTAGTGGCCATGCTGGCCGATTTTATAAGTGCTGATTCCCACTCGGATCACGTTCGCCAACTAAATTCTCTTGATTGTAACGTCAAAGCTAAACATGGAGGATTTAGGCTGCAGTTTGTCAAAACGAAAAACTGACACGGTGTCGGACTAAGACGTCGGCACTCAAAGAAAAAAAAAAAAGGCTTTTAGAAGCAGATGTTTATGCTTGTGTATGATATTTAAGATTCATCCTTTGAAATTGAATTTCTTTTCTGTAATTCATTTCTTAAGTGACCTTATTGCCATTGTTTCTGTCCCCAGCACATGAGGCTCAGAATCAGCTCCTGTGCTCTGTGATAATTTAACCAGACCCCCCCACCCACCCCCATCATGAAGCTTAACCGGTCCCTTCACCTTTGTACATTGTGTACATAGTTTTCTGGTTGCTGTTTTCAAGTTGTTTTTTGTCTTTTCTTTTGTTCGTATGAGATGTACAAATATAATTCTTTGCTAATATATATGGAAAAAAAGAAAAAAAAAGATCTTAGGTGAACAATTAAAAAGAAAAAAGAAATCGAGTGAGTAATTTGATTCAGACCTTGCTTTAAGTGATAGATGTAGGGGGACGCCAGGTCGGCTTTTTCATTCTGATTTGTTCGTGTCAAGTGAATCCAGATTTTAGCGTTGGGTGAGCTTAGCGTTGGCCTGATGGACAGCATTAAGGACAGTCTCAGTTTCCCCGCACAGCCCTACACAGTGGTGGTGTTTTTTAGTTGATTTTTTGGTTTTTGGTTTGTCGTTATTTGCCTTTGTTTTTTTTTTTTTGCAACTTTTTTTTTTTTAAAAGAGGGTGGTAGGTGTTTCCAATGGTGCTAAACATTTTATCAAGAAAAATATATTTGATTGGAAGAGAAATAAACCCATCTTGACGACGACTGTTTTAAGTTCCTTGTAGTCATGGAAAAGAATTATTATTTCACTCATATAAAGATATTAACAAAGGCATTTTAACTTTGTACTTGAAAAAAAAAGGATAACATTATATTGTTACCTATACTGTTTTAGAATAGAGATTTGCTGTAGTTGGTGCTTATCTGTGGGAACATTGTGTGAGAAAAAAATGGTAAAACCTTTTACTGTAGCATACTGTATGCTTATTGCGCATTGCTTCTTATTGCTACATTCCATGCCGTAATATTCTCTATGTCTGTTTTCAGAACCTTGCTCTGAACCAATGCATATTCTTGTTTAGTTTTTATCAGCAGCAGCTTTTCTTGACACGGATCAAGACAGGTCAATACTTCTATACTTGGTGATGCTTTTAACACTCTCTGTGACTTTTGTTTCTGTCATGACTGTTTTTCTGGCCTAAACGCTTCTCCTCAAGAACAGTTCTTACAGCAAATGTAGCAGTCATTCTCCACTTTGACCACCCTCCCTGCCCCGCACCTTCTGCGCCCCACATACCCATGTTTAGTGTCCAGAGAGAAGATAAAGGCTCCGTATGTACTTGTGCTGGAGAACACTTGAATAAATGTCTTGTTTTTTGTGCAAAAACATCCATGGTCTGCTGTTTTTTTTCTTTTCACAGAATGTGTTTTTGATTTAATAATTTTTTTCTCAACCACTATAGAATATTGCTGTAGCTCAGATTAACAGTCGACACGTTTGATAATGAGTTAACCATTGTTGTAAAACAGCTTGGGAATGACCTGTTTCCTTTGTGACTGTCATCATAAAGATGTGCAAAGTAAACAATCGGCCCGGATTCAGTTTCCATGCCAACAGGCCCTTGAGCAAAGGACTTGTTTGTCAGGGTGTGCCCTGTGAGAGCTCACCATCCTCAGTGCCACCATCCTGCTCTTCTCTGACAAAAACAACATACCATTACTTGGCTTTCCATTCAGCCATTTCTTATCTAAAGTCTGGGAAATCATCAATATTCCTGTAAGCTGTTTCAGCCCTTTGGAAGGTCTTAATTCCTAACCGGTTCAATCCATGACCAGAGAGCGACCGAAAAGCCTTAAAAATGCAATTCAATGATAGAATAAAGAAAATAAACATGTTAAAGTCATGATGATAGAAGAGAGAATGGGGTGGGCTGTGTATCCATGAGTCTCACTGTGCTCTTCATCACCCTCTTGATGGGATAATGGTACATCCTCCTCCGACTGGAAACGCCCTGACGTCCACGGTAATTGGGCGAGGCGGTGGCCCAGCCTTTACTCTGAGCTGCTGATTGGAGCGTGCCTTCGTCTCCCGGCCTGATGCTGCAGCCTCAGTCAGGTTATCCGCAGAAACAGAGAGAGGGGCCGGAAGACATGAATTTCAACTAAATAAAACGTCAGCCCCCCGTGTTGCTCATTAAGCGCAGACCATTTACTCATTTCATGTGGAGATACTATACACACCTTGACCTTTTGTCCTGTAGAGGGAGTGACTCCCTAACTTTATAAAAGAAGGATTTGATCTATTTCCTTCCTTTGATTTCAGTTTAATTTCAAGTGGTGCATTTATAGACCCACTCTGGCTTTTTGATACACTTCAAAAATATAATCAGTCACTGGGTGATGGTTCGATGGTTCCTTTGGTGAGCCGTTTCTCTTCCGATGTCTTACACTGATCTAAGTCTTGGCTGGTGGTAATTCCACAGGCTTCTTGGTAAATCATTCTTGCTAAGAGCCTGTGGTCATTTATGGACTGTCTGTCTCAAACATGCAGGACTTTGGGCATCCATAAGGCCTCATGTAGACACTTTATGGATCGAAGAAACCTTAATTGTCTGTCCAAATACACAGAGAGGAGGCATCTTATGGTGAGGGTTCAGTTATCCCTGAACAGGTTCACTAACTTGAATGTCTTTTACTCTGAAAAGTTCGACCGGAAGTGGCTCTTGTGTCTCTACGTTGCTTTGACGGTGATGATGCTGCGGTCTGCTGGTGGCGGACCGGCCGGGAAGGCATCCATCTGGTGTGTGTGTATCCACTCGGGAAGTGCCGTCCACGGGACTGTGTTGCCTTCCGTTCCTGTCAGACAGCAGCCGGAGAGCCGCGTGGAGCACCACCACCACCAGCACCACCATTACCACCACCAGCACCACCAGCAGCAGCAGGCCCGTTCAGGAGGTACGAGCTCCACCCTTTCCAGCCTTCCCTCTCCCCCCCGGGTTGCCAGGAGACTTTGTCTCCACGCGACCGCGGCCAACACGTCAGGGGTGTCCGCCCAGCCCTCATGCTTCCTGCCAGCCTCCCTCAGGATTTACCCACACCCTAAAGCAGCTACAACCACACCTCCACCTCTTTCCCCCCTCGGCCCGGGGAGCAGGCGTCTGTAGGCCGCTCTTCCCGCCCGCTAACGGGCCGCTTAATTACGGCACGCGCCGGTTAATGAGACGCCGGTGTGTGGGTCGCGTCGAGCCCCTGTGCAGCCGAACGCGATGGAGGGCGGTTTCTTTGTGTCAGGTGTCATCTTCTCCCTCGGAATGGGCGATAACAACGTGGGTGCCGTTCACGCCAGATGCCTGCGGAATCTCGGCCTATATACAGGCGGTGTGTTACTTATTTTTGACTTATTGAAAATAGGTCAAAATATTCCATTTGGGCGTCTGGGTGGGTGGGACCGCGCTCGCTATTGAAATGAAAAAAATGCGTCCCCATTCTCACACCTAAAACGTATCCATTCATTTACACAGCCAGCAAAAAAGCGTGTGTTTGTTATTTACTTATAAATAACTTCCACGGGGCTCTGATATGATCATTTTTCTGATGCATTTGGAGTCGCCTCCCTGGGCTTAAGAGAACAGGGGACAGTTTAATATGTAACACGTGAACGGTGGATACTGGATAATGGCTTTTGGGGAATGAGCCACCTCTGAGTTATCATCCTCCATCACATCTAGATGTGTGAAGGAGGACATGCCTTGCAGTAAAGTTGCCGCACCCTCATACGTACGCATTCTGCAAGCACGCAGAGAGGGGTCCAAACACACACACACACACGCACAAAAGACATCACAGCACTACCCCAGTGGGTTGGAAGAAGGAAGGGAGGGTGATTTTAGGGATTGTTTCTTTGTTACTCATGATGAGTTAATCCTTGATGGGAGGCTAATCACACCTAGTCTGCTTGAGAACTGGTTGGAAAGAGAACATTTTCGCACAACTGTGTGTGGGATATGTGTGTGTGCTTGGACAGAGAAGATTAATGAAACATTAGCGATCCAATCAGCCCCGCCTGAGAGCAAGCCTTTAAAATACCATTCCATCAATATTTTCCCTGTAAAATAAAAACTTGTCCAAGTATTAAATGCTCAGACTGAATAGCATACCGTCCTCGTGCCCAGTCGTTTAACGGTTGATATTTTAAAAGTACGGACAAGAATGAACAAATGAACAGTTTCACAGGAAGACTAGAACACAGATGGAGCAGCAAAACACGTGAATTCAGCTCTTTTGGACCCTTTAGTGCTTTGATATCCTAGCTGATATGGTCAGTCTATTTGGTAAGTGATTGAATTTGGTTGTGGTTTCAGCCAGTATAACTGGTATCGACAAGCCTAAGAGATTAGATAAATATATAAACTGGACGGAGGAGAAGTCTGATTGCCCCTATTCAAGCTCTTAGAATGAGCATGACCCGGATGACTGAGAATTCGCACCAACATCGTATTGATAAGCTCCCCAGTCTGTTGGACATCATTGCTAGTAGCTTTATGCCTCTTAGGTCCCTTAAAATAATGGCCTTATTGAGTCTTGTTTGGCTTATTGTCAATCACAGCTGATTTCAGCCTCTTTCTGTTGGCCACGTCCTGGCCGTCCTCTGGGACGTCAGGGCTCAGGCCGTGACTGACACAGCCTTTACTCGGAGTTGTAGCTGATGTCAGTCACAGTGGGACAGACCGGTCACAGAGTAACATCGCTGGGCCTTCTTCTTCCTCCTCCTCTGCTCTTGTTACACTGTCTCAGAATGAGGTGCTTCAATTTTCACAAACATATTTGCCTTTCTTTTGATTTCTTGTTAATTTCTTGTCGTTGTTTTGCTTTCTGTGACTCGAGTGGCCATGCTTCGGTACCAGCCTGGGCTAAAAAGGCTTCCGGCCCCACTGAGAGAGTTTTTGTTCCTCTCCTCCCCGCAGAGCGATAGCCATGTCTTCCAGCTCGGCGATGGTGCGGATTCTGATAAAGGGCGGTAAGGTGGTGAACGATGACTGCACCCAGGAGGCCGACGTCTACATCGAGAACGGCATCATCCAGCAGGTGGGGAAGGAGCTGATGATCCCCGGGGGGGCCAAGGTGATCGATGCCTCTGGAAAACTGGTTCTGCCCGGGGGGATCGATACCAGCGTCCACCTGGAAGAGAGCTTCATGAATGCCATCACGGCTGATGATTACTACAGCGGCACCAAGGTAATGCCCGGCTGGTACTGGAAATAACACAAGATGGAGAAACCTTTGCTTCTTTTCTCTAGATTTCAATTTGAGTGATTATTTTTTTCTATGTTACTGCAGTACAGCAAGTATGATGACAAATAGATCATTTCCACTGATATTATTTTTTTAACTACTTCACTTTTATGTATCTTCTGTTTATTGTTCTTATGTATGTGCCTCTTAACGCTGCAATTATTTTTGCCAGAGCAACTCTTGCTGAGTAGAGCTGTATTTGCAGCCATGAAACATGATATATAAAGCTAACTGGAGTGAAAAATGCACGTTAAAAGCTGGTGGTGTCAGTTCAAGCACCGAAACTCTCCTCTTTCCTCTCCAACAGAGGACGCTAAATATATTGTTTTGAAGCCATATCATTTGGAAGTTGGACTGAGAAAATCTTAGTGTTAAATGCTCGTAAGAGAAAAATGGTGGACACAGATGGGGTAATTGCTTGAAAATTTTTAATGGCTTGGGTTTTTCTTAACTTGCGGTCATGATTTATTAATGAATACTTGTTTTTTTCAGGATTTTTTCTAGATTTTCCGGTATAATTTATGAATAGAATGGGATTTTTTTTTTTTTATTCAAAAGTTTACACACTGTAGTTTCTCTCCAGCCTCATGCAAAGATGATTTGGCACTTTGCTGTTAGCAGGGCTGATCGTGGGTCAAACGGGGATACCCCGCTCTGCAGTGGGGCACCATGATGACTCACCACTCTGTAGCGCTTTAAGATGATGGCAGCTGAGATCTGGTGGGTGATATGACCGTGCAGACACCGGTGACAGACACTATTCTCCACTGTTCGCCACCCTCACCGCCCGCCCCTCTCTCCGTCTGCCTCCTGGCCCCTCCCTGCCCGCTCCGCTGCCGCTGTGCTCCAGAAAAAGTCTGGAGACAAATGCAGATCGGTATCTGTTTCCATGGAGACCAGATGGCTGCTCCAAAGACTGCCGCAAAGCCTTTTCACTCACGCCATTGTGCTGAGAAACAATGGTTCTCAGACCTACACCCCCTACCCCCCCCATCCTCCTTCCCAGTTTGGACTACTCAACTCCCTCTTGGGTCAGCTGACAGATGCTCAGTGAAGCATGCCCTTATACACAAAACACATTTAATTTGTTGGGGTAATTAAGACATACAGCTGTAGTTCTTCTTTTAGAGAAAAGTAAAGAAGAAAGTTGTCTGGCTATGCAAAAATAACACAGAATTATGCCATCCAAATACCTTAACTGCCTTTTTAATCAACAGTTATCTGTAGATAACCATAAAGATGAATGGCTTTAGATCAGCAACTGTGCTGAGAGGCAGCTGACGGCTCAATTAGAATGAATTGTGTCTGTTTAATGTCACTTTAATATTTAATGTTGATTTCATGTTTGATTCATATTCAGCTCATTTCACTCTTGCTCATTGATTTGACTCTTGTTCCGTGATTGATACAAAAAGTGTTGAACACACTTGTGATCCACATTCTGCATAACTTAAGAGTTATTGTTTGCATTTCTTCTAGGCTGCCTTGGCTGGTGGTACAACAATGGTGATCGGACACGTCCTGCCAGAGAGGAATGAGTCTCTGCTGGAGGCCTACGAGAACTGCCGCAGCTCGGCGGACTCCAAAACCTGCTGTGACTACGCTTTGCATGTGGGAGTTACTTGGTGGGGACCCAAGGTACTGAAAAAACTATGCTTCCTGTCTTCCTTTTGCTGCCACTTAGTCACTTTTGTTAACTTAAGCCTTAAATTGTGAGATATGATCAGTGAGTACAATTTTTTTAAATGTTTTTTTTCCCAAGTGTGTACAATTGTTAAGATTGTGCATTCTTTTTTATTGTACCAGTGAAAGGTAACATTAATTCCAAAAGCAGTCACTCTTTCTTCAATTTATTATTTCAAACTTTTCTGTTTTTCACTGCCCACGTATTTACGAGAATAAATCGTGGAAAGAAATCCTATCAGTTTCCATTTAATGTCCATTACCACTTTGATTATTTATGAATTGGGGCACTTTGCTGAACTCATTTTCACTCCCCCTCTTGCAGGTGAGAGCGGAAATGGAGAAGCTTGTGAGAGAGAAAGGAGTTAATTCCTTTCAGATGTTCATGGCTTACAAGGACATGTTCATGCTGAGGGACAGCGAGCTTTTCCAGGTCCTGCAGCACTGTAAAGACATTGGAGCCATTGCCAGGGTCCATGCTGAGAATGGGGAGCTGGTGGCAGAGGTGAGCACGAACCTGTGCCAAGTTAAAGGATCTCACACACATCTCAGTCTGAGTTTACTGAGAAGACTGAGCAAGCTGCCTCTTTTAGGAAGAGTTAACAGGTGAAAGCATCATTTCTCCTTAAAAAGTAAGCAAATACCTTAGTTTAACAAAAGAAGAAAAAATCCCACTCTGTTGTATGCTTTGTTGTGTCATTTTAAACCTGCTCACGAACAAATGAAACAAACTGAAATAGAATAAATCTCCTCAGTTTATGGGTGAAGTGAAATGTGTGACAATCAGGGCATGACAGATAAATGTCAGCCACTCGTATCAGGAACCGGGTACACAAACTTTGTTTTTAAAAGTATTTATCCACTCTAAAACATTAAGAGATACCTTTTACACTCACCATTCACCATATTTTCGTTTTTAAACTGTAACATGTCCCTTGCCTTTTCTCAGGGTGCTAAGGAAGCGTTGGACCTGGGCATAAGTGGTCCAGAGGGCATTGAAATCAGCCGGCCTGAGGAGGTATATTGCACAAGATTAATCAGCTGAGGATATCCTTGTCAGATTAGTTCATTGCTATTGTTCCATGCCTTTACAGCTGGAAGCAGAAGCCACGCACAGAGCAATTACTATCGGCAACAGGGTAAGTTCACAAACAAAATAAATTATATACTTTATGTACAGCTAAAGTCACTAGGGATTAGAAGTGGTGAAATCGTATACTTTGAACCTCAACATACGACTTTTGTGTGTCTTTTTTTGTCAGGCCCACTGTCCAGTCTATCTTGTAAATGTGTCCAGCATGTCTGCAGGAGATGTAGTGGCCTCTGCCAAGATGCAAGGTGAGGCTAATATTATCTTACGTTAGATGTTACCCGTGAGTAAAGAAGTTTACATGCAGATAAAATCGCACTTCAGGACAAGTTTGTGTTTCTCTGCTTTCCTGTTTGCTCTTTATTTGGGATCCTTTGTGTTGTATGGACACAGGTAAGGTGGTCCATGGAGAAACAAGCACAGCCCACGCTGTCCTGAATGGCATGCAGTACTATCATCAGGACTGGTCCCACGCGGCTGCCCATGTCACCGTACCTCCCCTTCGCCTGGACCCCAATACTCCCAATTTCCTAATGAGTCTGCTGGGAAAGTGAGGAAAATCCTTCAATTAATGCAAACCAAATGACATGTCACAGTTTCTGTCAGTGATCCAGGAACAAGCGTGACTAAGTGTGCCTCCTCTGTCTGGCCACAGTGACACCCTGAACGTGTTGGCATCTGACCATCGTCCATTTACCATTAAACAGAGAGCCATGGGTAAGGATGATTTCACAAAGATCCCCCACGGGCTGCCTGGCATTCAAGACCGCATGAGCATCATCTGGGAAAAGGGAGTGGTATGGTTTCCCTTTTTTTTCCCCCTGTCTGCAAGCAATCTTCCACAGAAAAGAGATCTGAGTTGTTTTTATGGTTATTGATATACTGTTTATTGCCATAGTGGCTCAGAAGCAGCTTTCTTTGTCGTATTTTGAATGATCCCTAAGATTGAATGGTTGAATTTATGTCTGCCATAATTCCCAGATCGGAGGTAAAATGGATGAGAATCGCTTTGTGGCAGTCACAAGCTCAAATGCAGCCAAGATCTACAACCTCTACCCCAGGAAAGGCAGGATCATCGCTGGAGCAGATGCTGATGTGGTGGTCTGGGATCCCGAGGGATCCAAGTATGAAACTCAATCCTTCCTTTCATTGATCGGCCTGTCTCACTACAGATTTGATCTCCCATGTCAGAGGCAGAACTGACTTGATTAACGTTGGTCTCTTCTGGCTGCAGGACCATCTCAGTGGATAACCAGGTCCAGGGAGGCGATATAAACCTGTATGAAGGTCTCCGTTGTCACGGGGTGCCCCTGGTTACCATCAGCCGTGGGCGACTGGTCTATGAAAACGGCATGTTCACATGTGCCGAGGGCTCTGGGAAGTTTTGCCCACTGAGAACTTTCCCAGATTACCTCTACAAGAAGATGGTTCAGAGGGAAAAGGTATTTGAATGACTAGAAATTGTGACGTCAACCGTTTTTACAATAGCATCAATTTTTGATTCGAGCATTATACAATCTCCAGGCTGCAATATTAGTTATGTGTGAAATCTTTTTTTGTCAGTTACTTATTTCTAATGATATAAGCAAACCGCTATCACCAGGGCTATAGATTTGAAAAGTCTTTTGGTGCTAACCTCTGCTTTTTATGAACTGTTATGCTATTCCTGTGTGCTGCCACTTTGGTCCACCAGAGCCAGGCGGTGAAAGCTGTGGAGCGAGAGCCCTACACGGGTGACGTTGTTGCCGTGGCAAATTCAGGAAAGAGGGACTTGGGAGTTCAAGATCTGGACACTCCGACAAGGCCCTGCACCCGGCATGGGGGCTTGAGGGACCTCCACGAGTCCAGCTTCAGCCTGTCTGGTGAGGACCACCAGGCTAACACAAGCCTCAGATGAATGAGAAAATATCCTGTGTTTTGTGTAATAAGTCGAACTGAAAACACCCTAGATAGTTTTAGATTGAAAGTGGCTGCTGATCAAGACTTGAACAAACTATCCAAAAAATGGCCTGACGAGGGTGCTGTAGTGACAAGCATTGCACAATGTAGGGCCTCCATGGGCTTTTTGGCACAGGAAATCGGCACATCTGCTGGTAGGCAATGATCAGATTATTTTTATTAGCTTTTTTATGGGTGCGATATACTTTTATCTCTTTGTAAATTAGAGCAATAACACCATGTTCTGGCCTTACTTTCTTGTAGGGGAAAGTTTTCAGGTCAGGTTTAACTTGCAAACTAAAGAAATTGACCACAAAACCCATGAGGTCTCAAATAATTTAGTTAAGGAAGAAAAGCCCTATTAAAGTTCAATTTTTAAATGGGCCAAAGGAAACATTAATTTTGTTTTGACAAACAACAACTTTTAGAGAGGAAAAAGAATGCGATTATTTGCTTTCATCTTTTAAGTGTGCTAAATTCTCGGTAAGCTGTTTAGAGACCCCGTTTGCAGCTGCTGGATACACTAATACCGCTGAGCTGCACATACCAGGAAATACTAGTTTGTTGTGTGTTTCATCAGCAAAATCACATGAAACCTCTTCCCTGTGCCTCCAGGTGCTCAGATCGACGACAACATTCCAAAGAGATCCTCAGCAAGGATCTTGGCTCCTCCTGGTGGGAGGTCCAGCGGGATCTGGTAACCAATAAGATAGCCATTGCATAACGTGAAAGAATGGCACCAGAGTAAAACACAAAGGCCAAGCAGGAATACTCAGTTTTATTTCTGGAATCTTAGAATATGTGTGGAATAATGGAATCATGTTTTTTTTATTTTATTTGACGGTTATTTAGAACTGTAAATTTGTATGACTTTGCCCTAACAACATTGCAGAATGACGAGGCAAAACGTTGGCTAAGTGGTTGTAGCTACCAAAATACCATTCCCATGTTAATCAAATATGAGCAGCATTTGAAAATTAGTTGCCATTGAGTTACTTTGGTTATTGGATCATGTTAGGGAAAAACTTTGTAGCTTGCCCATAGCTTTAGGAATATGAAAGTGAGTCATGGTTTTTATGATGCGATTGTGTTACCTCACTGTAAAATACAATTTTGCACTTGTATCATGTACTATTTAGATGCCTTTTTACATGATTTAATGTCACTATATGTCTTTTTACTGTGAGCCATGGTGAATGAAAGGTAATTGATAATTACAAGTCTGCTGCCTGACCTAAGTATGTCAGGGATAAAACAAATAGTTGCTATCAGTCAACTGATGAAGCATTATCTGTGTTGTTTTCCTCTAAAGATAGGATTACTTCATGAAGAAAAATGTGGTCTGTGTTCAGTGGTTCATCATTGCCAGGTTGTTGTTTGAGATTCTTTTTACAGTGGTTTGGTAGAATGGACATCTGTTCCACCTCACCAAATCTGAATGAAACTGCTGTGACTTCTCTGCATGATAGCATTGCTAGAACAACTTTGTCAAGCACAACTATTGGTTATCCTACGCTGCAGTTTTGTGCTTGTTTTCATTTCCACGTAGAGCAAAAAGTCTCACCCAAATTGCCTTTTGACACAGACACTCTTGAACGTATGGACCCACACCGCCAGTTCTGATCCTGACATGTTGATCACTGTCATTTTTTTCATTTTTTTTTTTTTACAGCTCTGACTTACTCTGGCCTGAAAGGGCACAGTGTAAATGTTCCTCTGACACACACTTCTAATGAAACACACCACTGTGAAGCATGTAGAAAACATGATGGGATCATATTCTGCATCCGGAATGTTACAATGTTATTCAGTTTATGCCAAGTGTCTGCAAGGGAACAAATGCCTTCCTAAGTCACCAAAAGTTTATATGTCTGTTGAGCAACTACAGCACTGATACCTTCATAAGCTCTCTGTTACTGTATATTTTGTGTTTTGTATTATTAGTTTCTTAAATTTACGTGTGAATAATTATCTTAGTAACTGATTTTACTCAGTTTTTGTTAAGCTGAAACCAGTATGCACACTGCTCATTGCTGTTTGAATTTTGGACAGATTTCTCTTTGGTCTTTTCCCTCCCAGATGTACAGTGGTGCTGAGTGATGTGTTATCACATTGAAATCCTGTATCTCTTTTCCTTCCTTGCAGCTCTTTATCACATGATTTGAGTGCAAATAAACCACAATGAAACCATTGATTGTGTGATCCCTGATGAGTGGTGAGAAGCGCATTGTGGATACCTGTACTTAGGTAGTTGAGTTAATCCTATTAGCCCTATAGCTCCCAAGCTTTTTAAAGGTATAATCACCTCTTTCCGTTGGAGATGAAAAAGTTGTCATGCAAACTGTCAACAAACCCAGCGAAGGGTTAATTGACCACTAGTTCTAAATCCCCCACATAAAAAGTGCACTTTACTCTATACAACAGAGGGCCCTGGACAAAGGGAGGGACAGGAATGGGCTTTGTGCTGCTTCACACTATCACCATCAGCTGCACTATAATCACATTTCTGGGGACGGTATTCTGACATATTCTCCATTGTTCTTCATTTACCGTACAGCTTATTCACAAATAATCTTTCAAATCTCCACAGTGGCTTACATTTTCATCCATGTTTTTAAGATTTTAATTAAAAACAAGGAAGACAAGAATTTACCATTTAGTAATTTAGGTACAATACAGGGGGGATGTAGCACTTTCTTGTCCTTCCTGTTTGATTGATTAAATACTTAGAAATGTGTACATATATCTGATAAAGAACCTCACATACAATAGAGTTCTGTATGTTCTCCTAAACTGTGTTAGTACAAAAAGTCTGTGTAAAAATGGGCATATTTCTGTTAATTCAATAATGTGATACATGATCCTGGTGCATTCAGTCAGGCAGGGCCATACAGGACTTGTATTTGGCTGGAGATCATGTTTATGCATTTAGCAGACGCTTTCATTACAAAGTAGAGCAGACCCTGCCAACTGCTTTCTGTTGCACATTTCGGCAGGCGAGTCATAGCAACTGACGCACCTCATCCAGCAGCAGACAAAACTTCAGCATAAGCTATTTCTGTGCAGCCTGACCTCCCAAACCCTCACTGGCAGGCTTTGAAAAAAAAAAAAAAAAAAAAAAAAAATCCAACCAGACACATCATGTTTCTTTGAGGCGTAACGGGCCAAAGTCCTATTTATAATGAACCTTTAACAGCATGGAGTCGGGCGCATGCGCCGTGGCGGCTGGATTGTTGCACCCTCAGACAGGGCGGCCCGTTACCAAGCGCCGCACCGCGCAGGGGCTGGCCAACGACGACAGCAGCGAGGAGCATTGCCACACGGACTACTTCCAGCCCGACAACAACACACACTCGCCAGATTACGGTGAGTACCGACGCGTTTACGCGCCAGCGGGCCGACTCCGATCCCACATTTTCTCCCCCTTTTTTTTTTCTCGCTCGCGATCGCGTTGGCGGGGGATAGGAGCCGTGTTTTATTCCCACACAGAGGAGATTTCCCGTGCGCTGACAGTGCTGAGGTATTCGGGGAGGCCTGTAGAGGGGGCCGCTAGGAGAGCAGCACCCAGCGTTGCGGCTTTTTTTTCCCAACCCAAAGGCTCCCAGCGAACGGCCACATTTATTGTTCTCGGCTCCACATACCAGACCTCCGCCCATTTGGGGGCTTTTTTTTTTTTTTTTTTTTTTTAAGATTCGGGTGGGTGGTTTTCTGATTTTTGCTGCAGTCGGAAGGGAATTTTTTTTTTTTTTCTTTCTTTTTTCCAAAGGCCCGGCACATTTTGTGGAGAATAGATGTGCCCCTCTTCGGGTGCACTTTATTCATCACGCCCCATTCCAAAAGAGAAAAAAACAACCGTTCGGGTCGATGGACCGGCGGGATGGAATCTGTGGCATAAAGGCTTTTACGATTTGGAAACATGGATTAGGGGAATAATCATGTAATTGTAGGGCAGCCAGGCGCCATGAGAGAACGCTGGTGCGCGCGTTGCTGGGGTGCGTTCACCCCTAATAGAAATAAAGTATTGATCCGATTGAAAGCGCAATGACGATATGTAAGATCAACTGACGGACACCTTGCTTTATTCTATAACCGTGAGGTGGGAAAAAAGTGGGGGGAAAAATGATGATCATGTGCATTTAATACAGGGAGGAGTCACTTGTTTTGTTTTTTTATTTCTGACATGACACTTCTGTCAGGAATTAGCAGGCCAAGAGATGGCTGGAGCTGGCAGATGTGTAAAAGGACCCCCATGCCCTTTTTTTTTTTTTTTAATCTCGGCAGGATTATGTTCACTGTACGACACATGTGTAGATTAAAAGGCAAAGAGAAGATGCGTGTTTGCTGTGAAAAACCGCAGGCAGATGTGACCGGTCCCTGTTGGGTTTTAAAGGACCACAGCTGCAACAGGGTTGTTGAGCTAATAGGGTTATAGCAGCTTCTTCTACTGGGAATTAAGGAGTAGTGGCCACGTGCAACCCCCAGAGGAATCAAAAGAAGGTCTAAATGATCCCTTAAAGAAAAAGGGACTCCTTACTTCTGTCAAGCAGACGGGTCAGGCAAGAGATCCCTAAGATGAGGCCTAAGTGTTACCTTAAACCTTAAAGTGCTCACTTCAGCTCCATTAGGTGATAAGGGCTGTGAACATAAACTGATTTACACACAATGGCTAATCAAAGACAGGTGAGGTTATGCGTGCCAGCTGTTTTGGTGAACGTGTCTTCTGCTGTTTGAAGAAAGCCAGCTGAATAAGTCCTGCTGTTTGTGTCCGGGCAGGGATGGCCGTGAATGTATACGCCACATCTGTCTCCATCGACAACCTCAGCCGGCATGACATGCTGGCGTGGGTCAACGATTCTCTGCACCTCACCTACACCAAGATCGAGCAGCTGTGTTCAGGTGAGCCCCCCCCCCCCCCCCCGAGAGCGGACCTCCCCACCCGGTCCGGCGAAGCTCAGAGCTGACCGCTGTGCCTTTGTGTTTTTCAGGGGCGGCATATTGCCAGTTCATGGACATGTTGTTTCCAGGGTGCATTCTTCTGAAGAAGGTCAAGTTTCAAGCCAAACTGGAGCATGAATTTATACACAACTTTAAAGTTCTTCAAGCGGCATTTAAACGGATGAGTGTTGACAAAGTGAGGATCTTTTTTATCTGTACTTTAATACCTGTGAACCTGATATTATTAGCGGTTATAGTTCTAACTTCTAGTTTTTAATTCTTCATGTTGGGTCCTGTTGATGCATGGTGAACATTTGCTGTTCCCACTTTCCAGATTATCCCAGTGGAAAAGCTCGTCAAAGGGAAATTCCAGGACAACTTTGAGTTTGTGCAGTGGTTCAAGAAGTTCTTTGATGCCAACTACGACGGGAAGGAGTATGACCCTTTACTAGCCAGACAGGGGCAGGATGTGGCCCCTGCCCCCAATCCAGGTGATCACTTTATCCACAAACCAAAGAGAAACCCAGGTAAATCCAAACAACTTTGCCTTTGCTGCACGGTCTTGCTGAGCTTTGGATGGCTCAAAAACGCTCCCTGCGAGGCAGTGGTGTGAGCGGCACGATTCACAGAACGACTGCTGTCCCCCTTTGATCCATCACACTGCCCAGCATCCTCACAACTATGACACTGGAGGTATGCCTTTGGGGATTTCAGTAGCGACCTCAGTGCATAGCTGGATGCAGCATTACCGAGGCAGAAAATCCACATCCTGCAACTCCAATCGCCACTTGACCTCTTTGGTGTGAATTGGTTCATTTGAAATGGAAAAACACCTGCAGACATATTGACATCTGGTTATTTCCCCCCCAGTGTCCTGCATTGCGCCAAAGATGCAACACTGAGGCAGCTTTGTCTGTCGGGAAGCTGGTTGGACATACAAGAAATTTAGTCGCATTTTTACTAACAAGCGTGTGAGTCAGCCTGAACAGCCCTGCTCTTGTTGCTTTAAAATCATGGCAAACAATCTAATTTGACTTGCAGGCTTTGTGACTTTGTCACAACTAAGCAGTGTGGGTGAATCCGGACATAATGGCTGCATTTTTAAGAGTCGAAATACGGTAATAACTGTTAGCATGTTTTGTCTTTGAGATACCTTTGCTGAAGCACTCTCTCAGGCTTGGTTGGCTTTTTACATCAACAATTTCCATTAAAAAAAATAGAAATTTTAAGCTATCTCACTGTTAGTTTAATCTTTGATTTGGTTCTTTTCAATATGGGCATATGAGTCTTTTATATCACACTTGCCGTACAGAAATTCTAAATCCATTCCCAAAATACATATCAAAGGCACATCATGCTACAAGCTGGCAGCATCGGTGCTCGATAATGTGCTCTATTCATTGCTCCAAATCCAAAATAAGTGCAGTCACCCTGTTAATAATAACACGAGCATTAAACAACTGTCACCGTCTTTGACCGCCACAGGACCACAGCGGACATCTCCAACAGTTCCCAAAAACATGCCAACACCACAGCGGGTCCAACACAACACCCCTGTCATGAGGAAGAATCCATCGTTGTCCAGGAATGGGGGCAGCGACGCCGAGATCATGGAGCTAAATCAACAGGTAGAGCTGCATTACGTCTTAGAATATGTGTGCGACATCACAGTCACATGTGATCAGTAACGTGACAGGTTTGATCTTATTTCATAAACAAATGATCCTGTAGCCTATGTCTCCTGTTTAAAGAGACTAAAGGAAGCATTTAGCCTCTATTAAAAAAAGGAAAGTAAACCAGGAGGCGGTAAATACGAAGGTGTGTTTACAGATTATGTGGACAAGTTAAAACATTCTTAAAGTGAAATTGGAAAGAATTTATGTTTTTTTTTATTCGGCATGTTATGAGGAATACTGTAACTTATATGATGGACAGAGGTCAAAGTAAACAAGACCCAGAAGTTATGCTTCCTTATTTGATTCTGATCTCATCTTATATGGACTGAGTGCAGAAAACTGTCCTCTGGTCACACTAATCATATATTTAGAATTTTATTTAAAGTCCTGTATGGTCCTTCATGCTACAGAAGACAAGGGCCATTATTGTTGTTATCACAATTTGAAAGGCAGCATTTATATGGTGCTTCTGACATTATATTCAGCATTAAGAAGTTAAAAAAAATACAATAGGCAAAACCCATACGTGTTTCAGGCGTGTTACAGAGCTGTGATGGACCCATAACTTGTTCATATTGTTTCCTTTGAAGCTGATGGAGTTGAAGTTGACAGTAGATGGTCTAGAGAAGGAGAGGGACTTCTATTTCAGCAAACTGCGGGACATTGAGCTGATCTGCCAGGAGCACGAGAGTGAAAACAACCCCGTTCTCAGCAAGATTATCGACATTCTCTACGCAACAGAGGTACTCATCCTTTAAGATTCATGATTTGTAACTATGGAAAAAAAATGCTCGATCAGCAGTGTTGATTGAAGCCATCCAAAATACGACAGAAAACCTGATTGATACTCTTTTCTATCCCGCATTTTAGGAAGGCTTTGCACCTCCAGATGACGAGGAGCTCGATGAGCAAGCCCATCTGGACCAGGATGAATACTGAGCCAAATGTCTCTTTCCACCCAGCTTCCCCCATCTTCTCTCTCTTATTTTTTTGCCCTCATTTCTTTTCTACTCTCTGCACGCATACTACAGATCAGACCGTCTGATACACAACTACTCTGAATCATCATTTGCTGCTCCACATGGCCTCCACTGACACAGTAACAGTATGACATATCCTCCTCACTTCAGCATGAGTAACGCAGACAATTGAGCTGAGCCTGCAATGAAGGTTGTTCTGGCAAACAGTGAGTTTGACTCTGTAAATATTACCGAGCATTTGGATTTTTAAAAGATTAACGTCTTTGCTTATTCTGGAGTTATTTATTTGCCTTTTGTGCTGTTGACATTATGCAAGCACAGAACAACACCGCTCCAATGTGCCATGAGGACACTTGAGCTACTAAAACTGTAACAAAAGTGACTTTTTAATAGCTATTTCTTATTTATTTAACTTATATTTAGTTTTGATTAACTATCTGTAGCACTGATGCAAACCTACTGTTCATGAATTGAAAGCTGAGGCTTTGTGAGTTTGAGGGGGGGTGGGGTCGTGCTCAAGTCCACATCAAGCTTTTGGATTCTGGTGTGGGTACAAAGCAGGTAGACGCACTGGAGATTATTTGTTTTGATGACTTAAGGTACATGATCAGTGCTCAACGATTACTTCTTATTGATCAGCAACATATCTGAGCATGAGAATGTTACACATTGACTGTGAATGAGTGATATTTTGTAAATGTTTTTTGTGTGGAGATTTTGTCTGATGTTGCACGAGCCTGGTTTATTGCCGCTGTATCTTTAAGGCTGACGCGCAGCAGCCTTCAAGTTTGAAATTGACGAGCTGGAAAGACACCTACTGGTAACATGGTTATGTAGCAGTTCTAATGTATCTCTCTAAAAGATTCAGTAGGCATCATAAAGAATCAAAGCATACACATTTGCGAATGACAGCTTTTTTCATGTTTTACTGCTAAACATACAATATTTCTACTTTTAATTTGCTATAAAAGAGTTTGTACAGAGTTTGAGTTCTTGCCTGAAAGAAATTCCCTATTAGGGGAGCTGGGGCCTGTTGACTGGTAACCATGAGCATCAAATTAAACAAAGGAGCCTCGCATCCTTACCTAACTATTTTTTACTTTACAAACTGGCTATTGTTTGCACTCTGGAACATGCCTCCATTGACCATGTCCACAGAAGGATCATCTTTTGAGTTTTGAATAAAGAAACAGTTGTGAAACAAATGTCTTGTATACTTTTTTTAAATATTGTTTTCTGGGTTGCAGGGATAGCTAAAAATGTTTTCATTCATTATACACAAAAAAAGTCATATAAAGGTGTATGGTTAATTGATCTTTGAGGTAGAGATGGCCTAAAGCGAGGTGTCACACTTCAGTCCTTCAGGTCGCTGTCCCGCAGGTTTTAGACTTTTTCCTGCTTCTGCACCCTTGATTCTGATTCCATTGGATCTCCTCTGGACATGGTTTATCTTTGCACCGGCCTGCTAATGGCACTTAGATGTGAATCTGGTGTGTTGAAACGGGGACACCCCTAAAACCTGCTGGACAGCAGCCATCGAGGACTGGAGTTTGACACCTGTGCCTATTGGTATGCTGACTATCACAATGTCTTTAGAAACTTGTGGAATTGCAGAATAATCCTTGGCTAGAGTCCAAATGAGCATGATTAAAGCCTGGTCTTCATCACCCAAGATCTACTAGTTACATATGAGCAGGATAAACTGCCACCAATGCAATCCACTTCATGTCATAGTTCAATTTATACTGGTTTGTTGTAAATGATTCCCATGTCCACATGGAGGGTTGGCTCAAATGGTAGACCAAGTAGGCCACAAAGGATGGGGCTTAATCTTTGAGCCCCCGCTCACCTTTCTTAGGATCATTGAGACCCCACAACGTGAGATCTTGCATGGGGCCCCATTCCGAGTGAGATTGACCTTCATGTTTAGCTTCTTCCATTTTCAGAAGTGGACCTTTTTTCACCAAGCTGCTTAGCAATTTCCCCGTAGTCCTTTTCAGCCTTGTGGAGGTGTACAATTTAGTCTGTAGTGTCTTTGGACAGCTCTTTGGTCTTGGCCATGTTAGTAGTTGGATTCTTACTGATTGTACGGGTTGGACAGGTGTATTTATGCAGCTAACGACCTCAAACAGGTGCATCTAATTTAGGCTAATAGATGGAGTGGAGGTTGACATTTTGAAGACAGACTAACAGGTTTTTTGAGGGTCAGAATTCTAGCTGATAGATAGGTGTTCAAATACTTATTTGCAGCTGTTTCATACAAATAAATAGTTTTAAAAAATCATACATTGTGATTTCTGGGCTCTTAAATCTTGATACAATCAGATTTGATGTGCAATAAAGAAATATTTAATAAATAACTAATGTGGCGTGGACGTGGACGCAGGAGGCGTGGCCAAGGGTGTGGCTTAGTCCAATGTCTCCGGACGGGCTCCTTACAGGGGGATTAGCTCAAATGGTAGAGCGCTCGCTTAGCATGCGAGAGGTAGCGGGATCGATGCCCGCATCCTCCAATGGCACTTTCTTTTCCAATGACCAGGACCTCACTGAAAATCTTTGCACACTTGCCTTAACAATTACATATCATGTTTAAATCAAACTTAAGATAACAATCTTCTAATAAAGGGAATAAATAGTGTCAAATAATTAAACGCTTGCTCTGCGTTTAATGGTGATACATGGGCGGAAAGCATTTCATCCACATCGAAGTGTCTGCCCTCTCTAGCGCCGGATTAATTTTAATTTAGAGATGTCCGGTTTAGCAACAGGACTCACTCTTGAAGGTAAACGCAACGGATGGACGCTGGATGTTATTTCCCATGACGAGCAGAAGATGGCAGTATTGTATCATTCATTGTAAGAAACACAATTTTGGATTTCAACAGCTCCATCCATCCATCTATTTTCTACGTTGCTTTGTCCAGTTAGTGTCGCGTGGGACTGGAACATATTCCAGCTGTCATTGGGCAGGAGGCAGGGTACACATTGGACAAGTCGCCTGCCCATTACAGAGCACTGTGAGACACACAACCATGTACACACACCATGTAGTCACCAGTTAACCTATCAAGCACATCTTTATGGGGTGGGATGTGAAATGAGAATGCGATAGGTAACAGGATCAATCCCAGTAACATACAATCCAGACATTTTGAGTCCTTCTAAATGATTACTACCTCCTTCAAACTTCTTCCAAACAATAAATAAAATATTTCTGGTCGATAATATCATGAGTCATAAAGTCACTGAACAAGTAACACTTAAAATGTTTTATTGTCACTTTATCCCGAAGTGATTACATAGTGTTACCAAACAACACATAAACAACACATAATAACAACGTTTGCAGTCTTCTTTGCAGCAGCTTACACAGCAATCACCCAAAAAAAAGATAATGACTTCATCAAGAAAACAAACCACCATCACCGTGATATAACAAATAATTACACTTCAGCAATGGAGTTTAATCTGTGTATGTCAGCATGGGAGTGAGTCATATGTCGTAGAGAAACCTTTGACTTGATGTGTCTCCTATCAAGTGGCAAAAAAACTCTCAGTGTTTAACAATTACATTAATGCCTTATCTCAAGCTCCCAACATCTTCTTCACCATGTATCCAGGCATGTTGTAGAGGAAAAGGCCCAAGATGGCCAGCAGCAGGAGAGCAGTGACGATCTTGATGGTCAGCCACCTGTACTGGTCACACACCAGGTGTTTCGCAGCTTTGAACGGGATGAGGAACCAGAGGAGGGCAATATCTGGGCGGCTGGGGGAGTACAGAGAAGCAAACAGAGTGTTAGATGAATAATCCCCGTCAGTTCACTTTAAAATGTCTGGAGAGAAAAAACAAATAACATATACCAAACAGTGGTTCAGAAATACAAATGACATAAGTAGACATAATTGAATGGACCTGAGATCTTTTTATTCATAAACTTCACATCAAGCCAAATAACAAAGGCAAAAAAAGATACATGCTAAGATTAAATTCATCTGGTCTTTCATCAGCAAAATCTTAAGTATCATGATTCATTTTCCAAAAAAGTGGACATCAAGTTCACAGCTAAGAATGGAAACATTTCAAGTTACAGGCTTATAACAATAGAAATGAAAGATTTATACACATTAATAACCAGGAAAGAATTCACTCAAGATACACTATTAGCTATTCAAATTTTGTATTAATTTCAACCTTTGCATCACTCACTCTAATCTGACAAAAATATTCAACAACAACAGAAATGATAACCGATGCACATTGTTTGGAGCATTCCAAATCTGCTCCGGCTCTTGGGTTGCTTGTTTTTTTCAAACTCCCAACATCTTCTTCACCATGTATCCAGGCATGTTGTAGAGGAAAAGGCCCAAGATGGCCAGCAGCAGGAGAGCAGTGACAATCTTGATGGTCAGCCACCTGTACTGGTCACACACCAGGTGTTTCGCAGCTTTGAAGGGGATGAGGAACCAGAGGAGGGCAATATCTGGGCGGCTGGTGGAGTACAGAGACGTGAGCAGATGTTAAAGGAGCCAAATGTGGTCAGCAGGCTAAAACGACAAAAACTTGCTCACCTCCAACCTGTATGAATGTTAATGTTAATGCTGAAGTGGCGTTTAAGAAACGTAGCAAACCGTAGCAAATGTTGAGTTAAACTAATTTAAACCTGATTATTTTTTATGTTTGTTTGTTGTCTTCAGAGTGTCCAACCTTGGGAAATTGGTACTCGAATTGTTCAACTTTGTCAGACAGTCATATCTTTAGCATTTTTATGTCATATTATATATTTTTTTATTTCTGGTTCTCATTCTTCTGGTTAATCTTGTGTGCACTTATCAAACCTTCAAAAACTAGGTTTGTTTCTAGAATTTAGGTACCATATTGTCATTTTGGAAAACGCGATGCCTCTGTGAAGATAACAATATAAATCGCCATCCATATTTTAAAAAAATTGTTGGATGTGATATTTGCAAAATACCAATTTTGTAAAGGCTTATGACTAAAGTAAAGAAGAACATCTAAGGACATTATTTTTAAAGTTATTTAGCATTGTTCCAGCTTGATATGCCTGTCATATCAATGTTTTGATTTAAATCTCCTAACTGAGGAAACAAAGTAGACAGACAGTATGGAGGAAAGAGGCTGAAAAGTCATCTGGTAAGTGAAAGTGCTGGAACCTTCTGCAGAAGTGCCTGAGCCACATCTCAAGCTCCCAGCATTTTCTTGACCATGTAACCAGGCATGCTGTATAGGAAAAGAGCCAGCATAGCCAGCACCAGGAGAGCAGTGACAATCTTGATGGTCAGCCACTTGTACTGGTTGCAGAGCAAGTTTTTTATGGCTTTGAAGGGAGTGAGGAACCACAGAAGGCTGGTGTCTGGACGGCTGGAAGGACAGAAATGTAAACGTTCAGTAACACAGACTTCAAGCGCTAATGACCATCCCATCACTATAGTTTTTCATTCTAATTGAAAGGTAAATAAAGTTACTGGAACAATGAAGGAAAGTTAAATGAACATAAAAAACATGTACAATATTATGAGGAGCTGCAAGAATTCTCGGTAGAAATGTTATACGTAAACATTTTAAATAAAAAAACAGCAACTTACCGTTTGGTAGATGAAGCTCCGAAGCTTAAGTGAGGCGCTCACTTGAAGATTACGCTTACAAATTTGTTTCTTTAATTGAGCTTTTTGTAAATTGCATTTTCTTAAAAATCTTTATGCAAGTTTATTATTATTTAGTATTATTCCACATGCTTGGTCAAGAGGTTCCTTTAAGGTTATTTAGGATTATCTTAATAAATCACTTTTTTCCATATTTATCAAGTTTTTAGGGTTTAATACTTCTGAAGAAAGCTTGATCTTCTTATTGTTGAGTGTACGTATGTGCGATCTTGTGTGTGAATGTGTGTGAGGGGTAAAAGTGCAGACCAAAAAAATTCAATTATATCACCAAGAAAAAGACGATTGATAGGAAAACTATCTTCATACTTGGGTTTTTCCAACGGATCTGGTTCATTGCGTCCCTCTCCAGCTGGGCTTTTCTCCGCCTCCTCCCCTGTCAGAAGGTGCAGCTCTGCTTCCACTTTGCCCTGTAGAGACGGTTTAAAAGCATGTGTGTTAATCGTACTCAAGACATCAATTCTACTGGAGCCATTTGATTCAGTATTGAAAGCAAATCAAAAGGTTTTCCATTAAATCCAAAAGCAAGACAGGAGAGGGTGTGGGCTTTTACTGGCCATTCTCCAGCATAACTTTCTTAAAAAACATTTTCGTATGTTTTTGCTTTGACCTACCGTGAGCTCAAACTCATCTTCCTCATTTCTGGCCACAAAAGGCCACCATCCTTTGATTCTTTTCTGTTTAAAGATGGACACCATGGGCATCTCTGCTTCATTTGTCACCATTTCAATGGTGCACTGCTTGGGAGTCTTCGCACCACGTGGGAAGCGGTTCAGATCCAGCTCAATTGCCCCTGTGAAGGAATTTTTAAAGTGAATTGAAAGAATCAAATGTTCATCAACAAAGGTGGGTAAAAATGCTTATTCGTCTGCAATACCCATTGAGCTCCACATATTCGCATTTGTTGAAATCTCTCAGAAATGTAATGGTATGTATAAGAAAAATATTCTAAAGCGGTGTCTGCAATACCCAGGAAGTCATCTGCTGAGAAGTGATCCGCATCCCACACTTGCAGATTAAGCCGAGCAGGAATCTTGTACTCAGTCTCATCCCAAGCAAACATGGACTCTTTCTTGGAGATGACAATCTTCTCCTCAGCCATGAGATAGTCAAAGGGGTAGACAAAGCGCCAGTTAAAGTTGCCCTCTCCAGTAATGGAGTGATAGTGGACATCAGTGTCCTGCTTGTCCTCCTGTTGGCCTTTCAACCAACTGTCACAGGAAAAGAGGAGTCAGTGGGATGACAGATTATCCGGACATTAGTTCTTTAGATTACATGGGTCATTGCCATTCAAATTAAACTAAGATTTAAATCCATTTGCGTGTTTTTGTTTGTGTGCGCTGTGTGTTTGTGTGTTAAAAGGGGCAGGAAAGCGAGACAACCCACTGACAACATTAAAGGCGTAATCACCCTCGCACGAATATGTCACTTGATTTCTCGCCAGTGAAGATATCGTCATCCTCCAGTACGACTTCATCTGTGTTCCAAACGATCACCCTCAGTTCAAACCTGCACACAAACAAAAGTGGTGATTTGATAAGTGTATTTATATATAATTTTTTCCTTTTCTTCACACTACCAGATACATTTTGTATGATGGGAAGTAATATTTTGGACATGTAAAAACTTTGATTCATACTTCTTTGGCTTCCTTGGTGAAATGTCAAGAGAAGGACCAGGCGCAGTCATTTCTTTGGGGAACAAATCTACCCACATCTCAATTCTTCCCTAAAAATGCAAGAAAACGCTGCCAGTCAGGGTGCAGACATACAACAGCAACGATGGATGAAGACGAACATATGCGTTTGATTCTCGCTGAAATCTGTACGTTCACTTACTTGTTCAATTCCTGGCTTATCAGGATGGAGCAGAGGTCTGGTCTCCACGTGCTCCGGAACTAGTTTGCATCCAGCTCGTGGGATTTCCTCCCAGTGCCTCAGCACAGTCACAGCAAGGTGTTCCTCTGTCTGTTTCTTCAAACCTGACACACATTACCAAGCATCTGAGTGATGTATCTTTGGGTACAAACTAGTGCTGTTTTGAAGGATTTTCCACTGCAAAACTTTCCTTAGTTGGATTGTTACCCAACACCTGGTAATAGTGTTATATGGTTAAAGGAGGGGAATAAAGAGAAATGGATTGCGTACCATTTTCATCCTCTATCTCAGTTGGCGCCATGAAGACCCGATTTTCCACCTTAACTCTTCCTCCAGGGCCATAGTGAGGCCCATCCAGCTTACCATCCTTACACAGTTTAGCCAGGATTTGTGTGGGTTTCATGGGGTCTCGCCACACATTGTAGCCATGGCTAAAGAGTTAACACAGAGAACAGTTACCTGAACAGTAACACGCTGTGCAAAACTACAAAGACTATTACAATCATCTCAAAATTAAAAACCAAACCACAAAAAAATAGTACTTCAAATATGTTTTGAAAATCCGTTTTGCTCCCTATCCTGTCTTAAATCTGAGCTTTTGTCAGGTGCCCAGTAACCCACAAATGAAGTATTCTTTTACAGTTTGCCAGCAGTCTCCTTGAAGAAGAAGTTTAGTTTTTACTCTTACATGGCGTAGTTACATGCAATTCCACATGTGGCTCTGTGTTTGCTGTAGAAGCGGTTTTCCAGGTCAATCTTGGTTTCCCCAATCAGATCATCAGTTCCCACCAGGTCCCAGTCATAAATTGAAACTGTTAATGTGGAATCCATAGGGAACGTGGCCTCCACATCAAAGGATCTGACAGCAGCAAAATTACATTTTCAATTATAACTAGGTTAGGCAGACTAAACTGAAATAATGAGATCATTTTTAGATATTTGGTTCGGGAGAATAGCTTTTGTGTCACTTACTTGCCAAACAAAGGGTTCAGCTGTTTGGAAATGTAGTTCTCTTTGTCTTTGATCTCTGTTTTTCCCAGTTTGATTGCAATGTAGGGATCGGCTTTTCCATTTATGTCTGCTGGATGCAGATCAGTCGCCTACCAAAAGCAGAATTACTTTAACCTCATGTTGGCCAATAACAAGCAATAATGTCAATGCTGAGTATGGTATCTTTCTGAAAGAGTGATCACAACGGAAAATAACAAACTGCTCATTGCGATGCTTACCCTGATGACATAAATACGAACAAGCACGTTGATGGGATCGTTGTGAGGAATGTTCTGAAACATTCCCATGTTGGACTCAAAACTCATGTCTCTGGACATATCGTCCGACACTTTGTACATGCACAGTGAGCCCTGAGTGGTTGGACAAATAGAGAATATTTTTAAAAACCTACTTCAAATCTCAAGTGTTTCAGATTGTCTGAAACTTTGAAGTCATCTGAATAATTCAGCTGTGCGTGTCTTACTTTGAACTTCCCAACAATCCTGTCCTCATCCGTCACGTTTTGGTCGTCATCATCTCCACCCTTTCCTCTGAAAAGGTTGAAAGTGTGCAGCCAGTCTTCAAAGTTGTCAAAGTCACTTTCCAGTTCCTTTGGATATACCTTATTCATGAAAACAAAAGTAAAGTTTTTTTTTAATGATCCCTCTGAATGATGCCTCTTAGAAATAACTCAACTACGTGGGCAATTACGAACAGCCAACACATGCAGCCGTCCTAGTACCTTCAGCTCATCTAGCTTTGGCTTTTTCTTCTCAAAAGGCTCCACCACCTGCTTCTTTTTCTTTCCCCTTCCTTTCTTGGTGCCTTTTACAGGAGAGTCATCAGGTTTGATATCTGAGTACAGGTCAGCATTGAGAACAGGGTGGAGAGGGGGTATGGGGAATCAGGGGGAGGGAGCAGAACACTCGAGACATGAATTCAACATGAAAGTTGCCAAAACCAGCTCTGACTGAATATATAGCAAGCACACCAATGAATTGCATACTAGTAAAGTATACAGTTCAATCGGGGTACTTGGGGGCAAGAGTTTGATAGAATCCTTATAGCAGAATGCTGCAAAATCCTTCACAATCTAATCAAACCAAAAGCTTTATCTTTTTTGTCATTAAGACAAAAAGTAGCTCAGAAAACACCTGTATACTAAAACACCTGTACTGCATATTACAGCACTAACTAAATCCTGATAGGCCACACACATTTACTCCTATCATAAAATGAAATATCATTTCTGAGCATTATTGACATGTCTGAAATGTTCACTACTGAAAGGAATGCTAAACATCTCTTCAAAATGAATTCTTTTGCTGCTGTTGTTCACAGTGTTTCATTGACAACTTTCATGGTCTGCATACAACTAATATGCAAGTATCAGAGAAAACAAGTGGCTGTCCCACAAGTGGAAATTTGGATTCATGTCAATATCTACGTGGAGGGATTCTTGAACTACGAAGACGAGGTTCACTACTGCACAGAAGAAGAAAACAACAGTTACTGAGCTGAGAGAAGGTGCATATTCACGACTTTGATTTCATATATTGATCCAGGCTCAACAAACCTTCATAGTGGAAGCATATCTCATCAAATGGAAAACCCAAACAGAACAAACCAAACTGGTCTAATTTCATTTTGGCTTTACCTCCACCATCAGCAATGTCCATCTCTTCTTTGTCCTCCGAGTCTGAGAGAGCTGCCTCTTGAGCTTTGAGGGCCTGTGGAGTGAAGGCTCATTTCTTAACTTTAATTTTTTATACCATTGTGAGTCATTAGGCTACAAATTATGAGACGATAGACTTTTACTCACCTCGGTCAATGTTTCAATAGAGGCAAAATATTTGGACCACCAATCCAGCATGCTCTCATCAAGATCCTCCTCTTCGGGCTCATCACCCTTCTTCCTCTTCTTCTTTTTCCCCTTTCCGTCCTTGTCATCATCCTTATTAGTCAAACCAGTTGTCAGCAAGGTTTAAACACTTTAAATCATCTTCAACCGACATTAAGACATTTCACTTTGATGTAAAAAGTGAAAGAGGGTCCCCACAGTTGCTGTGCTTACCTCAACTTTGACCACAGCTTCAGAGCACTGGGGAAGAACAGTAGATATAATATACATAACGAACAGCATGGAACATGTGTGCCATGTTTGTGTTACTCTTGAATCTAGGTTTAACCGCATCAAATTAGGAAACTTACAGAATCTAGTTTGACCACCGTTTCCATCTTCTTATAGCCAGGTTCGGGTTCCATGTTGACAACGATAATTTCCTCTGCAAGACAATTAAACATTATTAGAAACACCAATAAAAGACCCTTATTACAAAAGCAAACCTGCCCTCTGTCTTTCCATTTGAATCCTAACAGTGTTCGCTGTTCGACATTTGAAACAAAGTTCTACCAGGCTTCAGCTCGTACCTGTGGTGGACCAGTTATTGGCCTGCTTGTCTGCTCCCCTGTAGATGAACTTCCGCAGGGTGGTGACAGCATTTGAGCCAACCAAAGTGTAGCGGCCAAAGGCTCTGCAGTCCACAACCCGGATATTCAGCGGCGGGTGGAGCAACTCGTTCTCAGGTAAATCCTGACACACAAAAATGATTTTTTTCATGATGATCAGGATTCAGATTCTGGACTTTTAAACTTTGAAGGTATCTGATTTTTGGAAAGGATATGATACACTACCACTTCAAACCACTTGACCAGAGTGCTGAAGTTAGGGTTTTTCTTGTAGTTGGAAATGAGGGAAGATTGAACTCCCTTTCCTGCACATTCAATGTCTACACGAGGCCGGTCCACCTGAGCGAGATTCACCCTCTTCAGGTCTCTCAGTCCCCAGAACAAGACCTGAAAGGAAAAGGATTTAAGCTGGTTTTTCTACTGCTCTACTTTTGAACAAACACAATCAAATTCGTTTTCTGGTCACTGTGAAGCCTTCACCTCAATCCTGTACTTGCTGAGCACTGGTCGGATCCCTAGTGGTACAGGCAGGATGGGACCACGGTCCATATCTGTAGGACCATCTATGGGGGGAAGGTCTGCTTTGCCGTTAGGGCCAATCTGAAAAATGATTCAAAGCTATGTTAAGCCTTTGCTGTGTTGGAAACATCAGCTCACAAGCTGATAGAGGGGAGCTAACCTGCAGCAGTTCAAAGGCTGCCAGCATCTCTCCAGCAGCACAGTTCCCCCGGTAGATCTGGTAGTACTCCAGCTGAGGGGGAAAGCGCGGGGGGCCGTAGTGTTCATCCGCCATCTTGACAACAGGTTTAGCAAAGGTTCTGCCCATGAAGTCCGCTTTCCCCTGGGAGGATTGGACAATGCAAGGTATGAAATCAGGACTCAGTGTCTGAAAGTGTGGTTTCAATTCTCAATACGAATTTAACAATGGCTTTATGAAAAAAATGTGTCTTAAAAAATCTGTTTGTAGTATAATGAATGATTTTGTTGATCAAAAGGAAGAAACATGGCTTGAGTTGCACATGTTTCTTGGTGAACTGTATTATAAAACATCCTGAAAGTAGAAAAATACAAAGCAAAACAAGAAAACAAAATCAACATCCCTAAAATAACCAGTAAACTGCAAAACAGATGTGTGTCCTTGCAATATAAAATAATCCCTCAATAGCTAATGCTTCAGTAAACGTGCTGCTACTGTATATCTTTCTTGCAGTTAGTGGTTATAAACAAAATTTATGTTCGCCACATACAAAAACACAAAATTGCACTTAAAGGAATGCAACAGGGATACGATTTTCCATGTGTCCGTCCTAAGTGACTCATCTTATTCCTCTTGCATGCCTTTCAATACAATATACTCTGCACACAGCACAGTTCTGCTACCGTACAACAAGCCAGTCCACACTCTACTTATCCAAAGTGTCATCCAAAACAATGGTGTTAATGTCAGGAGCAAATATAAAATAATTAGTCAGCAAACATACTTTTTTCGTTACAAATAATGCCAAGTTGCTACTGATATCATAGGAGTTACATGACGAAATATTGTGTGGATATCACATGATGGTTTCAAAATTTTAAATATTTTGTTCAGATGTGAGGACAAAATTCTTAGCTTAAAGAAGAGGATATGGCAGCATTAAATAGTTGCCATTTAGAACTTTGCATTATATAAGGTTGAGTTTGTCCTCATTACTGAGAATCCGAACAGAGAATAATTGATTGGAGGACAACCCTCACCACTGTGTCTTGGTCGTAGATTTCAATGACAATAATAGGAGGGTCATCTCTCAGTTCACATGCTTCCCCAAACAGCTCCACGTTCTCAAATACTAACAGCTGGTCCCATGTCGGGCAAAGGGTCTCTGCCAGTATCTGCAAAAACGCACAATCAAACAAAAAAAAGCTTTTCAAGTGGTTTTGATGCAGCTCTACTGTGAGTCCCATCTTAAACTGAAAGGAGTTCCAAAGCCTTTTGAGCATGCTCACCTCAGTGACCTGGCTCTGGGTGGAGAAGAAGACTCTCGCAAAGGGATCAGACAGACCTGTGCTGTCAGCTGCAAACAAGCTGCGAGCCTGGTACATGTGGACCCGGAGCTGGAAGATCTGTTTCACTACAGAGAAACAATAAATCAATTTAACTGCATTTATGGGCAAAATCATACCAAAATAATCTAGCTAAGTCCATTTCTCATGAGGCGTAGACCTCAGATTTTCAAATTTTGTTTGTAAAAAAGGTAAGGAATAATGCGCCACATCATGGTCTTACTCATGTAGGTGAGGCTGATGGGAGGTGAAGCTGGCAAACCGGGTCCCTTAGACAACTTGTTTTCCTCAAACCCATTGGGAAGGCCATTCAGGTAGTCTTTGCGCTGCCTATTCAGACCCAGCCACAGGTAGATCTCTATCTTGGACTGCACTGTCCAACCGGCGGGGCCAAAACCTTTCTTACCAGGAATCTTTATTGTACAAGAAAGCATAAAAGTAATTTGATGTTTGCATAAAAATGTGTGTGCAAATGATTAAAGGAATTGAATAGAAGTGGATATCAGAGTTCTCAATGCTTTCTTATCATTTAAAAAGATCCCATTTAGGGTAGACTCACCCTGAGGAAGATTGTTTTGACCTTGCCACAGTCCTTTCCCTTCTCCTCATCTATACTGGAATAAAGGATGTCTTTGGAAGGAACACGTGCATAAGCAATACGCTTCCCATTACTTATCATCCACAGGAAAATATCAGGAACGCTGTGCTGAGGCTGTCAGAGAGAAACAATTCACTTGTTAATCATGTTAATGAAATAACTGTGTTATAAATAAATATACAAATGTTGTAAGTCTTACTTCATCCGCAAGAAAGCGCAGCTTTGAGAGGAAGTTCTGAGCCAGCTTGAGTTTATCCCTCACTGTGCTCTTCTTCACTTGTGACCTCATGGCCTTCGCTTGTTGACCCACGGCTTCCTAAAACCAAACAAAAAGTGTTGTTAGATAGAACAAATGTTCATGATTAACAAGTAAAAGGAGAAAAAAGGTGCTTTCTCTGGTTGACCCACCACTTCCGACAAGCAGAGCTTCAGCCTCTCCCTGTCGAGCTTGGTTCTTCCCGACTGATTCTGGTCCTTATTTGCCAATGAAAGGAACTGACTGAAAGAACAGGGTCTTGGTTGGTGCAAACACTTGAATCAATTGATCGGCTTTGTGGTTTGTGTCCACCTACTTGCATCCCTGGCTGAGTTCCTCAAGAACACCCCTGAGCCTGCGCTCAGGGTAGGTCTTCTCTGTTTTGATTATCTCATGCACGTCATTCAGTCCATCTTCCTGTGGAAGCAGGTTGATATTTGAATCAAACTGCTGTATTTGTACTGATTCAAGATGACTACTGTTCAAAAAGGCTTTGACTTACCAGTTTATCAGCAATGTTGTCAATAATGTTGGCATTGTACAGCCTCCTTCTCTGGTCCTGCCAATAACTCTTGATGTAAATACAGGGCTTCCTCTCAAAATAGGGCAGATGGAAGTAGTTTCTGTGGATTGGATTGTGATGATGTAGTTTATTTGAAGAGGAAGCTGGTTTAATAAATGAGGCACCTTTTGATGTTGCAAGAAATCTTCCTGGAAACACTTTACCGGCAATGAGATGTGTTAAGCTTATTTGTGCAAATGAAGGTCTTACGGGTTGATCAGTGTTTTGTTCTTGTTGTTGTTAGCATTTCACTGACCGGTCAGTAATGACAGGCTTCATCGGTGGTGTAGTCGCCACTGATGTCAAGTCTCCGTCATCTTCCATCTCGTCCTCGCTGGAATTGTGGATCAGTTCTGTTTCCTCCTCGTCGCCATCACCTCCACCCTTCTTTCCCTTTGTTTTTGGTTGGACAGCTCCATCAATCTCATTTCCATAGTAACCTGGTAACATCAGCTCGGTTAAAGTTACCTTATCTCTCTTCTCTTTTTTTTTTCAAAATTCAAACACTTTAAAAGAAGTACCTATGGTGACCTCGAAGTTGATCGGCTTGTCCCCGATTTTTCTGTCAATCATAGTGGCTTCCAGAAAAGATCCGAAAAGGAAAAATTCCTCAACCTTGCCGGTGGCAGTCTGTTCCAAAAAAAAAGGAGAACATGTGTAAAAGTGTGTGTTAACAGAATCATTGCCTTTTTTTCTTGGCAGGAAAATGAACAAACACTATCCAAAACACTCTCGAAATAATAAATCCAAAACCACCTCAAACACTTCACTTAATAGCATGTACATATATATATATACACATGATGAAGGTGGTTGAATTTGCGGTTTCACCAACAAAAGGAAGCTACACTGATGAATACTGATATCAATAATGCACAAGGGAGGCTAAATAAGGACTATTAATAATTCACAATAATCGCAGCACAATGACCTGCCAGCAGAGGAAACAATAAGCTCCCTCTGCATGGCTGCCCATCCAGGGACTCACCTCTGAGATGTTGGGCACTCCCTCTACCTGAACCTCTGTGGAGCTGCTAATGTCAGGTGAGGAGGGATCCAGGATCTCTACACCCAGACTGATGAGCAGACGGGCCCTGAAGGAAACCCCTTCCCCTAGCCCTTCATTTAACTCCTGGTATTCATCCATCAGGGTGTAGGTGCGAGTGGAGCCATACATGTTCACCCAGGCCGGTCCCAGAGTGGGAAGGAAGCCTGAGGAATAAGAATAAACATAATTGGCATCAGGTAATTTGGAAATTAAGTATATAAGCCCAGATTTGTGTTAGTTGACAGTGTGGATCAGATGGGAAAAAAGACTGATAATCTAACATCATTATGAAAATAATTTTTAAAAGTAACCCCACTAGCTTTGCTTCAGGTCATACATTTGCAAGATGAACAATTTTTAAAATAATATTTTTTATCAAAGACTAAATGATTAATCACCTTTGTCCCCATCATTGGAAATCGTCCGTAAGTCTAAGAAGTGTGTTCCCATAGCAACATCATTCACTTTATCTGAGTCACGGATCTGGATCTTCATGCGTTTGCAGAGTGGTGGAAACATCTCAGTGAAAACGATTTGCTCATTCCAGATGGGCTCATAGCAACTCTTTTGAACTGAGGTTTTCCCCTGTAATCGCAGATCATCATCATGACACACACGTTTCACGAATCAGCCTCAAACAAAAACAGAAAAAGTCACTGTCCGCACTCACTTTCTGCCCAGCAAATTGAACTTGGACGTAAGGATCAACCAGATCCTTATTTTCTCCTATGAAGGCCTTTTTGACATTGGCCATGATGCTGGTGTTCATCCTGGGGAGTCCCTCTGCTCTGTAGATCTTTAGGTAATAACGGGCCCACTGCCGCTCCGCAGGAACCCCCTCTGGGAGTAACAGATTACTGACACAAAAATGTGTTTTTTTTAGTCTCTTCAACTGATTAGACAGTGGTTCTTATTGCTCAGGAGAGTTATTTCTTACCCTTCAATATCATCTTCTTCAGATTCATTTGCCTTGTGTGGGGTTTTTATTGTGTCCCCTTTAGCCACAACTGCAACATCACATTTAACATAGCCTTTACAACCCGCTGTGATGTCGTCAGGGTCGGACAACAGAGCCCACTTGTGGTAAAACTGATGCTCTGCAAAACAAATAGAGAAAAAAATCCATACCAGAGTGACGATAGCTAGATTCATGTCAGCTAAAAAGTTGTTGGCTGTTTACCGGGCTGGGAGTAGATTGTGCCCACGTCCAGTTTAAAAGTTCCCACGAGGGTTCCACTACGCAGGAGATTTTTGGAGTGAATGACCTTCAGGAGGGTTGGGCAAATACAAATCTCAAGTTTAAATGTTCTTTTCATAAATCAAAACAATGTTTATATCAGCACACTTTTGGTGTTTCACTGAGAGCTACTTACGGACACTTTCAGGATTTTGTCAAACATGACATCTGGAGGGACGTGGAAGTCGAATACAAAATACTACAGGAGAGGGAAGGTTCAAGTGATTAATTATTTTGAGTTTAGAATAAAATTTTGCAACAATAAGTTGACAGACTCACTTCATTGTAGTAAGGGCAGTTGGTGGACTCCTTCATTGAGGTGTACTTTTTATCCTCACCAATCTCAACACAAACCATTGGATCCATGTTCAGTCCCACAAGCTGCCTGGCTTCAATCACTGTCACACTGACCTGAAATAAAATTAGCGCTCGATTGACACCATAATATCAATCAAACACCTTTAATTATTAATCAACTACAACTTTGTTTTACTTGGTAATCAACTGGTCTTCCAGAGCTGGGCTCCATCTTGATGTCTGGCTTTGATCTGTGCAACAAGGAATCAGAATGAGTGAAAATCTTTGGGAAAAATAGGCAATTGCTTTTAAAAAAAGTCAAAAATGATGTTGTGCTTGCCTCTTATTGGATACATTGGTGGTGACAGCTGTGACGGAGGCCAGTGAGATAGTGTCAGGGTCTGGGCCACCTCCCATGAACATGCCTTGGCGATCCAGATTTTCGGTCTCCAAAATGGCTGGTTCATCTAGAAATCACAGATGATATCCATTATAAAGAAAAATTCTACCCCAAAAAATCAATTATCATGCCGAAGACTCCCTCAGACCTCAAATGATCTGACAGAACTGTGTGTTTGTATCAGAGAACATTATCATACAACCAACCCTGTGAACTTTTGTTTCACATCAGGGGCTCTGTGACATGTCGATGTGTGATTATGCACCATTTAAATGCATAAACATCTGGATTGGTTGATGAAGTTCCAAAAGGCTACCAAGTAATGCAGTAATAATTTTAAAAAACAATATCAAATTGGATGGCTGCAGTTCAGGTTGGGTACATGAGCCTGAAATGGGTTGGTATTTAGTAGGGGTTATGTAAGGGCAGCTTCCATGACCAGATTATAGTGATCCATCTGAGATACCTCCATTTTTGTCCTCCTTGTTTCCACGGTGCTTACTGCGCTTCATGGCTCAAAACAAAATTCTTTGTGTGCTCTGTAAAAGAAAATTAAAGTCACTCACAGTTGATTTGGACAATTTGATACTGTCAGCAACGCTGGAGCAGTTAGCTCATCTCTTTTTCACATGCTATTCTTTTTTTTTGGGAGGGGGGGGGAGTTGCCTGGAAGTACCAACTGGAAAACGCCTTTGTAAAAACATTTAAAGCATTCCATGCAACGTTTTGAAACCAAAAGACAAGAGAGAAAGTTTAGCACATAATTTAAAATATTACGAAGAGTTAGTGTGTGTCAGTGTGTGACCACACTTATATGTAGCCTTTCAGCGGACATTTGAATTATTCATGCTGCTGACCTTAATGTACTAAGATAAAAGGATCACATTTATAGTGAAAAATAATACACGTGGACTGAATAATAAGGAAAACGTGTTCTTTAGAAAGGTTCACAGATATACTATAAAAGTTCATTCATTTTTCCACATGATCAGGTTTTATCTTTTTCAGACTTCCTTTTCCTGAAATACCGAAAATCAAGCCAACATGTCTTCTGAACCTGTATTATTTTGATTAAAACTATAGAAACCTAATGACACACTCATATAAGCTGCATATTGCTCACAAACAAACTGTTTAGAATTATTTGCAGTTACAAACAAGAGATATGCACATACTAAATTACTATGTACTAAATTAATCCTCAGCAGTCTGAAAAAGAAACATTTCTTGAAATCTTGAAAGAACATACATCAGTAATCAAAAAGGCCCCTCTTGCATTAAGCCTGTCATGGACCATGCAATACACTCAGATATGTGTCTAGGTGTGTGTGTAACATCTGATCATTCTTTATAGTGCCGTTCCTATGGGATAAAAATACGACATACATACCATACAAGAAAAAGGATTCTCCTGCTCCTTCTCCTTCTAAGTAGCTCCAAGACGTTTCCTCTGAAGAAAACTGCTTTTGAACTTAGGTTTTTTCCCCCCTCTGACAATGTAAGAGCCCCTACATGAACATTTTAGACATTTACACTGCGCCGAGAATAAGGCTTCAAAGTTAAGTTGTTCAGAAAAGAATTGAGTTTGTCCAAGTCTGAAGTTGAGCAGAAGTGATGTGATATGCCAATGAATAGTGCATGAGTGTTGAACCTGACACTGGTAACTATAACTAGTGGCTGCTGAGAGACGTCACTCTGACCACAGTCTGCCAATCTGTATGGGCTCAGAACGCTACAAAGAAGATAGTTACTGTTTTACAATGGCCAGAAAACATGATACCATCCACATGCAATCAGACTATTAAAATTGTCGTGTTTAACTTTATTCTACAGTTACTTGGCATGATGTACTTCAGAAAACCTCATTATAAGTGATGAATGGAGTGACCACAGTTTAAGGGCATCATGTCGCGAATAATGCAATATTCTAAAAGTGTATCCAAAAGTGTATTAGAGCATGGCTATTACAAAAACTTCAAAATGAGTGAAGATCCCGAACCGGAGTAATCAATATGTTGCCATGTCACCAGTGATAAGATTTCATGGAAGTAAACAAAATGTCAGCCTAGCATGGTTGGAAGACTGCTCCCTTTTAATTATAAATAGGGCTTTTCTACAAACTAGGTCTTGGGGTAAACACGGAATATTTAGTCATGGAATGAATACAAAAAGACATCAAATCCTATTTGCAATGCTTCAATTTGAGCCTGAGAATTAATAGAAACTGACCCACATTTGGCGTCACACAAGTGCTGTTGATATTATCTGAATAAAGCGGCTTACTTGAAAGGTTAAGGATCAAGAAAGGAGACTGGAATGAGAAATTCTGTCCTGGATGTCAAAATGAATAAACAAATGTAAAACTTGCTTTAAACGACCTATAATTTTCAGGGATGCTTTAGAAAAAAAATACTGGAGAACAAGTCATCTTATCAATTACACCCACAGCCAGTCTGTAAGCCACACGTCAGTCTAAAGTTGCTGGTATCTGATGAGACATGGCTGTAAATGATTAATGGACACCAGTCATTGTTGCATGTGGTATCCTCATTATGAGAAAGTATTGATGTTTGCAACAAAAGAAATAGATTTGACTGATGGAAACTCAAGACTGTTGGCAGGAATCTTTATATTTTTATGCACCAATGGAAATGACAGCCAACTACAATGATTGCCACATATATTTATAAATATATACATACAGTATGAATATATATTGCAGTACAGAAATCTATTCAACTACATGGCTCTTCATTTATGTATAAACATTTTTATTTAGAACTGCTACAGATGTACCCTTTTACTAACTTCCTGGCTGGAGGTGAATGATAGCTGATGACATAAACCTGGTCACCGTGTTGAGGGATTCTGCCGTTAATTACATGACTTAGTAGCAGCTCAGAGGGGTTGAAGAGATGTCCTACTTCCTCCAGGATAGCCGGTAACCATGTCACCGATCGTGCAAAGTTACCAGTTGCCATGTAGTGTAATATACTAGCCTCATTCTCTGATGGATCTTGTCAACGCGCTCAACTTTAAACACTGTGGTTGACATCACCCACAAAACAAGTATATCCCAACTGACTTCTCCTGTTTGATGAAGGATGAAAAGTGTGGCAAAAAACAACCAAGTATAATGTTCCTTTACAAAGCAGATTCTAACAAATTCTATACGTATATTTGTTTTACCTTACAAACATAAACATCTTGTATCTGTGCAATAAAAATGGATGATTCCGTGCACCACTGATGAGCAGATGCATTATGATATTTGGGTAAAACTTATGAATATGCATGAGCATGCAACCAAGCCCTTAAACTGACACCTTTGATAATAGCGTCTAGGGTGAACCACATAATGACTTGATACCAACTGTGCAATCTTATCCCATGTAGGTCCAGTGTCCTCAGGCTTTTTTTTTCTTTTTTTTGCTGTGGGATGTGGACCAGTTATGAACATCTTATTTGTGCTCCAGTGACTCTATGAGCACGCCACCTGACCATGGTTTAGTGTGTCCTTGTGGCACATTTAAGACCAGGAGTTTGGCGAGGCTGGCCAGTGGGACGGACTGAAAAACCCTGGTAGATATCACCTGTAGTTACCCCGGGAATATATAAATGAGTATTCAGAATTTAACTGACAGATGAACTGCGCATGTACGCTACATCTCAATAACCACTGTGGGGTATAACCTCTTCTTTAATAAAAACTCTTTGAAAAGTGTTGAAGTAAAATGTTTTTCATTTTGGTGAATAAAGGATTTCTGCCATTGAACAATTAAACTTTTTTTTTTATTTCAATCTGCAACACGCTTTGAACTTTTATGACTTTGGAAAGGCTTTTTCAGCAACTGTGCTTTTTTTTTAACAGAGAAATGTTATAATGCAATGCAAAAGTGGAGTCACTTTGCAGAGATGAAAAAAGCCAAGCCTTTCGCCTGGGATGCTCCTTAGATATTGAGTCTGAAATTTATGTTACTGATCTAATTTTGCTGAGATATTTACTCAGTTATTTTTCCTTTAGTTTTTCATTTCACACAGGTTGAAAGAAAGAGTTCCTAAATGTAACCCTGGCCTTTCTGTGTATAATCAGCATGTATTCCGGCTTCCTTCCACCGTCCAAAAACATACATTTTTGGTTAATTGGCTTGTGTGAATTGGCATTAGGAGTGAGTTTGAGCATGCATGGTTGTCTATGGGAATGTGGTCTACTGGTAACCTGTCCAGGATGTGGCCAACCTCTCGCCCTATGGCCACTTGCTGCTGGAATACACTGCAGCCCTCCCTAATGAACCTGACTTGGAATAAGTGGGTATAGAAAATAGATGGATGTTGTAAACATCAAATTCAAAATAACCACACATGTAGAGCATTTTTCAGTTTTCAATTACTAGACAGAAATAACACGCATAGATCTCAACAAGATGAATTTGTAATAAAAAACAGTAATTCATTTCTAAAAATTACACAAGCTGCATGCCCAAGACTGACTTCAGTCTGAATGAGATGTGAAAAATCCTGCTCAGAATGCCAAAGTCTGAGATTCTGAGAGAGAAAATCCCTTATATAGAACAATATCAGACAATGACCTAAACTTGCTCTCAATATGGAAAGACCTCCATCTAGTGGTCCAAACATTTAACTCATTTTAGAGGAGTCACTGGGTAAGAAATACTACTATTTGAGGCACAGTGCAATGGACACTATGGAAGCGAGGCAATATCTAACAATGTATGTCAATGAACCTTTAATCACTGTTGTCATGGTAATACTTCACATGGTTGCTTTCAGAGCTCTGCATCCTCCTTTTTCTGACTCCAGGAAATGCTGGATCCCCCGTCCTGCTTCCATGAAGCACGCAGGCAGCGTGCTATGGGAATTAAAGTGACACAGCTACATTCTGTGAAACTAAAGCAGAGCAGCTCACAAGGGTGTGCTCTTTAAAGGGGGAGTAGCCTTTTATAGATGAGCCTCAATGAGGCTCGGTATCTTTCCAGACTTTGATAACAACAAAGGGGACAAAGTAAATATCCTATGTGGACAACCTTGACAAAAGATTCTCCAGTCAATGGTCAGGGAGATGACTTGATGATTTGCTCTGTAGCCTTTTTCTAAGAATATATTTGTCAGGCACAGATGGACAGGCAGAGCATTCAGGAGGCAGTTTCCTACGCAGCACGCTCAAGCAAGGACCAGAAGGCATCTTGAAATAGAAATTCAAAAGAGGAGGAGGCGAGCAAGGAGGGGAGGGGGGGTTTGTGAGGGAGCACTGGTATGCCAGGCTCAGTACCTAGCATGGCTGTGCAGAAGAAGCAGAGTGTCATCCCTCCATCGCAGGGACCACTTTCTACACGTACCATTAAGAGCCAAAGGGTTGGAAACAGACTTGAAAGAACTGGAGGTTAGTAGCCTTTAGTCATGTTTTTGTTCATAAGGCATTTGTATTGTATGGGATCAAAACAAGCCTTTTAATTCAAGCTACGGTCATTGTAGACCGCAAATAAAAACAAAAACAAAAAAATCTGAGGTGTTTTACGGACATATATGTATTGTATATATGTATATTGAATCTAGAGCATTCCATAGAAGGAAGCTATTGCACATGACTGCCAAACAGAAGAGGAGTAGGAATCATGGGGCATCTGACACAGATTACATAACTCATATAAGCAGCATCTTCATTTTGTTGGATCTTAAAGTGACCCATCCTTGTATTTATTGCCTTGTGCATAGCTAACCAGTCTTGTATGGAGCGTCCATAGCTTGTTTATTTTTCCTTGTTTGTTTCAACCATTTCCATGGGGACTTGTCAGGTGGTAGCCTTTTCTACCCAGCTACTTTATAATGACCCTTTCATTTAGAAATAAGCCTAAGGCCACACAGTTATTAACAGGCAATATTTGAAGCAGTTTATCAGAGCTTTTTTTTTTTACACTAATTGAACAAAAAAAATGGATGAAAAAAACTGAAATGGTAAATCTGATGTTTGTTTGTTTTTAGAAAAAAGAAGAATCTGGAGTATGAGAATATAATGGCAAGATTACAATTCTTCCTCAGAAAAATAACATGTTCTATCCTCACTTACAGAGAATGGACCTTACTCAAAACCAAATTCACAAACAAAGAAAACTGCCTCTTGTGTCAATACATCTGTCCAGATTTGCAACACAGTCTCCCCACGGACAGTTGCAGGTTTGTTGGGGCACTTTGTTTGGGCTGGAACAAAAAATATTACAATATTTAAGGTCCTACACAAGCTCATAGCGCCTGTATAACAAATTTGAATAAAAAATTAATCAAAACACATTCTTTTCACAGCAAGTAATGGACTGAATGTTGATGAGAGGCTGAAAGCAGCACGAGAAAGAAGAGAGGAACAGCAAAAGTTACTCGGTAAGGGAGCTCCTGTGGTGCCACTGTTGACACATCACTGCTATTTTCACTGTCCTCAATTTCTGATATTGCTAACATACATATAAATCTAATTATAATGCCTCATTCATTCGTAGCCTCTCGGGAACTGAGCAGATTGGAGAGGGAACAGCGAGCCAGGCTTTACTATGAACAACAACTACAGGAGCGCAAGAAGAAACTCCAGGAGCAAAGGCTCAAAGAGGAAAAGCGGCGCACAGCAGTGGAGGAGAAGCGAAAGCTGAGGTTGAGGGAAGAGAAAGTGAGTTTCAATGGTGGAAATGTTTAACGAAACAAAAAGTCCCTAACATCTCGACCCTGGTTTTGGATAGTGCATGCGTAACTTAGGGGTACAATTTTCTGAATGAAGGAGCGGAATGAATCTGCAGTGCGCAGGACGCTGGAGAAGAGCCAAAAAGCTCAGCAACACCTCGGTCAAAACTTAAGAGGAAGGAAGGCAACCAAAAATGGTAGGAGTAATTCATGTGCTATGGTTTTTATTTCCCCCCATCTCTTTCAACAGCCTTTCCCAATCCAGAAAGCATATCTGTTCCCTGAGTAACATATCGCATAACCCAATGATTCTTGGCATGCTTTATCTTTGCTTTTGCTCTTGCTCCACTTGATTGATTGATGCATTAGTTCCACGTCGCATGCCTCTGACAACATGGGAGAAGAATCTGGTCAGTCGACTCCTTACCCCCACATTCTCTTATCTGGCCAGGAGCAAGAGTGCTGCTTGTCAGTCAGGAAAAGAAGGTACTCTCCCCCTCAGTGACAACAGAAAAGTCCTTACTGACTTCCACTGCCTTGATAACTAACTTTTCCATGCTCTCTAACTCTGCTCCTTTTCCTTTCTGTTGACATACCACTTTACATTTCCATCACTTGTCCCCGTGATCAACCTTTGTGTGAATATTTCACCCATTTCCCCCGTTACAATGGCATAAAACCCTGTCTCAGTTGTCCATGTTTGTCGTCGTGCAGTTTCATACCACTCCATGATTACATCCGCTCACAAACCTCAGCATCATTCCGGTAAAGACCACCACAGGCTGTCGTCTGCCTCGCCCAGTTCTAACAGAGGAGAGCAGAAAAGCATCGGCCTGCCAAAGGTAAATATACCTGTTTATTTGGTCTTATGTTTTCCTGGTATATAATAGTGTTCATACCAACTATGATTTATAAAATCACCCAGCCTCGGGAGATTTTCATTTCTTCAATGACAGACTCTCATTTCTGGGGAGCAAAGCAAAAAATATATCAGTGCATTTCATTGCTTTCCAGAGCAAAGCAGTAAGTCAGAAAGACCATTTCAAGAAGAGTTCAAACACAGGCTCAGAGAGTAGATCATCTGCTTTGGCCGCCTGTGTTAAACCGACCACAGGTACGCAGAAGAGAAAAGCCTCCCCGTCTCCAGACCGGTAGGTCAAATACCAGCAGTGTGTATTAGTGTTATAATTAATGACAGTGATATACTGTATATAAAACAAGGTTGGACATTTGCCCCCTCTTTCTCAATCTTTAAGGAGCACCCGAAGATCAGTCAGCAGACACTCGGCCCCGCTGCAGCTGGACCTCCCATCTGTTCCAGAGGAAGATGGTGTTGTTTGTGGCCCTGCCCTCTCTCCTGGAAACAAAAGGCCTGTCAGGAGATCAGCTAAAGATCAGCAGGAGAAGCTTAAGAAAGAAAATCCTCAAGAGTCTTCATGTTCAAACCTGTCTGAGAACTCTCCACAGAGAACTGTGTCAATCAGAACGGCAGGAGATGGAAGTAAGTCGCAAAAATCAGTTTACAACAACGTATGTTGCTCTGTTTTCAAAATGTTACAAATCGAGCGGATTGCTTTTTCTTTAGGTCCATCCAAAATGCTTCCTCGCACAGCTCCTCAGGCTCCTGAGGTCCCTTTCCGGGCCTCAGCTGGCACATCAGACCCAGAGGAGGCCTCACGTCTCCTGGCTGAAAAGAGGCGAGAGGCCCGGCTGCAAAGAGAGAAACAGGAGCAAGAACGATTGCAGCAAGAGGAAGCTGAAAGGTTCAAGAAAAAAAAAGCCTAGCAAGACATAAATAAACTGCAGCAGGCCGTTGACAGTCTGTTGTGCTATAACCTGTGTGCAGGCGCAGCCGTGAGGAGCTGGAGCGCAGGAGGGCTGATGAGCGGGCCAGACAGGAGGCCGAGGCTCGGCTTCTCATTGAGGAGAAGAGGAGGAGGGAGGAAGAGGAGCAGAGAAGAGCCGAAGAGGAGAGGGCTCAGGCTAGGAGGGAAGCTGCCCTCCTGCAGAAACAGGTTTGCACGTTTCCTCAGGCAGCAGACACGCAAGAAATGGAGGTGGTCTTTTTTTCTCTCCTCAGTATATATAATTTATCTGTTCCTTTCTATAAAGAGGGAGGAAGAATTAGCCAAAGAAATGGCACGAGCAGAGCAAATGAAGCAAGAGCGAGAAATAGTGGCGCAGAAAGAAGATGCAGAGCGCCAAGCAAGAAAAAAGGTTTGTTAGTTTACTAATTGAACTGATAAAAAATTTGATTTTTGTCTCCCTGTATTTGGAAAAAACATAAAACAACAAAAGTTCTGACTTTTTTTTCTAAGACTCTGTTTTCACAAAGCTGTCCTCTTTTACAGAGACTTGAGGAGATCATGCGGCGAACCAGAAGAACAGATTCCCCAGATACTGTGAGTTTTAATGCTCTTTCATTCTTTAAAACAGTACAGAGCCTTAGGTCTCTTATGATGCACAAGATCAGATAACAAACGGCACACAGCTTCTCCTTCACTAAAAGGATTAATCATTTTTTTCCACTTCCATAGACGTCTGTACCAGTGAGGAACCTCGCAAATGAAGCCCAACCAAAGGAAAACACGGAGCCTTCGAACAACGGAACTGTAGCCGTGGGCCCTAAAACCACACAGCTGGGGTTGAACTGTGACGAGGATATGGTACCTGTTGTGGCCTTCAAAGAGCGCCGGTCTCACAGAGCACTGTCGGGCCTGGAAGAAATCCAAAGCCACCAACGAGCAGGTGAGAAGCAACCAGCATGCCACTGGAGGGTGCATGACCTCAGAGTCAGTCTGACTGTTTGTGATGCTTCTCCACAATTAGCCGCACTCCCCAAACAGTCAGGATTATTCATTCATGGCCGATTATAAAGCTGTCAGTTGAATTCTCTTTTATTTATTTAGCATAAAATTGCTAAAATGTCATCTGAAGCCCCTCAGCCAAATTAAAGGGTGTGGTTCTCCCAAAGTCTAAAAACATGCTAGTTAGGCTAGTCAGGAGTTGCATTCAGACAAGGCCACAAAATATTTCCAAGCTGGAGAAACCAACCGACAAGCATTCGGTATTTTCTTCATTGAAATCCCCCGTCCCGTACACACATGCAGTGTTATGTGATAGAACCAGATTGAAGTTGAACCCTCTGCCTCGCTTCTTTGCAGGGGTGTGAGGACGAGACAGGGGTCAGAACACAAGGACTATGGCCAGGGACTATTTGAAAGAAAAAAAAGAACTGGCGAAGCAAGAGTTAACGACAACAATGACATGCACGTGGAGATTAAAAAGAGATGAGCATGGTGCGTCATGGGTGAACCCCCAGCAGTCTTGACCCAAAACGTCAGTTAAACTAAATTAATAATGGAAAGTTTACTTTTACAGAGGACCGTGTTTAGCATGAACTTGAAGGCAAAGAAAGCTGGTTCCACAAGCGTGGGGTTTCGTGATGGAAAGCTCAGCCTCTCGTCCCTCTGTTGGAATCCTGTAGTTAGACCAAATAGGTCCATTATTAACTTTTGAAGTAAAAGGTCTTGAGATATGGTGGGGCCTAATCATTAAATGTTTTATATTTGAGGATAATCATAACAAATTATTTTCCAGATTTTATAGCTAAAAGCTTTTATAGAAATAGTTGTTTTATTCATTTTTGTTACTTACAAGAAAATATGTATTCCATTACAACTCAGCAAAAAAATGTCTGTTCTAAGACGGATAAAGAATTATTTTAGGGTATTGAGTTCCAAAAATCAGGAGGACAGTGGAAAGACAGTGATGCTAGAATTTTTTTTGTGTGTGTGTGTAATTAAGGACTGATCCTGAAATGTCACCCAGAGTAATAACATCAGTAGATGGTATCTTCTGGAGTTATCTAAAAAAAAACTCTGACTCGAGCTTGTTTAAAACATGAAGTGAATGAAAAGTAATCTTTAGAAATAATCCCTAGATTTTTATTCTGTGAAGCTAAAGATGAACGACATAAATAAGTATGCGTTTGCTGTGTTACTAAAATGTTTTCAAATGTTTCTTGATGCCCTTTGTCTCTCTGTGTCATATCATTTAGAAGTCATCTAAGCACCATGTGAGTGGCCAGTCATTCGGAGACTTTGTTGGATTTCGTAGCGATTTCTCTGTGGAGCACAGGAATCACGTCACAACAGTCCCTGCCCTCCAGCACCTTGTAAGAGCATGTCAAATTATAGCCTTGCCTCTCAGTCAGAACGTCAGCATCTGACCACTTTTCTGTGTGTAACTGCGGGTACAGATATTAAGCAAGCTACATATTAACCCTCCAATCTTATTCTGACTGTCAAAAAGTGCCGTAGACCTAGTTGGTGCTGATAGTTGGTTGGCAAATTCAGTTTAACAGTTATGCAGAGTGTTACCTCTGTGAAATACTAGATATAGCCACTATAACAGCCACAACTTGTGTAATGCTTCATGCTTACTCCTGATATTTCTTCCTATCTACGCACTTTGCTTTCCTCAGCTTTGTCCCTGTGGAATTACAATAGGCTAAGTCATTGTTTTCAAAAAGAGCATGGTTAAGTGTGTTCTTGAGATAGGACTTTCTGCATTCATTTCTTAATCTTATATTTTGTAAGTTATAGCAATCACATATTTTAAAGCTGCTGCAGGAATATGATTTCCAAAGAGTTGCTCGGAAAATGTGCGTGTGTGTGTGCGTGCGTTTGGTTTTAGAGGTTATGATACACAAGCATTTCTTGCACGGGCCGTCACTTTGTTATTGTTCAATCACATCACAAAGTCTTAGGCCTGTAGTTTAAATGATTTTATTATAATAAAATCATAAAAATGGATCTAGCTTCAGTACTGCTTATGACTATTACAAATTAGCTTGTTACAAATGTAAAAAATGTGCCATATTTGATTAAAGTTGATACAATGCCACAGTTTTGTCCTGTCAATTTCTCAAATGTAAACATAAGTTTTGTTTTAAAAAAGGCACAATAAAAAGAAACAGCCTGCAAATCTGTACAACCTATATAGTTCACATATAAACTGAAAAAGTAATTGGTTGAAAGAAGACAGAGATGGGGGCCTAATGATCGGCTATATCTGTTCTTCTACCAGTGCATGCACCTGAATGTCCAGCTCGCTGTTAGCCAGCCGTGATGCAAAGTCCCCATCTGTAGATAAAAGAGCAGAAAGCAGGCTCACTGTATACCACCCGCATTACAATGTCTGTCTGTTTCAGATATTGCTTTGGGGCGTCACACTTATTCCAATAAATAAAATCCCTGTCTCTGTCTCGGTTTCGGCATAAACAAATACAAACCTCTTTTGAGCTTTTGGACTGTAACTAGGCCAAGCTGCTGGAATTTAACATCTTCATGTTTCAGGAAGAACAACAGATACTTAGACATTGTAAGATAGTGAGGCCGCAGCAACTGGATGGATCTCTCTGTGCACAAAAAAACAATAAATAAAAACAGTGACAGCAAATATTCTGACTCCAGGAAAGTAATTGCTTCAGACTTTACGAATTACCAGTCATTTCAAATTTGCTAATGATAGCGGCACAGTTGTATGACAACTTGGATCTTTTTGTTTGCTCAGAAAGTTTAACCAGTCTTGAAACTTGTTCTGGGGTTATTGTTGTACACAGCGCAGTCCTGAACAGATCTGAAATCGTAAAATGCAAAACCCAAGAGTTAGACTCTGAACTGAAACCCACGGCAAACGTGCATCACACCGACCACTCATCAGATGAAGGCCAGGTCACTCACTCCAGGTCATCAGGTGAAGTAAGCATGATGTCACATGTACCAGCGTCTCATCTGACAGAGACGGTGACGTTAGTGCCTGGAGGAGTCCCGATAAGCACTGACTTTCCATGAGAGCCTTGATAACAACAGAACATGGGGTTCAATGTAAGATCAGAGTTTATCAATTCCAAGCAGGACGCAAAACTAACACAAATAACTGAACTATGGACTTGGTACCTGCTCATCCATGCCAGAACCACAGAGGTCAAGGATTATTTTGCAGCTGTGTGTGATGATCACAGAGGTCAATCTAGGATTTAGAAGCAGTTGGCCAATTTCTCCCAAAAGTCCCTCATTCACCAGGATGTCCTTAAATGAAACGGAGGGGAAACTGAGATGTTTTTGTCACATTCAGCAAATGCTAGTTCAAGCTTCAAGTGGAATCTGAATTCAGTCAGATGCAGATTCACAGTCCTCCGGGTCATGGTAATCTTGAGAGTTTGAGTAAAGGATACTGGACATTTTCCTGAAATATTTTTCACTTCTCATCCAGTTACCTTTACTCAAGCTCCTTTCAAATCTCATACACACCATTAAAAAAAACAACAGCAAAAATGATAATAAAAATACTTGACAGCTCTGCCAGTGTTGTGACAGTTGCATACATTGTTTGGAGGATGTGCAGACAGTGTGGACAGCAGAGTGAGAGCTGACTCTATCCACACCGGAGCTGAGGTTCTCAGTAGCGCCCTCAGAGGCTGTACGCTTTTGAGCTCCATCAGCTGTTCCTGGATGAGCACTACACAAGAAAAAAAACAAAAAAAAAACATTTGCATCAGCAATGGTATAAATGTCGATATGTCTCTCTTTTTTTCCTTTATTTGCTTTTATAGTTTCAATTACCGCTCTTTAAAAGAGTATGCAGACACCTGCAGGCCTGGGCTGAATTCTACAAAAAAAGAACAAACATATAAAATGAGAATGCAGAGTTCCATTTAAATGCAGCTTTCGACCAATTCAATTCACAATTACCTTTAGCACAGAAGAAGACATGAGAGTTAGGAGAGATTTTGCTAGATAATGACCCCCAATGCTGAGCAGCTTCGGGTGGTGCTCCTGGAGAGCAGCAATGTTACATAAAGCAGTGCAACTGTAAAACTGAACCTCTGAATCTGAGGACTGTAGCAGGAGAACCAAAACAGGGATGGCCCCCGCTTCACACAGAATCCTCGTTGACCAGTCTGGAAAAGAGAAAAAAACAGAAGATACGGTTGTTTTTAAAAGAGAGCACCAGCTTTTGAATACTTGAGCTATTATATTCTTAAAAGGGAAATTGTCCAACCTGACTGTGTGAGATGTAACAGAGCCCACGTTGCATTCTGTTGCACCTTTGAATCATAGGATTTTGCCAAAGCTAACAGTGGTTTGACTCCATCTGCTAAGAAAACATCTCTATTTGACTCTGTAGAAAGAAAAAAAAAGGTGGTATGGTCATGGCAACAGCAAGCTTTTATGCATGTTTGTTGTGTTGCAGGGGAAGGTTTGTGCAGCACTTTGGACAAGTCCATTTTCAAAAAGAAGAATAAAATCATATCAGCTGTTTCGTTAAAGATTCCATTAATTTCTAAGTGCTACTTTCTAGATTGATGGGAAAACTTAAAAAGTCTCAACAAACCTGAGGTTGCCAGCAGGGCAACACAAGCACAAGAGTGACACTGAGCAGCAGGATCACCAGACTGGAACAACTCCAGTATGGGCACCAGCATCCCCATTTCAATCACCAACTCTTTACACACTGAAATCATATCTCAGTGAGAAATTAAGGGTGTCCGGAAGTTGTGTCAAACAGCTGGGACTTTGCTGAACAGGGCTACTTAAAAATAACAAGTATAGAATTTAAGGTTATCAATCAACAAAGGGCGATATTACATTTCCATCCTACCATTATTCTTCACTAACAGATTGACCAGAGCGAGAGAGATCGTCTTTTGCACATCAAGGTCACTTGATAAAAGAAGACCCATGACTGGCTCCATGAAGGGGGGTGGTACAGGAGATGTCACTGTAATACAAATTCCCAGAAGGCACAAAAGCTTGTGTTAATTAACATTGTTGCCCCCCAGTTTTAGAATAAGCCAGACTGATCTGTAAGTTGAACATGATAAAAAAAAAAAAAAAATTGTAGCAAAAGTTGAATTTTTAGAAGTCAACATGAAGTATTCAGTAAAAATGTGTAAAAAAATCAATTTTTCTGTCATGTAACCAAACAGGAATCTTCAACTTCCTATAAGAAAATTGTTAGGTTAAATATCCCTGAAGTGACCTTATCACTGTAACGAAACATTTTGAATGCATGTCTGCTATAGTACACAAGACACTGATTCTGTATTTAAAATGTATCACAAGTCGGCCTATGGCAGGACTTTAAAGAGAAAATATCTCGGGTATTACAAATGGAAGCTTGCATGTTGTCCTTCAAGTTGTGGATCCTGGGGGAAAAAATACAGTTGAAAAATTTGCATAACAGCGTACTGGTCTTACCAGTTAGAGTACTTATCTCATGGTTTGGGTGAAGTGCAAAAAAAACAGCACCAACTTATCACAGGTCTGAAAGTTGTTGCAAAAATGAATATTATTATTGACACAGAAAATACACACTCACGGCAATGGCTGATGTGTAAGTAGGACATGGCTGCACACATTTGGAGATCAGCTTTTTGTGAGGCTGCAAGTCTGTTGAGTGCTTGAAGGTTTCCCTGACTGAGAATTGGAAGTTCATCATCTGGGATAATAAAGAGAAAAAAGTATTGAATTTTAAAGTTTAACACTTGGGCAGACATAACATGTTCATTATGTTATTAAATTAAATACTCTTACAAAATTACCCTCGTTTTTAAAGATCAGCCACTCAGCATTAAACGTACTTTAATGTCAGTTATAAACTATAATCACACAAAGAAAGTCTATATACAACTCCTCTGTCACAACAATACTCCCAAGAGAAGGAAACGCATGTCCATTATGTCCCTACCACATATGAGGGGTAAAGACGACAAATCATGCGCTGTCCTCCTCTCTGGTGTTAAACAGGTGCACTGAACAATTTCTCTGAAAACATCCCTGATTTTGTGCACCAGCTCTTTCCAATGTATCCTCAAACGAGCCCCAAATTCTCTAAGCAGTCGAGAGCATTTGTCACAAAATCCCGAAGCCATGACTGCACTCTGCACAATACATTATGTCACTCGTCTGATTCATGCAACTTGCACAGAATCACGCCTACTGGTAGGTCACGTGGCTTTAAAGTCAATGCATTGCAATAACTTGCTAAAACAATGTTTAAAAGAAGTGTGATGTGAACCACTATGCATGACTCTGTTTAATCATCTTTAAATGTTTTTCAATCCAGTATCAAATGAATAGATGTGTATAGAAACAATTTAGAGTTATTTTTTTTCAAACAGCTTGCGTCTTTGAAAGTGGTAACTTCCTTTATGAAGGAGTTTGGGATTGCTTCGACTTAATCGAAATAGAGTAGGGAAAATCCGAGTTTCCATTTGTTTTCAAACGCAGCGCTGGTGTAGTTACGCACGTTGCGTATTTACGTCGCTTGTGTCCTCTAAATTCATTGGTCATTTCGTTGTTTGTTTATCTACGCCACTAATAGGCTCGTAGCACTCCTCCCTCGCGTTCACCCTTGTTGACTTGGAAACCATCGAAAGCGTTGACGGTATAGTTGGAGGAAAACACGAGCACTGTGGGGTAGGTCTTTGCAGTTACCCACAGCCACTATTTCATAGTACATTCATATCAAAGAGGTTTTGTTTGAAGCTCTAAAGTTTGTTAAAGATATTCATATTTGGTATACAGGGTGGCCATTTAGCAAAGCCAATTAGCTTCTAGTTGCCCTTAGCAAACTAAGCTGTTGAAACAGCTAGCTGTTAGCATACTCAAAATATTGGGCTACGTACAATATTTAGGCATCATTTGAGAACATGCCCCGTCACTTTCGATGCAGCTTTGTTCTAGGTTGTCGACAAATTGAATAACCCTAATGAAACGCTCACATTAGCTAATTAGATTCCAATCTTATGTAGCTCATACAGAGTTAGTTGTCAATGAAAAATCTGTCCTTGTTTTGTCTTTTTAGAATGAGGGCTCTACTTCGTGGATTACTATCCTCTTATATTCAGAAAGTGGGGCTTTACAATGCCTGACAATGCCAGCAGGTGGGTTTGCTGCTTTCCTTCACCTAAACATTGTTAGAATATTTATTTTAAGGCAAAGTGGTAACACCACTGTCAATTAATGTTCCGATGTTTTGAAATGTGCAACAAATAGTTCAAACACTGTGCCATTTCAGTAGATTTATTTTATTTAGGACCTTATTTTAATAATTAGTATATTAACCACATTGTTTATTAAAACATGTTTAATATTTGTATTATAATGTTTTGTGTAAACGTGGAATCGGGAGGAACATTTTTTTCATCCAATATTTCATCCATATTTCAATGTAGACACACCAATTTCACTTCATTGAATAAAAAGACTGACTTTTTCAGGTAAGACTGAAGAGCGGGCGAACACCCGGGAAAGATTTAACGAGGTGTTCAAGAAATATACTGAATCGGAGAAAAAAAAGTCAAAGAAGAAAGACACTGAAACGCAAGAAACTATTGTGGTATGTATTGTACATGTTCCACATTCATTGGTGATCAGCATCACCTCAGAGCTGAATTGACTTTCTGCATCATTCAAGAAAAGAAAGAGATGCTTTTATTGCTTTCTTCAAAATAGGCTAACAAAAACCATGTAAACCATATCGGATGTTAAAAATGTTATTGATGAAAAACATATATTGTATATTTTTTTTGCTTTGTTGTCTTTCATGCTTTTAGCTTCACAGTCTGAGGAGGAATCTTAACCTTGAGAAGGACACAGAAGATGATGAGACCATCCTACAGAACACATATGATCCTGAGCAGGGCAGCCCTCGTTACACCAAGAATAAAAGGAGAGAGAGGGAAATAGCAGAAAAAGTCAACACCAACAACAGTGGAAACCAGGAAGAAGTTAAATTGTCAAAAGCTAAGAGGAAGAGTAACAGGGAACTCCCCCCCCTCCCTGTACACGAGGACTCTTCAGGTTACATCCAAGACAGCACAGAGGCCTCCAAATCTGAGAGTGTTTTGGATCAAGAGGATGTTGGGGGTGGAAAGGAACCAAAAAGGAAAAGTAAGAAGGGGAAGAGCAAAGGAAACACAGAGAACACAGCAGAGAGCCAGGTGGAGGATTCAGAGGACAAACTGCTGCAGGAATACCAGCAGGCGATTGCACAGGAAGAAGAGAGTGCTTTGAAGAAAACAACGGGAAAGCAGGAAAATGAGAGCATAATCTCGCAGAATGTAACCTTGAATAATGATATAGGGAAGAAAAAAAAGAAAAAGCTGAAATCCATTGTACTGGAATCAGATGTGGGGTGTGTATTGCATGCTTTTTATATTATGGATTGTATTTGGTTTAGCAAGAATAATATGCGACTGACCAGTTTTGGTTGTAGTTTTTCTTTTCAAGTTCGATGTTTTCCCCACTAGGGATCAAGATGAGGATGGAGCCCAAGATGCAGATGTAGAAAACGAAACAGAACCTAAGGGAAAGAAGAAAAAAAAGAAAAAGCATGGTAGTTTGGTTTTGATTTAAATTTTTGTGAAATGTAAGTGTTGCTTTAAAACTGTCTGTAAGACAAAAACAAACATATTGAGGATGTTTCCATGATATCTAAATATTAGTTGTCAAAGAAGAAACTGAGACAGAGCCAGAGGAACAACAGAAGCCAGTCTTTGATGACAGCCTTGTGTTGAGCGTGTTCATCCACAGAACAGACCGCCTCAAGACACACCTAATGATCTCACACCCCATGGTGAAGATCCACGTTGTTGACGACAACACAGGGCAGTATGTGAAGAAAGAACACAGGTGAGAGGCAATACTTACTTTGATTGCTTTCACTCATTCGTTTGTTTTATTATTTTTAAAGACTTTTGCAATTTTAATTGTACAAATGGGTCTGGGGGGTTTTTTGTGGTGTTTTTTTTAAGCCATCGGCCAGTGTCTTCATTCTATGAAGGAGAAAAAGTTGACCACATCCTCCCCATCATGACCCAGCCTTTTGACTTTAAGAAGAACAAGTCCATCATCCCGGAGTGGCAGGAACAGATCATCTTCAATGAGCGTTTTGGTTATTTTGTTCAACAAAGTGATCAAAACCCCAAAGTTGTACTTTTCTTTGAAGTGAGAGATATATCCTGATTGAATTGTCTGCCCTGATTTAACCTAGCTGCTAGTAAACCTTTCTATTCAAATCTTTTTTTCTGAAGATCCTGGATTTTGTGAGTATGGAAGAAGCAAGAGCAAACGTCGATGTTGACAAACATGAGAGAGGGTTTAGAAAAATCGCATGGGCATTTCTTCAGGTAATGCATTCTTTTGTGTTGTTTTTAAGAAAGTCTTTATTTGTTTGTTCTTTTGTTGCAGTTTTTAATAATTACTTCAAATTTCCCTCCATCTTTTAGCTTGTTGGAACAAACGGTGTCCTGAATATTGAGAATAAACTTCGTCTCCAGCTCTTCTGCCCTCCACCAAGAGCAAAGAGACAACAAAAAACAATAGAGGTGGTAGAGTGGTGGAAGAAGTACCCGAGAACCAAATATGCCTCCACTCTGTACGTCACTGTGAAAGGAATTAAAGTCCCTGAGCATGTAAGTTTTTTCCAACTTAATTGTCCTGCTGAAATGTCATGCTCTTGTTTATCTCATGCAGCATTTCTACTTATATTTCTCTGTAGGTGGACCCAAGTTTCCGGTCTATGATGGCCTTACAGGAGGAGAGAGGCAGCACCTCCTACAGCGAGCTGCAGAACGAAGTCACCAAACGAAGCCTGACGCAACCCACGGACATCAAGCAGCCCGTTCTGAGATGGACTCGGCTACCTGGTCAGGTTCGTAGATGAACACTGTTGTACAAGTAAAAGAGTTTTCACAAATTTTACTGTCGGAATTTTAAAGGGAAATGCAGAAAAAACTAAATAAACAAATGAGTTGATTTAAATGGAGTGGGAAATTAAATTTAATTAATCCAGAAATACTTTCCTGAATTTTTCTCACTCCTTAATTCTAGTGCTTCTTGTAACTTCCTGGCTACTGTATGTGGCACTCAAGATGGCAAACTCAAAATATTTTTGCATCCTAGACCACTCAGTCTACGACATCAATCCTGATTTTTTTAAAAAGCCACACCGTTTCCATTGCAGGTCTGTCGGATTCCCAACAAGCACATTTTGGCGTTCCGAGGTGGTCAGATGGGCTGTCTCACAGTGTTGTTTTCTCATGCTGGAACCATACTGGCTGCTGCTTGTGCTGACAGAGATGCTTTCCCTGTGGTTGGTAAGCAACGCCTTCATTCTGTGCTAAATTCATGACACATGCCTTGGCTCGTCGGCAATGAACAGCCTCATTACAGGAGTTCAGTGATGAGGTTCAGGTTTACCAGCTTTACTGCGTAGAAGAGAAAAGCATGAGGACATTGTTAGAGAAATTGACCCATTTCTTTACTGTTTCAGTGTATGAGATTCCGTCTGGCAAGGTGTTAGCAGCCTTCAGTGGTCATCTGAAAATAGTTTATGATCTCTGCTGGTCTCGAGATGATCGGAGCTTGCTGTCTGCATCCTCAGATGGAACTGTAAGGTAAGCTGGGTTGTACGATGAATAGAAGCTGCTGTTGTTACTGATTGAATTTCTGTTGCAATAGGATTTTTCGTTTCACCTCTAGAGGGTGCAATCCCCTCACCGTACCACGCTGGCAGTCATGACTCAGCATGTTTTCGGTTGGTTTTACATGTTCATGTTTCCATCCTCTTGCTCTCCTCGTTCAGAGAGTGGAATGTTGAAAGGCTTCAGGGAGCAGCGCAGAAGGTGCTCCCTCATCCTTCCTTTGTGTACTGCGCTCAATACCACCCCAGCGCCCAGAACCTGGTGGTGACTGGGAGCTACGACTGCCTGATACGGGTGTGGAGACTCGACGTGGATGATGTGAACGGCCTGCAGCTGCAAGAGTTCGAAGGTCACAGCAGCTTCATCAACACAGTTTGTTTCGACTCTGAAGGTACACATTAGTATTTTTAATGTCTCCTTGTCAAACACGCAAAAGTCTCTTTGTGCACTGCTTTAATAAATTGTCTGTCGTTTTTTCTGTTTTTGCATTGTTTTAAACAGGAAACAGAATGTTTTCTGCCGACAATGTGGGCCTCATCATTGTGTGGAAGACCTCAGTACATGACGGCAGGCAGCGACAGCAGTCTTGTCATCAGTGGTGCATAGAGAAGGTGGAACAGTTTGGAATAGACTCATCATATATATTCACTTAAGAAAAAAAAAAGTACTCTACTCAAATCTAATTCTCCATTTGGCTTTTGGCAGAAAATTGATGAGCGTGACTTAAATGGTATCCCCGTCAACATGCTGCAGCTACATCCAAATGGGCGGTGCCTGCTCATACATGCCAAAGACAGCACCTTGAGAATGATGGATCTCAGGATGTGAGTAGATAGACACCATCAAAGTAAAGATAGTCATAGCGAAAGGTCATGTTATGTTAATTGCTTTGTTGTTCAAATCCCCCCCTTTCAGTCTGTCTGTGAAGAAGTACACTGGAGCCACAAACTACAAAGAGAGAATCTATAGCACATTCACTCCATGTGGGAACTTCATTTTATCTGGTAGCGAGGATGGGATGGCATATGTCTGGAATACTGATACAGGTGGAGATCTATTTCCCTCAGTGACACAATTTATTCTGTGAGATTTCTTGACTGTTGATGGGTTTTTTTCCTGCTCAGGTGACCAGGTTGCGGTGTACTCGGAGCTTTGTTACCCCACAGCTCTCCACGGCGTCTCTTTCCACCCTCATGAGAACATGGTAGCTTTTTGTGCCTTTGGTCAGAAGCAGCCTGTGCACGTGTACCTGTACGACCGCAAAGGTTTGTGTTGCTTTTGATGGAAAAGAAAGTTGTTTTTTTTCTCTCAGAATCCCAAACGAATTTACAGATGATTTTAATCAGATGTACTTTTGAAACGGTGAACAGGGTCGCTGAACTACAGCGCGCTAACCATGTCTTTGTGTGGTATGCAGTTTCTCAGCTGGAGATGCACAGTACCAAAGCAGCCAGCAGGTCAGCTTCCACCGACACCAGAACAGTGAGAAACACACCTGACGCCATGGCCCTGCAGGATTCATGTGCTTCTTCAGCCATGGATCAGTTTGCCCACACAGCAAGGCTCGCATTGAAGATGCAGTCTGTTAAAGAACGCTTGGACTCAGTTCTGGTAAATGCTTTGTCTGACACTCCAACTATGTCTGACATAAGAAAGAAAAAAGCCATACTTCATATTTTCACTCCATTTTCAGGAATCGCATCGAAAGTCTTCAGCTTCTGGATGCCTTTATGACCAAGGTATATATGGGTAGTTTGGGACTAACGTGATTTGTGCTGATTAACTTGAAGGGTTACATTTAAGTTCTCCTGCATTTGAGATGTCTCTTAATTTGCATGGTGGATGTCATAACTCGCGATTCTCTTTTGCAGAAAAAATGGGAAGGACTTTTACATCGGAGGCTGGCACAGTGAGTTCTGTATCAGCAGTTACTTAATACACAGACATTTAACAGTCCACTTAAATCGTCACCCTCTTAGACCATCAGTATTAAAGTGTCTGCTGACAGGCTGTCTCAGTTATGCCACCACACATCTACTTATTTTCAGTATAAACTAAAGCCAGAAGCGTTCCCTGTTCCCAAAAAAGAACTACATGCAACTCCAAGTGCTGGATTAGTCATCCACATAACAAGACAATTTGACTGGGAATGGCACAAAAAGTAAAAATACTGTGAAGAATTTCAACTAAATGTGACCCATACTCTGGCAGCATATAGTTTAATGTAAAGTTCTTAAACCTAAGGACTCATTTCATCAGAGCTCCTTTTATGTACCATAATTGAATGCTGTATTTGATTGTGCATGGAAAATATTTTTAAAAACTTGACATTTTGAAATTGAACTTATCGCACAGCTCACGACCAACTGTTTATTTTGCCCCCAGATGGGATTAAATGCCTCGCTGCCGCCTGCCTCTCTGCTCTCGCCGCTCTCCAAACTGCATCTCTCTGGTTCTTCGGCGGAACAGCTTATCCCCCAAGCAGCTCTAAACACGCTAAACCGTGAGTGGCTTGTTCAGATAATCACATAGTTATTTGTGTTTGGCCAATGAATGGCCTCTCAGAGCTCCCTGACATATGCGGTCAAATGTTTGAAAAGATTATGGTTTCACGATGAGCCGCATAAGATGATGCATAAGAATTAGTTCCAGAGTTGTGGTTCATAGCTTTATAAAGCATGTACACCATGTACAGACACACAAAAGGAGGGATTGTTGCTTTTACAAGTGTCCGTTAGTGATCTCTGCAAATGCAAGTCACTGAATAGTGCAAGTTTAGATAGTATAAAATGAATTTACTAAGCCCTTTGCTGTTGTCATTTCAGGGGGGTTTAGTCCAGTCAACCAGCGTCTTAAAGGGGCTTCACTTTTAGGTCTCCAAGCGGTAAGACTGTGTTGTGCTTTTTTGTTCCTTTTTTCTTCATATAAAAAACTCGCTTCTCCTGTCAACTGAAATTGCTGATCGTAATTCCCTTTCCTGATGATATCTCTTTGGTTTTCCAGGTGGAAACGGATTACGCCCCTGTTCAGCAAACAGTGAGTAAACTGTGCCTGTAGGCCCGGTCACAGCCCTCCACGTCTCCGCTCGCGTCTCACATTCCTCCTCGTTTCGCCAGGTGGTTTCCCTCCATGACTACAGGGCCAGTCGGTCTGATGAGCTGACCATTCGCTGCGGTGATGTTATCCAAGTCCTGTACAAAGACAATGACACGTGGTGGTTTGGGCGTCTGGCCAATGGATTGCAGGGATATTTTCTGGCTTCTTATGTAGTGGATCAGAGTTAGTTGATTTTATCTTCCTGTAGTATATATTATTTTTTTTTTTTTTTAGATGATGAAGTATATAACCTCTCTTAATTTACACTATTATTATTCCTGTAGAAGAGTCTGCAGACGCACAGGGAGCTTTGTCTGAGGGGACTGTTGAGAGGTCAACTCCCACCAGGGTAAGAAGAATAAGGATTTCTTAATTCAGATCAGCATTATGGATGCTTTTGGGTTAAAAGGTTACTAATTAGGGTTGATATAACTAGAGTGGACCTCTATAGATGCAAGTCTTCTTCTTGCGCCTGTGATGCCCCTGCTTTGGTTAATCTGTTCCTTCTTCTCCTTTACTATACATTCTTATAGAATATATTCTGTAATAGATTCTTAAGATGAACAATTTGACTGTTAGGGGATGCCGTCATAGTAGGATGGAGCAGTATTTCTTTTTTTTTTTTTTAGCTGTTTGAATAAAAAACAGCTGTATTGATTCTGTTTCCTGGGATCAGCATCTTCCAAAATGATATTTCTTAGCCAATATCTTTTGGCCTATATCTTCAATTAGAGGCTTTCACTTCAGGAAATGAAGAAATTTCAAGTGATGCTGAGGATTTGATCCCTTCTCATTGTTTCCCATGTTTTTGCACGCTAAAGGCTTCTTATCTTGTAGGCTAATTGTGACAAGCCTGTCAAGAGCATCACGTTACAATTTCACATATGCTTGCAAACATGCATGAGTTGGGTCTTGTGGTGTCTCTGTATGTTTTATCTTTTCCTGTCCACTTAGTTGTCATTTTTCTCTTCATTTTGCTCACATTTTCAAGGTGTCTGCTGCAGTTAGTTCTTCTGGGGAGCTTAGGTTTCTCTCTGAGCCCACTCTTTCGGACACTGAACCCGAGCTGGCCAACACAAAGTAAGAGGCCGGCTTTACTTAAATCCTCCCACTTCTGGGGAGGTCACAGTTCGCCGAGCTGGGCTTCAAGTTGAACTGCTTTTAGGAGGCACTTTTCTGAGATATTTATATTTGGACTTTGAGATATTATACGCTGATTGTGAAATATCTTTGTCCAACAGAGCTAGAAGGAAAAAGAAGGTGAAAAAGCCAGGAGAAGCCCCAGTGTCTTCACAGGCCGTGTTTTCAGATGAGGGTACTTCAGGATCGGTCAGAAGCAAGAGAGGCCGGTCAGCAGACAGGCCTCTCCCAAAGAGGCCGGCGGGCCACTCCAACCGTGCCTTTGAGCCCGATGCTTGAACTCACAAATATTGCTTTTCACTTCTCTCTACTCTCTAGCAAGATTTTTTTTGTGTGTTTTTAATGAGTAGTTTTTTTTAACGATGTTCATATTTTATATTGTGAAATGCAACCAAATTCCTCAGCTATAATGTACGTCATAAAGTTTTCAAAACATTGATCATGTATGTTCTAAATGATTTATTTATACACAGAGCGGATGAACGATGTGTAATGATATAGTTCTACTTTTGTAAAAATAATAATTGTACATTTAATTTGTTGCATTAAAAGTACAGAATATTCATTTTAAAAGGTTTACTCCACTTATGTACATTTGACTCCAATAACTGTTAAAAGTATACAGAGGCAGGTTTTATATGGAGCTTTTATGGAGTCAAAGGATATGTCATGTTCAAATCCTAAAAGTTGAACTGCAAGTGAGACATAAATGGAAGTTCATTTGACATCGTATTCATGCTGTACAAAAGATATTTGCTCAGTTTATGTCAGGGTGGTCAGGGTGTAGTAAACACAAAGGCCTGTTCGTTTCTTTATCATTTATTCCTTTTTACATATTTAATTTAAATCTGTAAAAGACAAGACAATTCCTGAAGTCAGAAAGGAAGGCACAAAACACACATCACCACTGTGACTGCACTGGAATATGCATCATGCTCGTTTTTTGTACCAAATATGGGGCTGATTACAGGTATGACCTGTATAATATATCTTTTCAAAGATAAAACATAGTTTCCCTCCTTTATAGTTCCAGGAATGTGTTAGTAGACCCGACAGAGTCACGTCTGCGTAAAATCCAAGTCATGTGCTGCAGAAAACTAAGACCATTTTAACACAGAAAGGTCCCAGAACAAAAGGCACATTTTGGCTGCAGGTATAATCAAACTTCCACTGTTTGATTGAAATTCAAACTCCTCGTTTTTTTTTCTTCCCGCCGCTAAAACAGCAGCGCCAAATGAAAGTGCTTTTCCATTTCATGAAATACAACAATACAACACAACTGAAGGCAAAAAAGCGACAAAATGTTTCCATTGTGTCAAGCAAAAAGATTACATTCCCCTTCCACGTGCGGCTGAGGCCCGGATCCGTTCAGCAGAGGGCTGCTTTCATCTGTCTGCTGATCTTCTTGCACCCTGGAAGTAGAAACAAGAGTCAGTGTTACATTCAGCATTATGAGTCACATAATTACATGAGAAACGTTCCAGTTTTAATGTTGGATGTGTGATCAGGAAAATTTGTCTTTCTCGCCGATGAATGAGTACCTTTGTTTTCTTCGTTGACAAAGAGAGTGAATCCCAAGGAGAAAGGCCTGTGGGAAGAAGTGTCACTGGGTTTTATATGTGTGTATTTCCTCTCTGGAATTGTAACTTTGTATTTATATCAACTGCAAGTTTTAAAAAAAACAACAATAACTTACTTTTCATAGGCTTGAAATAAGTCATGAGCATATTAGTTCTACACAATAGTAAGTGTAAAAAATAATGTTTTTTCCTGGCAATGATTTATACTTACAGCCAAAAATCCTATGCCTCCTTGGACTGTGGCAGCCCACTCGAAGTTAAGATGCTGCGTGATAAGACCACCAACTGTCGGGCCACAAAACATCCTGAAAACAAACGTCCACGTCAAAAATCAAGATCTTAATGGGGGCGATCAAAGACCACAGAATAACTGCCTTTCGCACTCACCCCATGGACCAAAATGCACCGAACAAGCCAGACACCATCCCGAGTGTGCTAAGACCCTCTTCACATCCTTGTTCACTGCTAAGAAGCAAAGAAAAAAAAGAATATAGAGTATTTTTTACAATCTTTAATAAATGGTCTATGTTAACACAATGTCAACACAACATGTGAAACCACTCACTATGCACACGTGATGATCTCTGGAAATGTAGGGATGGCGGTCATGCCCAGAGAAAACCCAATTAGGCCGAGCATGAGGACCAGCAACCACAGCTGACTTCACATGCAACGGACCACCACAAAGGAGAGACAAATTGTGGATTAGTTTGCTTGACCTTCATTTTGCAAACAGACTGCAGTAGTAGCATATGACTTGAAAGAAAAATGGATGAATGATCAATTCATACAAATAATCCTTTCGGTGTAAGTATGATTAAATTATTTCCCCTCAATTATCTCAAACAGCATCACATCAAACTGATTTATTACTGTTACACTATATTAAAAAAATGAAGTCAATTAACATGTTGGCTAAAAGCCAACTGTAGTAATAACAGAACAACAAAGCCCCCTTATCGTATCCACCCAAAGCAAGACTAAAACAACCATTTAAGGTTTGTTAGACGGGTTTAATGGGTTCGCACTGAAACTGAGCTGAGTTCAGCTTCAGGGACAAGGAAATCTTCATTTCCCTAAAATTCTGTGTACGTGAGAGAGCACATTTACAGTTCTGAATCATGTGCGTTCCTAAATTCCTAAAAATCTAATAATCATTGAGTTCATGAACCCACCCAAAACGTAGCCACAAACTGCAGTTTTTGAGTGAAAACAACAGTAACAATGTAGTTAAATTAGGAACTGCGGAAAACAACATCCATGCTCTTCCCTGAGGCACTCCCCATTTATCAACCAGGGAAGGCTGAAACTTTGCTGAATTTGCTTGATTTCTAAAACCCATTTGATTCTAATTTTTTTCATTTCCAAAAAGGGTAAATTGTTTGCTACATTTTGTTTTTTTTTTTAATTATATTTTATTCCTTATTCCTTCTACTGATCTATAGAAAATGTAGCTCAAAATGTAGTGAGCTAGGAATTTAAGTCCAGGTACATTCATTAAAAAAAAGAAACAAAAAAATAAAAATAAACATAATTTTCGGCTCATTTGTTGTCCTCCGCTCACCTGGAGATGGAAAGGAAAGGGGCGGGACCCAGTAGGCAGAATCCAAAAGCTGTGATGACACCTCCTGTCACTATCATTCCCACCCTACAGTCCTGAGGAGGATCCAGAGTGGATTGAAACAAAGATCAAATCATCCATATTTAACCATCTTGCTGTGAAATACTCACGGGGTATTTATCTGTGAAGTAACCCAACAGAGGGGAGGCCAGACAGTACGGCAGGGACAGGCCGAGCATGATGAGCCCCACATATCCGGGTGAGAGACTGAACTAAGCGGGATCAAGAGGGGGAACAAAAATCATCCACAAAATCACCACAAAAGAGAAAAAGGTCGATGAACTCACCGTCTTCATTGCAAAGAGCGACAGCGTGGCATCAAAGAAGCCCAGACCGGAGCTGAGAGTGAATATAACAAAGCATATCAGGACTATTTTCGTGTGTCTGAGGAGTCTGAGGAATGAATACTTTGACGGGTTTGCCTCTAAGAAGGAAAAAAAAAGCACAAATATTCATGTCACAGTTAGAATCCAAAAAAAAACAAACAGACAATGGCTGGAAAGAGTGAAAACAAAGTACTAATAGGAGCAGGCCCCTACCGATAGATGGCAAAACGATAATGTTGAAAGGAACCATGATCAACAGGAAACACCCCAGTAGCATGAAGGGGATTTCATATCCAAAAGAGTGGTAGAACCATCCTCCCACCGGTGGCCCCAGTATGAGTCCCAGTCCGGTGAAGATTTCCAGACTTCCCTGCAAAACGTGTGAAACGGCAAACCCGACATGACTCGTCATTTCTCTCCCACGTACTGTAACGGCGGGGGTGTTTTCCACCGGAACGGGACGCACGCCACAGCTCAAACTATGGCTCGGTTTTTTGTTGTGTGTTTTTCTCGTGATTCTAGTGTCTGAGCAGCATGCCAGGCGGATAAGGGGCTGTCTGCGACTCACCAAAACAGTCGCCACATTGTTTGGGAATATTTTCGCTGTCATGGCAAAGGTTGAAGTCATGGCAGCGGCGAAGCCCACGGCGTCGATGGACCGCACTATAAAGCACAGGGAGATGAAGACGGCCCCGTCGGGGGCCCGGTCAAGTAATCTGGGAAAAAAGACAAAAAGAGGTCAGCTTCCTCACAGAATGAGTGGATTAAATACATTACTTATTGGCTTGGAAATCCTTATCTTTCCACACCCAAACCCTTTACTCACTATTTTCCTATATTCTTATATGGCAGGTCAGTCATTTACGAGAACGGCTGATTAGCAAATATGATTAAAACTCGGGTAACCCGTGCATGTTCTGGGAGGTTTTCAAGCAGCAAGCAGCATGGGCGTGTGTGCAGGAATGACATGAACTATAGAAATGTATTCGTATATGCATTTTAGAAAAGAAAAAAGGCTTTTCTAAAGCCGTGGCGACACCGGGCCGATGGGATCTTACAGATCTTTCTTAAATGTAGAAACTTTTGAAAGTTTCCTCTGAACCCTGTGAGGATCTAGGGAGCGTTATTTTGGCAGCGTAGATACACACACACTCACCCAAACAGGATGGTGCAGCCCGACGACACAAAAAGCCCCGCGATCAGCATGAACTTGGCTCCGATCTGCACAATCTGAGGCAAAAGCAGGACGAGGAATTTGTTACACATGCAGCAGTGTGCACATCACCTGGAGAAACGACGCTCCATACTTACATATTTGCCCATTACCAAAGAGCCAATGAGGTTAGAGATGGCGTAGCAGCCGAATATGAGGCCGATGACAGTCTGGCTGGCTCCTTTCTTCGTTGCCTGTGGGGGAACACCAATTACACGCAGGGTAAAAGAGTTCAAATGTGAATGGGATAAGAATGATTGCGGTTTCCACGCATGCGCTGCTATGACTCAAAGCCCTGATCGACTGATGAACAACTTCTGAATACCGTTACACCACTGAGGCTCCACTGTGGGCTACTAAGAGCGGAGTGGACCGGATGATGCCGGTTCTCCGTTGGCCTTCAGGGAAGCTTTCCAGTATCGATACGCGATTACTCGCTCACTGCATTCAGATCACACCACAGCCACCTTTTTTGAAAGAACTCATAAGAGCTCATCAAAGAGCTACACAGTACATCCATGCACACAAATGAGCGTGAAAAAAAAAAAAAAGCCACATTCATTTCCTCCTCCTCAGATGAGTAAATTTCTTTATGCTGGCATAAAAGATGATTTTTATTGTCTTTTTTAAATTTGAATGGAATGCGTGCTGGAAGCTGGTTTCTCAAAACCAAAAAGGACGGGATGCTCCTTTAGTCTATTTTCTAGATGAGTGTGTGTACAACTTTGACAAATAAATGCGGATGTTGATGGAAACGACAAGCAAAAGATTCTGTGGACACCTGCTGATTCAAAATGCTAAATTAGTCCATGAAAAAACTTCAGGGGGGGTGTTAGGAGGACCACAGGGGTCTTTTTAGCCTGCAGTTTACATGTTCTCCCAGTGTATGTGTGGGTTTTCTCCAGTACACCGGCTTCCTCCAGCAGTCCAAAAACAAGTTCCCTAGGTTCATTTAAGAGTTTAAATCCCCCATAGTAGTAAATGTGAGTGTGTGTGTATGTGGTGGTTTGTCTCTGTGTGGCCCTATGATGGACAGGCGTCCCTAACCAGGGAACAAACCCGCTTCTGGTGTAGACAACCAATGGATGCATCACCAGCCTCTCATTTACCATCACAAGGGGCAACGCTCTGATTGGCTATTTTCTCATGGACAAAATATCCAAAGCATCATAAATATTCAGCATTGTCCGCGTTCCTCTGTAATACACACATTCCTTTAGGAAATAGTTCCAATAATGTTTCCATTTAGTGCTACTCAAGGTGCTTTTCCAGCTTACCTCGTTGGGGAAAAAGGGGCCTAATATGGAGTAGCACATCATTGAGCTGAAGTTGACAGATGCCATTGATATGAGGGTGAGAATCTGCCGTCTGCTCATCCTGGCCGGACGCTCTGCTGCAGGGCTGGTTTCTGACAGAAAAAGGGAACAGAAACGGGGACGACAGTTGACGCTCTTCACTGCTCAAACAAGTTTCTAACACTTTTTCCACAACTTCTGTTGACCGTCAATACAATCACGTCCAGAAAAAGCTGATTGGCTCACGTCTATCTCTCAGAGGTAACGGTTCCAAACCTGTTTGCTCAGAGTGAACGGGCAGGTCCATTTTTTTTTTTAATTCTTCGGGTTATTTTTCTAGGAGAGCGTGGATGAAGGTGGTGGAATAAACGGCGCAAAGGGCAGAGGAAAAACGCAAGGAAAGCGCAACTTGCTCACTGCCAGAAAGCGTCAGTACGCACTATGTCCCGAAGTCCCGCAAAGTGAAAAGTAGAGAGTGAGTATTTCCTTAATAATGCTGAGAGAGAGAGGGAGAGAGAGAGAGAGAGAGAGAGAGAAAGACAGACAGACAGAGGGACAGGGAGAAAGAGATTCTTTCAAAGTAAAGCTCTATTCCGTGACTTCCGGTTAATATTACACAGAAAACAGGATCTGCTTTCAAAGTAAAAATCGTATTGCACAACTTAAATGATGTAGCAGCTGGGCTTATTTCTAAAAATATATATTAAGTCAATTATAAAATTATATCTTCAATGATTTTAATTCATTATAAAAACATAATTTTGGGGGATTTTGAATATAGGAAGCAAAGATATTGTTAAAAATATATGTATGCTTTCAAGGAGCTATGATTTCTATAAATAATATTGCTTTTTTCAGGTGTTTCCCCCCCTTGGTCTTAATGTAACTTGACCAAACATAAAAAAGTCGGCAAACTCAAGAGATAAAGCGGTGTTTAGCCACTTTGTCTCTTGCAGCCTGTCACAAAGACACATTATTTGTTTCAGTTTATTTAGCTGCATCCAAATTCCAAACAAAGCACAATTTACAGACAAAATCATATTACTGCACCAAAATCAGTTGATCCACACACTGTCCTACTGTTGAGCTGAAGGCAATCAACATTTTTATAAAAGCTCGTGAATGCCTTTTAAAAAGACTGGAGAAGTCTTTCTGAAGACTATTTTAATTATGCGTCACTTGTTTAATCAGAATGCATTCTGAAGTATCGGAAATATGCACAACACAAATATGAATTGTGTCGAAGTAAAGTTGATAGAAGAAAAAAAAACAACAGCAAATAATTTTTGCATTTGGATGCAAAAGAGATAAGAGATAAATATGTCTTTTATATATCTAATACAAAAAAAAAGGTGTGACTCTTTCATTTGTTTCAGAAGTAGAGCTTTAAACTGATTCGAGAAAAGATTACATTTTAACCAGCCTATACGTTTTTTTGTAAAACTGTGGTCTTATCATTTTTAATTCCATCAGAAAACTGGAGAAATTAAATCTGGCAGAAAACTATTAACCAGACAGTATTACTGATATCTGACACATAGTGCATTGAATGGACTCTCATAGGAAATATCTGTCCTACCTGCCACTGCTCTCAAATATACTGTTATAATAATCTAAAGAAAAATGACAAATGTTCAGAAATGATCACATCTGTTTCTTTATACATTAGCACCAAATCTACATGAATCTCAGTCCTATTAACAGTTTGTCTCAATAACTTGTGAATGTGTTGTAAACCTTTTCAATATCTCATTGTCATTCTTTGTATGCATGTTCAACATCACAAAATTCAAAGTATCATGACAACGCAAAAGTGACATAAAATCACTGAATTAAGCAACATATAGTCACATTTCTCTAAGCGTACAATAAGAGTACGTCACTTACTAAAACACAGAGCAAGTAGCTTTATTATTCTTTTTTTTCTCTTCTGCAATTACAGTGTCAGTTCTGTGTAGGTAGCATTATTGCACACAAGCTCTATCTATCGAAAGCAGCACTGATCTCCATTATAGGCAAACAATAGTACTTTACATTCAAATGCAGAATTCAAGTAACCTCATAAAGACATAATGAAAAGCAAAAAAGAAAAAAGAGAGATTAAAGTGACAGAGACTGACAGTGAAGAGTTCAATTCTAATTTTGGAAAATTACTATTACTCACTTACGTTCAGCCAACAGTAACATTAAACTTATTGTATACCATTACTGACATTTCAGACAACACGGAAGCAATGTCTGACAGCCAAAAAAAAAGAGTATACTGTTTGACAACTTATGCAAAAAATGTACAGATGGACAATGAACACACTTTCGGACATGACTGACTCTTTTAGATTGCATTATTGTGACCAACAGAATTTCACGTACTTCACTCAGGCGACAACCTTGTAGAAGTAACATGGACACAAATCATACAACCTATGACTCAAAATGTCAGTGTGCAGTTACAGAATCAATAGAAACATTTAAAAGATCAAACATTAAAAAAATGAAACCTAACAACTGCCTCAAATATATTAAATTTAAATGAATGAAATGCTTGTAATAGTACTCACATTACCACTGTACAATCTGTTCACTCAATTACTGAAAACTAAATAATCAAAAAGTGCAATGTTTGTATTAAATGTTAGATATGATATGGCTTGTTGACAATGCATAAGCAATTTTTGATACCACTTTGCTATAATAGAGATTTAGTATTTATCATAATTCAACAATATAAGAAATGTAAATAGCTATTTATTTTTAATGCAAGAACTGGCACATTTCTTTGGCACTAGACATGGCACTAATTCTTCAGGCTCCTTTTAAATTGAATGCAACATTAAATACTTATCACAATTTTTCTTGAGCCAAGATGGTTGTAATATTTGTTGTTACCAATAAGAATGATAAAATTTATAATATTTATAATAGTAATAATGGTGACGATGATGATAATGGCCCGCCTCTATTTGACTAACTTTCTCCAAAAACCTCAGATTTGAAATAATCTCTATGTGGACAGCTGAGAGATGTTTAACGGTCCTATACAAAGAAAGAGAAAATGCCCTCAGCTATAGCCCCCTCACACTGTAGTGTAAGTTCGTGGTGGAGCATTGATGTTTCATCACATTTTCACTTCAGCCTTTGAGTCACATTAGCTAAGGCAACAGCAAATGCCTGCACTGCTGAGAAAGGATACTGGAAATCCAGGATATAAGCGTTCCCATCTATTCGCCCAAACTGCATCACCTGCAAGAAAGATATAAGATCAGGATATTTCAGAATGCATGCAATAAAAAACACATTGGCAATGTCTTATTGAATCATTTGAGGACAGTCTATCTGTCCATCATCATGTTTAAACTTACAAAAATAATTAATAATTATATTAATATTGCTTTTACCTGTCTACCATCCAGCTCTATCTGAAAATTCTTCGCAGACTCCTGAGTGACTCGACCTCCAAAGTCAAGCTGGTAGACCTGGGTGGCTTCATTCCACAAGGGTTGTTTATTGGCCATGACATAGACAAATCCTTGGCTGCCTAAACTACGGTCCTCTCTTTCATTTGCCTTACGGCACTTTATCTCCTCCAACTCACTTGCCATACGAAGGCTTCGCTTGTTCTTCCAGCTCTTCTTACTGCTCTGATTCTGGTTCATGAGCTCGTCACCGCTTATGAAGAGCTCGGGTTCACTTTCTGAGCTATCTTGGAACTCATTCGTAGTCCTGCTCATTTTCTTGGTTTTATTGAGTTGTTCTCTCGGCCCTTTGGGCTTCTTTTTCTCCCTGCTACCAAGCCGTGGACTGGAAATGAGAGTGTTGAAGTCAGAAAGTGCACGTCCTTCCTTTCGAGATCTGCCTTCGGAGACAGTGGGCACGTTGGCCTCGTCAGCCCTGCTGTCCAGTCTTTTACGACTTTTCTTGTTGAAGCGCTCTGACTCCTGTCGAACAGGACTTTCGTTCAGGGATGATGGCTCTGGAAAGTTGTTGGAAGACTCTGCTAGATCTTCAGCGGCACTTTTGGATGGTGGTAACTCTGTAGGTGGGGGAGGAGGTGGTAGTGGAGGTGGTGGTGGTGGAGCCGTGGGAGGAGGCGGGGAGAGAATTGGCTTCTCTAATATCTGGTGAGTTTTGGTTGGCAGAGGAGGTGCTGGAGGATCTTGCATGGGTGGTGGGCAGGGGTAAGGGTTCCAGGGATGCAGGCTAACAGGGTGCAGTTGCAGTCCAGCACAGGAACTAGCCCCTGGATAGAGTGGGGGGAGAGGGCAGCAGGCCAAGTTGGCCAGATTCGGAGGATAGCCTGGTGGTAAAACCAAACTGGGGTCCTGCTGAGCAAAGGGAACTGGACCAACAACTTCATTTGGGGAACACTGTGGTTGTGGTGGGTTCTGTAAGGTTTGAAGTGGAGGACCACTGTGACCCATACTCGGGGGAAAGGGTGAGAGGGATATCTGGTAGCCCGAAGGGAAAGTAAGGGTGCTCGTACTTGGACTTGTTGGAGGTTTTGTTGTGAGGACAAAAGGAAGCCGAGCCATGTCCAAGTGCTGAGCTTGACTAATAACAAATGGAGGAGGTTTGTGGGGTCCTGGTGGGGGAGCTAACATTGCTTGATCAGGTGTAAGCCAGAAGTCCTCTGTGTTTGAGGTGTCCCACTGGTACGGTGGAGGACGTTTAACAGTCAAACTGACATCGCCGAGAGTCATCTGACGTACAGATTTTTCAAGGTGACACTGCTGATTTAAAGTCTCGTCCTCAGTGAAGGCAGAGTTAACGTACACTGTTCTGTCTCGGCTGTTGTCAACAGCACCCAGCAGGCTGTAAGACGACTGAGAGGACAGGGGCGAGGTACTTTTGGAGTGCACTATAATGGTGCTGTGGTGTGCACCTTTCCCAGGGGGGAAGTCCTGCCTCACAACTGTGCCACCTGCGATACCACTGCTTGTCGTTCCTCCCCCGCTAACACTCACACTGGTGCTACTGCTGTTACTGCTGCATTGTGTGCAGGTATACAATGCCGTGGGCACCCTCTGCTGGTAGGAAAGGGACAGTGCGCTGTTCATTTTGGCCTTGGTGGGAAGGGTTCTTGACGTATCCATCATTTGTGGCACTTTGAGTCCCACATCTCTGCGGTCACGACGAAGGGTGGCGTGAATCAGACTGCTGTCGACTCTTTGAGGAGGTGGAAGAGGAAGTGTAGCAGTTACTTGATTGGCCGGATCAGGATAAGGAGGAGGGTCCCCGCTCGGTATGGAATATCTAGGGACAGAAAGGCGGCTTAATGTAGCAGAACTGTATGGAAGCAGGACTTTTTTACTGTCTGAAGAAGTAACTTTGAGCGTGGCGGAGCCTCCAATGCCATGTGAGGAGTATGCATTCTGGTTGCGAATAAGGCGCCTGCGCGGCCGGCAAACCTCCTCCACATTCCCACTGCTGTCAAAGGTTGTGATCCTTTCATACCCCAGAGGCGTGGGGTACTGTAAAGTCACGGGGTGAAGCAAGAATTCCTCCTTCTTCAGGCAGGGGTCAGGAGCCAGGACACTGGGACTGTCACAGTTTGTGACCAGAGTCTGGGGCGCCGCGGCTGCTGTAGCCGCAGAAGCAGACACCACAGTCCCGGGGTACGGGGGAGGAGGATTTACCTTTCTCATCTGGAGTTCCATGGACCCGTCTGTGTCAATGAACGAGGGGGGCAAGCTTCGTGGAAGACTTGGCTTCAGTGTGTGACCGTGGTCTGCTCTGTCGTGGCCCGATTCAGATACGGGTGGAGCAATTTGAGGGAGGATGTGAATCTGCTGCAGGGAAATGGTTGGATAGCCAGATGGAGGAGGGGGCAAAGACATCTGCATCTTCAGCTGCTGCTGCATTTGTTGGTGCTGCCTCTGCATCTGCTGGTGCTGCTGCTGGATCTGCTGATGCTGCTGCTGGAGCTGCTGCTGCTGCTGCCGCATTTCCTGGATCTGCTGGCGGATTTGCTGCTGCTGCTGCTGCATCTGCTGCTGCTGCTGCTGCATCTGCTCGTGCTGCAGCTGCATCTGCTGCTGCTGCTGTTGGATCTGATGCTGCTGCTGGAGCTGTTGGGTGGCTTGTTGCACGTGTGGGTGCTGCTGCACCTGGTGCTGCTGATGAGGCTGCTGCTGTGGGTGCAGCGTTTGCTGGTGGTGCAGCTGCTGAAACTGTTGATGTTGATGTTGCTGCTGCTGCTGCGGCTGCGGCTGCGACTGCGACTGATGGTGCTGTTGCTGCTGCTGCTGCTGCTGCTGTTGATGATGATGCATTTTCTGCTGCTGCTGCGTGTGCATTAGTTGTGACTGTTTGGATGGCTGCTGGCGAGGCGGCTGGGAATGAGGTCGCTGCAGGGGAGGCTGCGGTGGGAGATGGTGAGGTGGTGGTGGGGGAGGCAAAGTCCCCGGGAGAAGAGGACCAATGTCCAAACCATTAAAGATGACCTGCCCGGGGTTTGAATACCTAGCTGGCACAGGGTACGGTGATGCAACACTATCCTGGTTATGATCAGAGACCGGAACGGAGGCTGCTGCCGCCGCCGCTGCTGTGGCCGTCGGATTGCTCAGGACGTCAAGCTGTATGTTTTGATTGGCCAGAAGGGACTGAACCAAACCAATACTCTGTGTCGGAGACATGGCTTGAGCTGGGCTGTGGATAGGAGCAATGGGAATATTGACTGTGCAGGGAGGATTGTCTCCTGCCACTCCAGATGGCCCCATCACTTCAAGAGAACAGAAAGAAGTCCTGAGTCACATGAATTCTACCCACAAACACATCAGTATAATTATATATCTCATGACTAAAAACATTTAACTTCCCTTCATACCTGGTAAGTCATCCTCATCCTCACTGAACACATTGGGGTTGAACACAGGCAGGCTCATAAAGTCATGAGATATTTTTCGTACTTCTGGAAGGTAGATTGTCATCTGTCTCGGTTGCAAGTGAAGCAAACTTGTCTTATAGATAACTGGAGAGGAGACATTGGAATGGAAGGAAAAACATATTAAGTGTTTGGTTAGGCAAAATAAAATGTGTACATCATATTTCTGAGGATTTACCTGCTCCAAGATTGGTCGGAAGAAAAGAGGCCAGCCCAACAATTTTGAACTTTGTTCCCCATATGTTCGATGTGACTTGTGCTAGGTAGTTGTGCTTTGAAACAGGCAAAAAAAAAGCATCACTTTCAAAGTATGATAGACAAGGCTTTCATAGATTTTTTCATTTGAACATCCATCCATCCATCATTATCGTAACCGCTTCTTCCCTAATGGGGTCGCGGGGGGAACTGGAGCCTATCCCAGTGGTCAATGGGCGAGAGGCGGGGTACACCCTGGACGGTCCGCCAGTCCATCGCAGGGCCATGAACCACTATGCAGTTATGGAAATTCTTATAGAAAATGCAGAAATCATGTGGCATTTATCCAGCTGATCAATTCTGCAAGTGGTTTTCTTTTCATGTGAGCAAGATCCATTAAGGTCACCACATGATTTAACATGATTTTAGCATCATTCAGCACAAGGCATCACCTCTGCGATTCCATCCATGGTAAACTCCCGGCGTGTGAGACTAGGTGACCGCACTGGAGGCTTTTTTGATGGTAGGCGCGGCGATCTTTGACCTTCCTGATTGGCACGTGAAAGTTTTGGAGATTTTCTTGATTCCATGTTCAGCCTTTTAAAAGAACAGCGTTACAGTCGTGAAAAGATTCATCATAGTGAAAGAAATGCTTCAAACTATTTACAAAATGATATTACATGACAATGTTGTCTTAAAAAAAATAAAACATTTGCTTGGTTATATAAACGGACCAATGGTGTATACGTAACCTGTTTCCCCGAGATAACTTTGGTGATTTCTTGCCAACCCACTCATCACTCAAGTCAATGTCACTGGAGTCAGAGCAGTTACAGCTGTCCGCGTACGATATCATAGGATTCACACACACCTCCTCTATAATACACAATGAAAAGATAGAAAAAGATATTAACAAATTATAAAGAATAGACATGGAATTGAGCAGAATTGAAATATCCCTTTAAACTTGCCTTGTGGAATTGTTATGGTCATGACATAAGCTATTCCTGTAACAGGCCCCAGACTATGTTACATCAGAGAAACACACTCATAATCAGAGTCTGCATTTGTTCTTCCTCGAGGTGAATGATGAGGACACAGCACGAATGTACACAGAAGATAGGCGTAAACACCATGTTCCTGAGCTGCTCTCTTCCCACTCTTTCTTCATGCTGGTTGCTCTGATTCATGCAATCATTAAATCTATTACAAACTCTACTGTTATAAAGACACATTTGGGCATTGGCTCTTTATGGTGTAAACCCACCTGCTTTACTATCATTTTTTGGATCCATAATAACAAACTCAGGCCTGAGTTTACTGATGCGCCTTCCCTTGAGAATAGGCACCAGTCCCCCTAAATATTCGAGGTACAGCGTGTAGCAGGGTCCGCCTGCCTCCGGACTGTCTTCTGCTCGCTTCATGGTGCAGTGGAGCCGCTCATTCCCAGCTGTGGGATAGCTGACAAAGTCACGGATGTTGTTGGGGTCAGGAATTGGGGGCTAGAACAAAGAGAGGAAAAAGCTGTGGGAGTGCTGGACACTCAAATGACAACATGCCACTGTGGGTGGATTTGCTTGCCTCTGACTGCCTCTCCCCACTTATTAAACAGGGATAAATGCCCTGTGATGGTGGGTATGGAAGAAACCACAGCACCACCTCTCTATCACCTGACTGTCTGCTGGACAAAAAAAGACCCAAGGGGGCAGTTCACATTCAGATGTATTACCTTGATGGTGGGTATAAAAGCAGTGGTGACGTAAGAGCAGAGCAGAGAAGGCATGTTTAGTTTCCCCACATCCTTCTCCTCTCGCAAGGCGCTAGCAATGCCTTGCTGACATAAGAGCTGGAGGCTGGCCACTCTGTGCTCCACACGCACCACATAGAGCGCTGGTCCACATGCAAGGAACAAGCGGGAGTCTCTGTGACCCCAACAGATGGTGGTGATGGGCCTCTGAAAAACAGAAATGATTGAATTTCTATAATTATCAATTCACTATTTTCAACCCCTAATGTTCCCAATTCCTTTATGTGTGGATTTGAATGTATTCCGTATAATTCTATTCTATTTTTTCCAAAAATAAAAGGGTGGGAACACAAACAAAAATCTAACTGGGGCTACAGTTGTTGTCTCCTCATTTAAAAAGGACTAACCTGAGCAGGTGTTTCAAGAGTGTAGATGTGCTCGCCTTGGACATTATAGAACTTAACGAGGGCGTTCCTAATGATGGACGAGCAGGCAGGGTCAGCAGGAAGCCCGTGTCTCTCCATTCCGGCCACAGCAAGGAGGTCTCCCTGGGAGCACCACTGGGCTTCCACATCTGAAAACATGCAGGTTCTGCACAGCACTTACCAGAAAACTTGCAAATATCCCCATATATCATACTCATGCCTTGAGATCATACCTTTTAGCCCAGAGCGGATTATGGCAGGGGAAAGGTCATCATAGTTGTTCATGAGACTGATATCTCCCGATAAGAAGGTAACTGTCAGCAAAGGCTTGACTCTTCGTACTTTGAGGAACAAAGACGCATACATGTGTGAGTTTTCTCCCGGCACCACATTTCACGTGGCTTAAATGGACACTTTGACAAGCAAAGAGAAACCCGGGATTATACCTAAAGGCAGGATGTTGTCATCAGAGTCCGTGTCGCTCTCGGTGCTGTCCTCTACCAGGAAATCGGGACAGTTCCAAGACATGCTCACAATCCCGTCAGACTCATGCAACAAGACATGGGCGAGCATCCGCCCATGACAGTCCATCACTATTACCTGTCCATCTGCTGTGCCAAACAAGACCTGAGGGCATATCGCACATTTTCACATTTAGCCCCAACACAAACTTATTTCACACATGGAATTCATTAGACTCTATGTTCTTTTTTATACAAAATAACAAGCTTGTGCTGTACAAAAAGCCAAGAATTGTGTGTATACCTGCTGATCATCAGGTGTCCAGATACCACAGGTGATTTGACTCTCCAGGTTGATCTCAGAGGACCAGTGTCTCTGACCACTGACAGAGCCGACTAACACGAAGCCATCCCTGTATGCGATGAGGGCCTGCGTGCCATCATGTGACCAAGTGAAGTCACTCACCTGGTGGAAAGGCAAAGACACGTTATGCAAGTAACAAGACACTGCCATCAAAACAGACTCGCAAAGTTGCCACCTTCACTACCACTTGAGCACAGCGGCAGACAAGTCCATTTTATTTTCAATAGCATCTTAGTTTGCATATGCTGAACTTTCATTTAGCCGGCTTTAAGATTAAAGCAGAGAAAAATATATACCTGAGCTCCCCTGTCATTAACTAACTCCACAGACCACCGTCCTTCATACTGGATCCATACGAAAATGCCACCCTCTATATCACAGGTGGCCAGCTTCTGAAAGGGCTCATTCCAACGCACCAAGACAACCTGCAAAGGCCCAAAATGGTGTCACCATTTTTCACAAGCACAGATGGCTGTCTGCAAAAAGGGAACAGTCATGAATAATACTTAGCGTAAACACAGGGCTAAAAATGCCTTTCAGGCAAAATGTGCTCTAAAGAGCCAGTGCAGTTGGAGGCAGGATACAGAAAAAGGAAAATAAAGACATCAGCAATACATTTGTTCTAATAATAACAATAGCAGGTGACAACAAAAATGCAGACTGGCCCCTACGGGCAAATGAAGCAGCTGCAGGATTTATCATAAATGTGAAGAAGTATCCTTATGTTTTTTATTCTTTTTTTCTTTATTTTTAAAAATATCCTTGTTGTGTTCTGTTGTGTTCTTTGTGGCTATGGCAAAAAATGTTTTAAGACCATTAAAATGTTCTTCTTGTCATTGCAGACAGTAGTTAATGCCAATAAGATTTAGAAATCTTGGAAATATTGTATCGATCAACATTAGTTTTGTCAGGAGGTGTTTGGAGTAGGCTAGATTTGCTTTAGGAAGTAAAACCAAAGAGAGAGCAAGTCCAAGCTCTAGTGACATCTTACACTTGAACTAAATGTTTCTACGAAGACAATAAAGATAGTCAGACTGCTAAAGCCAAGGTCAGACCTCGCTGTTGTGTCCTCGCAGGTTGAAATTGATTCTCTGAGGTGTGCTTCTATCCCTCCTGCAGTGACTTGATGTAAACGTCACTCCAACAACTCCTCTCCCGTTTCCCGTGGCGAGCCAGCCCTCCTCATAGTACCGTCGCCGGCACACTGGCTTGTCCTTCTCGCTCTTTGGGACCCGGCCTTTCCACGAGAGGCAGAGGATGTTGGAATCGCTGCAGAGGATGGGACCATGTTCCACGGCGGCCAACATCCCTACTGACTGACCAGGCTGGTGAGCAAAACAAAGAGAACAATGATTTTAAGCGGGAACGACACCATGCTTGACCTTAAAATAAAAGTGGATCGTGTACATTTTCAGCTCGTGTTGGTGTTTGACTCTACATTTACGTAAAACTGCTTTTTCAGTGAAGTTCAGGATATTTTGGTACGTGAACTGTTTCTATTGTCATGGTCAGCAGGAAACGTGACTGCAGTAAAACATAAAATATTTTAGATTGTAATTTGTTGACCAAGGAAACAAGGGTTGACAGAGTAATCTCAGCACAAGGCCACTTACATTGCCGGTTATGTTACAACCCTTCTGAACAGATGGCCCACACTTCCTTGAATTTAAGCAGTTTAGGTACCTGTGGAGGCAATAAGACCCCTTGGAACTGTTTTTTGGCAAATGTGCCGAATAAATAAAATCTAAAATGAAAACAATAAAAAGAAAGTCACAAACAGCAGCTACTTGGGCTTTGTGGTGAGATTTTTCTGTTGCAAATAAAATTGTAAAACAAGGACGATAGAGTTGAATGGAACGCACACTGTGATGTCTTAATGGGATAAATGGACCTGTTTAAATGCAAAAACATCAAGGCCCAACACTGTCAAAAATAGGGCCACAACAGGAGGACATTCACCTCTCCTGTTGGACTTTTTATTGGCTTATGTACCCTATATCGCCAATAACTTGACTCCAAGTAACATTTTGTGTTTTCAGAGGCCCTGAAAGGTTCATTGTTCCCAAATAGTAAATGGACAAATTACTGGAGTACAGTAGCAGGACCTTTGCGGGTACAACCCCCAGAGACAAGTCTTTGGACCCCTAAAACTGCAGTTAGGTGCTCTTTTCTGAGAGAACCAACAGCTAACACACATAGCAGGGGGCGTCACCCAGTTCACGCATGTCAAATTGGTGACCTGAACTAGGGGCTTTTGGGTTCTTTGTTTGATCAATTCCATTCTAATGAGTTCCATCCGAGTAGTTTAATAAGTGTGATTAAATCACTGAATGTGCTCCGACACCAACACAATCACTGTGTGGCTGCTCGTAATGTCCTAGCTGTTGTTCTGTTATTCACCGTCCATGGAGAGGGTCCAGGATTTGTTCTCTAGATTACATCATCACATCTATCATACAACGCAAAGTACAGATTAAATATTTAATTTTCAATTGAGAGGGAATTCTTCATATGCAAATGCAGTCAAATCTATGGCTATGGGTTGTAGATTTCAACGGAAAATTCAGCTTTCTTTTCTCGTCCCACCCTCTCGCTTGGCTTTACACAAGTACAGTTGTGTGGTTGTTTTCAGAGAAGCTACATGGTATTTAATGCAAGATTATTTGGTACGTTGGGGCATTTAGGAGCTTCAAGAATAATCTGTGGCTGTACTGAACCTTTTCCAGTGGCAGATTTAAAAAAAGAGTAGCTCAATAACCTGCAGGAGTAATGGTTTGCCTGCAAATAAAAAAAAATACCTCATAGTTCCTGGACATGTTGAGTCAAAATGCCTTTTTGGTTGGGGTCCATATTTCCATTCAGATGAAGCACTGACGGGTGATGGTTGCTCCGTTTTAGGCCTTTACAGTAAAATTAACGGGGAGGTAAAATGCATCCTACAGCCAAATGTAGTCCAGCTCTTCATTCATCTAAATCAAACAGTTTTGCTCTTCAGAGTTTGCCATGAGATGATGTGAAGCTCCTTTGATGCCTGTGACCCATCCCGTGTCTTTCTGATGAGGCTCCGGGGAGTTGTGCAATCCTGTTGCAGTGGAGAAAAGGGCGTGAAGAAAAAAGAAAAAGAAAAAAAAACCCTACTGCTATTCAACAAGTAAGTCAGTCTGAGAAAAGAAACAGGAAAATGTTTTTTTTTTTCTTAAAATAGCAGCAGTGTAATTCAGCACATCAACGTTGATATTCAGTGTTTCTATGCAACGGCAACACTGCATTGGAGAGCAGGGCACTCGCAGTCTCCATGGGTACTGATATTGCCCTCTCCTCAGCACCACCGCAGCAACCTTACGGTGATTTGAACTCAAATATTCCGATTTTGAGACGGACCCCTAAAACATATTCGCATTGGGATGCGAATGTAAAACGACAGTTGAAATAATCCCCATCACCGTGACCTCTAAGTTTGAAGGCTGCTGCTTCAGAGAGACTAAAGTAGCAGTCAAAGACAAAAATCTCCTTTAAAAAATGTCTCCTAAATGACACATCACATCAAGCGCTCTTTCATTCAGGCGTCTTCTGTGTGACCGCATCCAGCAGTCAGATGACGATATGAATTATAAATAGTAGTGAGAAATAAAGAAGTGTCAAAATGAAAGATAGATATCTAAAATGGACAGATAATAATCAGCTCTACGTACCTGTCACCGATATAACGTGTTAATCCAGAGGTGATGGTCTGCGCTGTGCGCCGTTGTGTTGCCAGGCACTTCTCCTTTGGCGCACTTTGGGGTTGTGGCTTTAAAACGGGTTGCCATGAGGCAAGGGACGTGGGATATATACCACAGTTTTAAACAGACGGGACAAACTGTTGTAGCCGCTATGCAGTTGTAATTCAAGGTGGTTTGTGTGCCATTTGATCTGTATTTTCATACATATACCTTCCCCGGCGTGTCATGAGCCTCTCAAGAATGAATTTACCGGCACCTCAAACGGGTCATTCTGTAAAAATGGCAACCTCTCACGACGCACCTAATCTTTGCAACGTTAGTTAAATTCATATTAGGTTTATCTGAACATTAGCACAGCTCATTTCCACATTTTGGGTAAGCTAAGTAGTTTTTTTAATTGGGAGATTCTTCTTTAAATGATACAGCAGGTTCGGAGAATTTCCTGTTCAGTACTGCGCTATTAGGTAATATAACTGTCTGAGCCACACATAACCTTTCTCCAAACACCACCTGGAACAGTTCCAAGCTCATTTCCTTTAACTGTAAGGAAAGATGAGGAGTGGTTCATCACCTCAGATGGGCTACACGCACAAATTATTAAACAATTTAAAAGCAATCATTCTTGATGTAAAGCAGCAAAAAAAAGAAAAGAAAAGAGGACTTGAGATAAGCTCCTGACAACCACAATTCTTGGCTGACTGGCAAATGATAAAAATCTACATGATCTAATACTAAAAGCCATGCCAGCTTGGGCAATTCTTTGAACATATCATTGGAAAATGTCTATAAATAATCAAGCTCCTGCACTAATCTTGTCAAGCGAGAATCCATCTGTCTGTTGGTGGTCAAAGCACAAAACGTCTGAAAAATCAGCCACTCTTACTCCCTATTTGGGTTTTAAGTGTGACAACACTCAACAATGGCAGCTCCATATAATTTATTGGTTCTATTGTATGTGTGAATTGACACAGATTACCATTACATCCGCAATTTAACCAGGAAAAAAGAAATAACATCTTAACAATAAACAAATGGCTTAGGCAGGCCCGTATGATAACATGGACTTTTTGGGAAATGTAGGTGCTTGCTACATCTTCTAAATTCAAAGTGAGAGGGACCAGCCAGAATGTCATTCATTAAGGTGAAGTATTTTCTCATAAGCATTTGCATATGACTGCAAGACAACACTCAAGTGGATCCTCAACATAATTACAATAACATGGCTCTATAGTAAAAAAAAAAGTCTTAACTGGTGTGCCTACAATACAGACCAATCACCCAACACTGACTTTTTCCATGACGCAAAACAAAAACTGTGAAAAGAGGCTCCTGAAATTTTTACACGGTAAAACATAGATCAAGAACAGAGGAACATTTAATAAACCACAAAAAGCTATCCTAACTTTCCAAAATCTTACATTAACAATTTGTGTACATTTACCGGTTACTTTTTGCAGCATACTCAACTGATCCCACCAGAAAGTGTGCCAGAATCATTAAATACAACTTTCAGCCAAAAGACAGTTACATAAAAACTCTGAGAAAATGTGTTGTTTTGTTTTCACGCCAGTGAATGCATCAAATTCAGACGAGAACACGGCAGAGGCTGGCCTCGTCAAGTCCAAAGCACAGGAAAGTCCACTGTTACCCCAGGAGTTTGTGCTGTCTCTATACTTCTTTTCAAGCCGACAGCTTTAAGTGCAAGTCTCCTCGAAAGCATGGATGACACTGTCATAAGCAGGAGGGGGGGTCTGTGAGGGGAGGAATCCTTTAAGCCCATTGCTTCCCAACCAGAAAGAATGTCTCTTGTTTGGCTCAAGGGATGCTGTGTCAGATGAGTTTGAAGCTATTGTGTCCTCGGACATGATTACCTGGGTGTCATCTGGCATGTCCAGTCCAGGCCTGCTCTTCTTGACCAGTGGGCGAAAAGTGGATGTCTCTGCCCCAGGTTTACAGCCCAGAGGGCCTACTGGTTCAAGAGAGGGCTGTCTGTAGACACTCAGGAAAGTGCTTCTATATAAGCCCATCTGGCTGCTCATGGGGTCACGTGTTTGCGAAGTGCCAGATTTCTTTTTGGAGCGCCTGGTGATCCTGGCTGTAGCCTGGCGCCTGGATGCCCAGGTCAACAGAACGTAGATCAAAGCACCCAGCAGCAGACCCACAAGCACAGATAAACAGAAGGCTAGAATCATATCACCTGGAAAAAGAAAAATCAATGTCGAGTCTCAGAGGGGGAAGTAGAGATAGATCAAATGGGAAATGTTTTGAGAGGTGGGAGGAGGGATGTTTGGTGCAGTTCTAAAAAAGGGGAAATTATTTCCTAAGATGCTGGTTTCAACTGCAATTTTATCTGAAAAAAAAAAACTCTCCCTCACATTGACAACGAACACAAATTCAGTCATTGCCAGGTTTATTTAAAGAAAGCAAATGTGCACTGGTGTATTGATTTAACATTGCTGAATCTGAATCTTTTCTGGGCTCTATGTTACATAAAATCTTACATCACACCCAGTGTGTGGGCTCAGCAGCTACGAACAACCTGGCTGTTATCAATGCAGCATGTTAAAATGTAACTTTGACTGTCATCATTTATTGAAGTTCTTATTCCTAAATGACCGCGTACTATAAATGGATGTCATTCCACAAAGTTCCCTGGTTTGTCAGGAAAAGCTTTTAAGAACTTTAGCCACATAAACGCAATTATCTTCCAATGACATTACCTGTTCTAACTCTGGAGACTGTACAGAGACTGTAAATGTGATTTACAATTTGAAGCAGAAACTTGTTTCATCCCATTACCAGTAACATGTTTTAACTGTTTAAACTTATTTGATGACCTTTCCTAATACCATAGTGGTTTTCTTTGAAATCCAATTTTCAAATACATTGTCTTTCTTTATATGTGAAACTACATTAATGTGAAAAAACACTCCACAATCCTTGTGAAAAAACTAGTCTTTACTACTGAGGTCAAAACCACAGCTCTTGGAAGCGTACACTAATCTTTAGTAGAAACAAAGATGCACTTACCAAAGATAAGCGATTTTTGTATTTCCAGAAAAGGATTTGTTTCATTTTGTGCCATTTTTTCCACCATTAGCTGGTGCTGTATTCCACACTGACTCACACAGGCATGCAAACACTGAGCTTTTTCCAAGACAGGGTTTAGGCTTTTCTATCCCCTACAAGTGTTTGCCACAACGGAAAACTTTCTGTCATGCTTCCTTCCCTTTCTGGCTTAAAATTAGCAAATGCGCTGCTTATCTGTGTGGGACATAACACTGGGAAACAGGGCTGTTTCCTTTTGCATCATTTCCTCAGGATCAATACCTTTTAACAAAGGACCTATTGGCATCGTTTTCATAAAACAAGACAAGTTACCTACATCTTTTGAAAGAATTATGATCTTAAGATTCAGAATACACACATTCCTGATGGGATCTATATTTAAATAATGAGATTCATTAGAAATATAGCCTCTCTTCTGATGTTAAAAAGTTTTGGAAAGCTTTCAAATGTCAACATTCTGGATAAGCAAACCCATAAAACTCCGACTATCCATACCAGAGTCTGCAGAGTATCAAGCTCTGAGTCTCTGTGGGGATTTCCTTCAATTGTTGGTGTGTTCCCACTTCACTCCTGGTCCCAGGCTGACAACACCGCAAATCTAATCTCCACAGCTCAACACAGCAGCTAAATGAGCTCATTTACATGTTTTATGATTTTTCCAACGAAGCAAGGCTTTTCAAAATTTCATTACCCTTCAGAAAGAATTCACATTTTTCCACTTTCGCAAGATTTAGCTGTGACTCCGGAAGTTCAAACACTCCTGTCACAGAATGGTCCACCAGGTGGCAATGAAACTGCAGTTATGAGAACATTAAGGGCTTCATGGCTTGCAGAAAAAAGTTTTTCATTCTTCCCGATGTAGTAGTAAAAACTATGACAACTGATATTTTTTATACATTTTTTGCTAATTTCATTTTGAAAACAAAAAAGTAAAACTTTTGCAAAACTTTGCAAGTGATGCACTTTGAAATAAATCAATATAGGAATATCAATATTTTTACCCCTATATTTTGTAAAGACAGATAGTATGCCGTCCTTTTGGAAGGACTCAGCTCTCTTTGATAGAGAAGTAAGCCTTTGGCAGAAATGTTGATTATGATTTGCAGGGCCAGTGCAGTTCAGTTTGATTTGAAGCATTAGTATAATCTATATAATGAGATTATACGACCAGATAATGGAATCTTTCCTTTTTTTTTAGTTTAATCATTTTGTAAATCCATTGAAGATAAGAGACTGGAATATTGTGACATAATATGAATTGATGATGCAGCTGATGGAGCTAATGCTCCATGTTTGGTTTGGGGATTGTAGCAGAACTACTTCCAGACATAAAGATTTGGGCACTCTGAGAATTGTTTAGGTGCCTTTTAGCAAGTGCAAGCTGTCTGCCATATTCTTTGTTGGGTTTAACATCATTTGTCTGACTACTTTACCACAACAATCAAATTTAATAGCGGAGAGCTCAAAGTTGTCCTCCTTTGAGGTATTTTCTTGCCCGGATGAATGTCCAAACCTTTCCAGAGGGACAGTTTTCACTGTTGGTTTTTACTGATAAAGTGTTTCCATCCCTGATTTTTCATTTGAACAAAGATCTGTTGATGGTTACATACTCCTAAAACTCCAAATCATTATATATTGGTCTAGTTGAGATGTTTTTGGCTTTCTTTATTACATCTTTACATCAAATAATTTCCCTCTGGGATTATTAAAGTATTTCTGATTCTGATTCTGATTCTGATCTTTTCACCTGCAGGTGTATGGTATCGTATTTCAGAGGAATGAACATTGCTCGACCTCAGATTTACAGCCAATAGTGAGATATCTGAGACTTACTCCAGAATTTAGATTTTGTTTTGTGCCATTTTTTTGTGACTTGTGTGTGGACTCTGTTTAGTTTTTACTTAAATACCAGAAAATCTTCTATAGAAAACCTGAAAGCATGTGAAAATATTTTATATGATATCAAAACTCCGTTGGAAAGCATCTCACACTATCAGCGAGAGGGAGAGGGCAATGGGGGGATATACACTGGATTCCTCTCACACCATTCAAAGAATGAAACTTTTTGTCTGCGTCAATGAAGAGAAGAAGAGGAACCAGAGCCCACATTTCAGGCCGCTGCTTCTGTCAGCAGCGTGCTGCCGCTCTGCCTCTTGCGGTCGGAGAACTTATCGGGCCGACGAGCCACGCCGTGTTTCATTCTCAGTGTGTTGCCATTGGCAACCGGGTAACACACACATACACGTAAACTTCAACTTCCTCTGAAGTTATCATGGTCTGCACCTGACAAAGCGGTAAGATGTCATGACAACGTAATATTTATTCTTTTGCCGTTTGTGTCTCTGTCTGTTTAGAAAATCGATTATTATTATTCTATCGAGTGCATGCTTTCATGCTGTTTTTGCCGGTTTTTTGTGGCAGTGTAGCAACTTCCTGTTCTTCTTAACAGGCTTTAGAGACACCTCGTACGTTTTGAATGACTTAACTGCCCACATACTACCAAAATACCCGTTTTATTTGTGAAAACAGTACACTGGTTGCTTTCCTGCCAGCGCGTGCTGTCCCTCAGTTAGCTTGGCCATCTCTTTATGGTTTTATGTTTCTATGCATATGTTCGACTTCCTGTCCATGCCCGTTTGCTACCAAATTAAGTCAAAATGTAAACGCGTGCTGACTAACTGAGCTGTCCCCATGGCTGAAAAACGTGGGCCAAATGTCACAAAATCAGCTTTATGTATTATACATGTACGTGAATTCTCGAGCTGCTTTGCATCATTGAAAAGCGCAGCTGATCCAGATAGCGTTATCAACGGTCCTATGTCGCCTTCATTAGTTTTATCTCGTACACATGTGTTTGTTCTTTTCTGAAATGTGTTGTTCTCAATTTAAAACTTCACTTTTTACAGGAATATCTTGTCTACAAATAGGAACGAGGAAGAATGGAGAACCACTTGTCATGTAAAAAAGCGTTTCAAAAGTTATTCTATAAATGTTCACACCAGCAATAAAACAACTAACCTATTTAATTCCTAAAGGTTAACCTTAAGAGTGAAGGCATAAGTAGAATACGGATGCTGAAAATAGCAGTTAGAGAAACAGGTGTGGCATCCACTGAAACTCTCTTTTTTTTGTTGTTGCAGTATATCAATGGAAGAAGTTCCTCCATTGGACAGTTAAACCAGCTTGTACCTGCATGAAACCTGAGATCCAATTGGACTTGGCCCTGCAGTGAGACTGAGAAAGGCAGAGGGAGGGAGGGAGAAGCGGAGGGGATGTCCCACACGGGGCAGTTGTGAAGGGTGTCTTGTTCTCAGCATCAACCTTTTGATGCGGCTGCAGCGAGACGACATGGCTTCTCCAAGACTCTATGGGCGAGCGTCCGTGGACATTGCTAATGTGATGCAGAAGCTGCAGGGTGAGTGTCACTCTTTTTCGTTCTTGGCCTGAGAGCTAAGCATCCTTTCCTCCGGTGCTGCTGCATGGCAACATTGTGCTGATTCAAGGCTTGGCCTCATGCCCATCTGAAGTTTGCCAATATTGGCAAGTCAGAATGCTTTGGCTCACATGCATATACAGACAGTGGCCGCCTTTGACACTATGCATACACACACACCCACACACACTATCTGTATAATATTTATAATGTACACATATATATGTATAGGCTATATATGGATTAGAGGAATTTGGAAAAAGTCCCACTTTACATAGTTAAGTGATTAAGTGATGTTCTCTAACATTTTTAGCCATGGAAAAAGTAATTGATTCACATATTTTGCTAATCTGATTTTAAGCTCACATTTTGTATCTCTTTCATGGTCAGGTGTTTTTATTCTAAGATAGCATATAATCTTATTTGAGGTAATTATGTTCTTTCATTTGATATCTTGTGATCAAACTACAATAAACACATACTACATTGTTTGGTGGCCTTCACTTGGCCACTAAGATGTAATTATTTCAGTGGACGTTATGAAACCGCTGATCTCGACACATGATTCGAAAATAGATTTTCTCAAACTTTAAGCAAAAGGAAACTGACTTTCATGCAATGGCATTTTTATATTTAGTACTTGACATGAATTTACTGCTCAGTGATCATGAGGAACATTTAGTCTGTACTAAGTCATGACAGAAGATACAGAGTCATCACAACTCTGGCTTCGCGGCTGCACAGACAATGCACTGAGCAAGACTAAAACCTGACACCATTTGTGCCCTTGGCAAGAGAAAAGATCGATTGCAGGAGTCCCTTTTGTTTCATCATGCCACATCTATCACTACATTAGTTTGGTGGGTTTTGGAGTCGTGTGCTCATTTAATTTTTTCTACTTATTAGCTCAGCAGTATGGTATTGTAGCTGCTGTTATGAAACATTTGTGTGTGGTTGTGCCATTTTCCAGACTGTTTCCTGTGCGTGCAAAGCTAGTTTCAGTAGTTTGATTCAGATTCATATTCTGGCATAATGAGGTTGAAGCGTGGCACAAAGACCCACCATTTGTTTATTTCCACATCATGACTCAGATGTTGTCAAAACGAACATATTCATTCCCTCATAGGAGAATTAAAGGATTCATATTTTTCCTTGAGAATTAAATGGTCTTAAACAACTCCCAGTTTGCCTGTTATAGTGGTGGAGAGGTGTGAGTGGGAGTGAGGAAATTAGTAGTTTTTCTCTCCTGCTCTTACTGAACCCCTCTTCATGGTTTTCTACAAGTGCTGAACATAGAGCTCCGTAAGACCTCTGACCCTAAAGGTTTCAGTTAGTCACTATCGAATGAATGGATTTAGTATGTTCATAAGTTGGCAAATGGCAAACTGGCATCCTGGCCGTAAAAATGACTCAAACTTACAACATAAGGTGTGTTTCAGTGGTCTTATGTTTCCTTAGTTTGCAGTTGAATCCATTTGTATTTATTCTGTGAAATATTTATGCAGACAAATTTTTATTATTATATTTAGTTATTTATCTCTACAGTAGATTCTATAGTAATGGGGAAAATGATTTTGCCCTCTAGTGGAGGCAGTCCTAGTTTCCATAAAGAAAGAAATTGTACAGACAG